AGAGAAAAAGAAACGGCGAGATACGTCTCGAGCAAGTTAAGTACTAATATCGTTTTCGGACCGGTAATCGATATGTGTTTGCTCGTGTCCTTCTTTCCGGCGCGTACACAAGATGGGTTTAAAAGCGGATCCGTGCGCTGCTGATGGGCACTAGCCCCTAAGTACATAATACGCCGTTATATAGGGAGAGGGCGCGTTTTTAGCGATCGATACCGATAGTTGCAAGTAATTTTGTTAAACGAATATGACGTGGCACCTCATAATATTCTTGCCTGGGGTGGGGAGGCATCGTCGTTGATCATTAACAACGCATTTAACTCGATATAAATCAAAGACCCAACTTGAGCTTGCAATATCTTAAATTTGCCAAGATTGAATTACGTAGCTGAGATCAGCCTTGGAGCGATCTCGAACGAGGGACGTGAAATTTATGAAGGCTCGTATTATACGGACTACACCGAGGCTCGCTCACACGCACGCACACGTATATATTGAATAATCATTTCTGCTTACTCGTACGCGCGCTGCTGCGTTGAGAAATTGACCTTTGACACATAGACACGTATACAGAGTTGCGCTTGCAAGCTCGCAAGATTACCTGAGGCGCGGCGATTCGAGCTTGCAAGTATAAGCTCATGTTTGCCAAGATGAGCTTCTGCAATGCGATTTTCTGGTCGCATGAGCTTGTCGCGCTGCATACACACAGCCTATAGCATATAAGTGGACGAAAGCCTAGATAGCTTTGATCTTTGATTATAGCATAAGAATGTAACGTCGTTGCAGCGTAACCTCATGTCATATACGCGCTTGAATCGGCATTTCGTTAGCTTCAAATTGTTCTCGAGCCGTTACGTATAGGTAAGCCGCATCGAATAGGAATCTTATCGGCACTTGTTTTCGTACTAAAAGGCCAGATTAATCGCAGCTTCAACCCACTTAAAGCAGACACACATGGCCGAGTAGCACGAGCAAAAGCTTGATAGCTGGGTGCAGTCCAGCTCATCTTCTTCCTTCTCCCTCTCTCCCTCTCTTCCCGATCTATCTGTCTCTTTGCCTAAGGTTTCTTCCAAAGAGATTAACGCGCACCGTGGACAATTCAATCGTTGTGGATTAAGGCTTTCATTGAGCAGTCGAAGCGCGCGACATATACCCTATAAGATAATCGATTCGCTCGATTGTGGCCTACGTGCCAATTTTTTTACTTTTTATATTTTTTTTCCGCTCTTAAAGAGTCTCGAGACGAGGCAGGATTCAACCGCTGAAACGAGCACCAATAAATTTCCAACTGCGAGAAGGAAGAAAGAAAAAAGAGTATAAGAGGAAAAAAGCTCGCGAGTCAGGGAAAAAGTGGCCTTGCTGAATCGCGCGCAGCTTGCAGGTGAAATTACAACTGGAGTCGCGCGCGCGCGCGCCAGGAAAATCCATTTGCTCTCGTCGAGCTTTGAGATTTTTCGCAGCTCGTGTATACGCAAGCTTTCTTTCAAGACGTGCGCGCGCGTATTAATTTACAGGGAGATAACATCAAAAAGCTTTTACGTATACGGTGTATGTCGTCGTCGTCGTCGTCTAAAAAAGAAGCGCGGGACGCGATTTATGCAGGCACGTTTCTTGCAATGGTCGACGTCGTCGTCGTCATCATACTAGGCGCGCGCGCGTGAAATTTCGCGACTAAATTTAAGCTCTCATTAATTAATGGCTCTACAAGAGTCTTAGGCTCTCTCTTTCGCGGTTTCTCGACGCGCTGTCGCGCGAGCTTGCGCACACACTCCGAAAAATCCAAAATAATCTGGCCGCGCGAGCGACATGGAAAGCTTCCGGTTCGTCGCAAGACCATAAAAAAAGCCAGTCAGCCAGCCAGCTCGAGCGATCCCTCCCTCGCGCGCTCGTCGAGTATCATGGCCATACGTATACACATAAGGCACATAATATGCATTTACCAAGCGAGTAAATTCTCGAGTTAAGCTGCGAAGCCTTAGTTGATCCTATGCGACGGGGGTAACGTGCTCGCTTTCATCGGATTCGAGAACTGCGTATAGGAGTGCGCGCTATACGACGACACGTAACGCTGTCTCGGTTTGTGGGGTAGTTGCTTGAGATGTGCGAGGCAGCAGCAGCAGCAGCACACACGTATATATATGTAATATGCACACGTACACGTACGCTGTGCAGAGGCACGATCGCACGTATATAGCTGCTAAAGCACAGACACGCGCACAAAGGCACACATACATGGTTGGCGCACCTATATATATAGAGAGAGACGCGGGAACGCGAGCGCCGTCTATAGAGATGGATATACACACAAAGTAAAGTGGGTCAGTCGTATGCTTTTCTCTCTCTCTCTCTTTCTCTCTACGTTCCAACTCGGAGAGGGTATGTATTCCGACTCGAGCTGTAGCGCTCTCTCTCTCGCTCTCGGTCTGTGTATGGATAGCGCACGCGCGCGCGCACCTATCTCGACGCGTACAATAAAAAGCATTCGCGATATACTCTCTGCACCCTTCCGCGGATCGTATAGCGAAGTCTCATTTTCAGCTGCTTTTTCATCAACTTTTCACTAACAATAATAATCATGAGAAAAAAAAATATTGACGAAAAGCTCGCGCGGTCGAGTGTGAGCTTTGCCGAGCCCCGCTCCGTGTACTACATATCTACGTACTCTGGCAGCTGGTTTTAGATAAATTCCTGCCTATCTGTGCGAGTTGCATCTAGATGTTTGCGCCCACGATTAATTAACGTATTGGATCGATGTAAATCGCACACGAGCATGCGGTGGATCGAAGAGAGAGAGAGAGAGAGAGTTGTAGACCGGGTGGAGAGCTTGCAAGGATGGAAAAAAGCAGCCTCGGCAAAAGGATGCCTCGAGAGCTGGCAAACATATCGAAAAGATGCTTGGCGCGCACTCGACGAGAGAGAGAGAGCTGCACAGCTCTCTCGTGCATCACGTGTATAGATAATCGATAACCCGATAACCTCGGAACAAATCGATAGGGGCCACTTGTGTACGCGCGCATCGGACCGCGAGCGAGCTCGAGCTGAGTAGCGAGCCGAGAGCGACGAATGGATGATTAATTATGAATGCGAGATCGTCACGCAGAGTGCCATGTGTCAAAATGGAATATTATCAAGCGGCGGCAGCGGCGGCCACGCGCGCGTCAAACGCTCGGCAAACACGTCACTCGAGCCCAATGACAACGATTTCAGCTTGCGAGAGCGAAAAAGATCCGAGGCTCGAGCGCGCCGTAAACAAGTCGACGACGAGAGAAGATTGCGCCTTGACCCTCGCGAGCGCGTGGAGAGCTTTACATATCGTGCCCACGCGAGATCCTTCGATACAGCTGCAGCATATAATCAAATCGCAGCTGCTGCGCAGAATAAAGCTAGCATAGGATTCTGATGCTGTTTGTTTTCCCATGCGAGTGGCTTTGGCAGCTGCATTATTCAACGGTACGTTGGGATCGGCAGCTCGATAGCGCGCCATAGCCGTGCACAGCCAGAGTCGGGCGGCATTTATCGAGAACACAGAAATAATTTGCAGCATCGACGAGTCGGCGAAACTTGGCTGAAATCTTCGCTGCCGAAGAGCTACTACGGAGCAGTATGGATCGCTCCCGGCGCAGCGTGTCTCATAAGGGAATCTTTAGACGCTCATTAGGTTTGCTCGAGGCGTAACGTGACGCTAAAACCTCGTTAAAGTTTCGTGTCATTGTCGGCGAAGTGGCGCAGCAGCAGCAGCAGCAGCAGCCGCAGCCACAGCTCGAAACTTTTGAACAGGCGCGCATAATAATCATGATAACGTGTCGAAATGAACTCGAGTTATTAGCTCCTCGGTCGCGAGCGAGGCTGAATTAATGAAAATCAAGGCGCGCGCGTTCCTGTACATAAGCATGAAACATGGACTAGCAAAAACTTGTCGTGTTTCAAATGAAAACTATGCGCTTGTAGCTCTGCAATGAAATATACTGCACAAGCACTTATCTGCTGTATATCTTCTCACATACATACACACATACAGACACAGACACGCACACTCATACGAGGGACGCTTGAGCACGCGAGCGACGCGGATTACACGACGATAGTTTAAAAGAACGACGGAAAAAAAATAAAATGCGGAAGAAGAAGAGGAAGCCGAGAGAAAGAAAGGGAGAGGCTACATTTTTTACATTTTTTCTTTCTGCATGCATATGTCGAAAATCAGAAGTAAGGGCTAAATTGAAAGGGTTGAAAACATTAAAATATATAGACAATTTTCTCTTGGTGTTTCTACTAAAATTACCTATAAGAGATTTTTCAAAGACAGTAGTATACTGAATTTTAATGGAGTTTGTCGAAAAAAAGTTGAAAAATATACTCAAGTGTGCCGTGCCGTGTAGCGAAACGCAAATAAGCTAATTACTTTGCTTTTTTTTTGCAAAACAATAGGACAATCGATCGAACGGACAAGATACACAGACACGCAGTGTGTGTGCGGAGGCTATATGCACAGGTGCAATCGACAATAAGAATGGCGGGGGCAGGCGAACTTATGCACAACAAAGGAAAAATCGCGCGGGGGGAGCATCGTAACTCGTATAGGTTGGCATAATCGATGGATCGCGATCGATTTGGAGGACGTGTAGCTGCTCCTCGTACTCGACTCGCAGCGGAAGCAAGTCGGCGGGTAATGGTCGTGTCTGGAGGAGCTTTGCAAGCTTCAACGAGCCAACGAAAATTGCTTCATTGTCCGTCGCGATCTTTGTCCTCGCTCGCGGCTTTTCTCTCTGCAGCATACGTGCATGCATACATATATGCATGCAGGAAAGAGAGAGATGCACTCGAAAGGCTAGTCGTTGACATTTCACCTCGGAAGCTCGGCTCAGCTCTCGTGTCGCGTAGTAGCGGCGATTGGCTACTACTATACAATACGTATATCGTTAGAGTAGAGCTTTTTCTCATCTCGGACGCGTGCAGAGCAGTAGAAATAGGATAGATCGAACGCGGATGATGATTATACTCACGAGTATGCGTCCTGTGGTCGTCTGACCGGATATGAGCTCGCCGGCCCAATCCTTGGCCTCGGTCATGAAGGTGCCCTCGAACTCCTTGCCCTGCCTGGCCGCCTTCTGCTCCTTCTGCTTGGGGTCGCCGGGCGCGAACTCCGGCTCTTTGCGACAGCAGAGGAAGGCGAACGCCCTCCAGAGCAGGACTATGAGGAGGCCGGCGAGGAAGGTGAATATGCTCGAGAGCACGAAGCACCACCACTTGCGCACCTTGAGGCAGTCGTCGATGCTGAGGACCGGCGAGTCGCTGCCGCCGAGGCCGGCCACGATGTTGGCGGGCATCGTCGGGCCGCCGTTGACCCCGGCCGCGGTCGCGTCGTTCAGCAGGCTCTCCTCGACGCACGACGTCATTATTCCTCGTCGGGTCGCTCGGCCTAATTATTATTATCGTCGTCGTCGTTGTCGCCGCACAACCGCGCACCAACGCGACGCTCCTCCTCCTCCTCCTCCTCGCACACGAGCACTCGCGCACTAATGCAAGAGCTCCAGCTTCTTCTTTCTTCTCAACGACATCAACGTCTCTTTTCACCTAACTTTCGTTTTATTTTTTTTTTACAACACACACACTACCACACACTTCTCTGTCGTCGTCGTCGTCGTCGTGGTGATTCTGTCCCACTTCACCGCCTCCTACGACAGTTCTTGGACTTTTTCCTGTTGACGCTCATGAACGTAATCCGGGATGCGAAATGGCCTGGCATGCGAAATTGGCTGCTGGCCCAGCGCTGCCAGCCGTACCTAGTCCCACGATCGGCTTGGCGACGACGCCGTACTTCCTCATCCTCGGGATTGCTCTGATCCAACTCGCCAACCGTTGAATGACTGCTGCTCCGTTCGACTACGACTGCGACTACACCGGCCTGCCGTGACTCATGACAATTAATCGCTGGACTGCTCGTGGTGGTGGTGGTGGTGACGCTGCTGTTGATGGGGCCGTCGACGATGGTCAATCTGATCGGCGGCCGCGGCTTCATTGCGTGCGCGCGCCACGTAGTCACAAGCTGAGTCGGAGCGGTAGTCGCAGCAGCACACCGTGATTCCGGAGTGACTCGACGAGCTCATGCAAAACACCCATAAACGAGACGGGGCTGCGCTACTATACGCTGCCGACGAGCGAACGAACGAACGGGGCAGGTGGCTAGAAAAAAATCCAGAGACGCTCCGAGGATCGATTCGCTGCCGAGGTTCTATCGCACGCAGTGTCAGTGGCAGCTGCAGAGCTCTTGGAGCAAACTCGTCGTCGTAGTCGCGCCAGCCTATTCGCTCTGTTTACGCCGCGGCCTGCGCACAGAAGCACATAGCACAGCACAGCACGGCTCGGCTCGGCTCGGCTCTCTTACATGGCACGTAGCGCAAATTGCTGCGCTCGCACACGACCTACATATACTCATGAGCGCGCAAAGACGACGACGACGACCATCATTTTGCACTCTGTCACTCGGTCGTGTGTGTACTACTGCCGTTGGTGTGCGTATGCCTGCACCGCCGACACGGCGCAGCAGCACGCAAAGACCCCGTTCAAACGCAAAGGATCGATGCACATTTTTTCCCAGCCACTGGAAACTTCATGTCTTTGCTGGCAGCGATCGGATCCACGGCGAGCTTTTTTCAGCCTTTCTCAGCTGCTGCTGCTGCTGCTGCTGCTGCTGTTTACGCCACGAACCGTAGCACTAGTTCCCGACTGGCTCAGTCTTTCTCATTCGATCCAACGATGCGTGCACCTATATACTACTCGCACTCGTTTATATATCTGTAACTGTGTGTATGTTATATATAAAGCTCGAGAGCGCGTCTCGGTTCACGACTCGGTGGTGCTTTCCATTCGACACACTTACTAACACTGCCTCTGTCGCGGCACACACAGCGACTCTCTTGGTTCACAAGCTCGCCTCTCGCTCTCCGTCTCACTCGGTCGCGTAGAGCTTTTGCGATGCGCAAAGGTAGCGTAGGTATATAAGCGCGCGCAGCGCACCACCACCACCACCACCACCACCGCCAGCGCTACCACCGCCGCACCAGAGCGACGGAGAGAAAGATAGAGAGAGAAAGAGAGAGAGAGAGAGAGAGAAGCGCGCAATCAATACGCAACAATGGACCGGGACGACGACCAACTCGCACGCGCACACACATCAACGCGAGCACCAGCACACACACACACACATGCACGCCTAGAGGCGCTCGCTATTTTCGTCGGTCTATCTTCGCTTCGTGGGAGAATCTCTTTCTGTACGTGTGCAGCCCGTTTACGCTATTTATACGTCGATATAGGCCCACGAGGGCTCACCCATACATATACACAAGCGTATACAGGGAATATTTATTTGCGTCTCACGTGCTAAGCGTATTCTCGAATCCTATTTCGGCAGCTACGCTGCATCGCCAAAGACTCGACATCACGTGAATTGGCTCGCAAGCTCGAGCGAGCTTCGCGATAACAGAACAACGACCTGCACACACAGGCAGTGGCAGCAGCTCTCCATGCGATCGTCGCTTCAGTCAGTTTGCCGTGCATCGTCTTCTCTATGCGCAAGTCGGCGCATACGGAGAGAGCTTGCAAGCTCGCGGAATCAGGCTCGTGCATATACACACACACGCACACACACGGATGGGCGATTTAAACGGGTCGAGGCGCGCAGCGGTGTTGCGCCAGCTGCGCGCATATCATTTCCGACTCTGCAAGCTCGAGAGTCTATATGTAGCTATATAGACTGCGGCGTACTGCGCACCCTTCCACTGTGCTGCACTACGAATCCTTCTATGGGTGTGTCTGTGTGCGCGCCTGTGTGCGTCCCAACGAAACTCGGCCAACGTACCAATACGTATAGCGTGTACCGAGGTACACCCCTCGTCGTAGGCTGCCGGTTGTTTTCCACTACTGCTCTATCTACAGTACGTACGCTGTACATGGCTGTGCTTTCATTCGACTAGCGGAGTTTACTCCTCCCTAGAGGTGCGCACATACCTGCGGAAAAGCGAGTGTGGCCCTTTCCGCAGCGGTGTAGCGCCAGTGCGTCTTTTTGCACTCTTCGCGCGCGTCAACTGTCGCCTCTCGACGAGTTCGAGTACCCCCCGCGCTCGAATGTACGAGTCGCCGTCTATGGCGATTGCAGTTGTCTTTTGTCTGACGGCAGCCGTAAAAACATGTAGAGCTTCCTCCCCCGAATCGACTGTTATCGACTTTACTGTTACCGAGCCGTGTGCTGTCTATTCGACGAGCTCCCTTTCTCTCTATCTTATCGATCCACATTATGAATTCCGTGCGTTGATCGACGATTGCCCACGTCTATATGATTATTATATATACGTGTACGTTCGTCCGCTCGTAAGAGTCGCGTCGCTCCGACGTTTCCTATATGTTTCGCAAGATTCCAATTCGAGATATTACGGATTTCACTGCGCCCTGGACTTTCGCAACAAAAAATTCCAACAATTTGTGCAAGATGAAATCAGAAAATTCGGAGATCAATTTACGTGGTAGCGCTAAGAAAATGATATGAAATCAAAACCGAGTTAAAATAGACGGATATAGCACGCTAGCTTAACAAAATAGACTTTTTACAATCTCCGACCGTCTTGAAGTGAAATTTTGGGTCTGATTCTAGAAAACCCAATATGCCTAAAACTTCTTTTTTCTGCCCACTTCCCATTATACTTTATTTTTAATCATCTGTACAAATGAAGAATTTCGTTTTTTCTTTAAAATTATTTAATAAAAATATTTATGATCCTGAATCCATATTACAAAAATGTTAGCAGGGATCACAAATCTAAGTATTATTTTAAGGACTTTCTTTTTAAATAAAAATTAATAATAAAAGTTATAAGCATGAGCTTTTAATATTTAAACGGGTTTAAGTATAGAATTACATTTATCACATTCTTCCATGAATACTTTTGTAGAAAAATGACGTTTCTTGCATGTCCTGTTATCACAACTTTAGAGAACATAAAAGAAACTTGAAATGCAGGTATCATTTTTTTCCTGAACAGTACAAAATGAGAAAATAGTGCAGTAAAGTAACTTTTGATCATTCAAAGACAATGCTGAACATTCGTTTTTCTTTTCATTTCTATTAGTCGTATTTGGAGAGAATAATCCAAATGAGATTTGAAAATTTATTTTGAGTAAATGTTTGCTAATGAATCTATATTAATGATGTAAAATAATTTTATTGATTACTATAGCTTAAAAATGATTAAAAAATGTTCTTGATTTTGTTCTAATTTCCTGTATTTTTTTAACTCAAAAATTTGCGTGCAATAGATCGCTGGGCACATTACTTATATGAGTTACTCCTATTAAAATGAGAACTCTAAAAAAAATTGACTCAAATATTTTGAAACACGCTCTTGGGAATGAATTTTCCTTATTATTTATGAAAAATATCAATAAAAAATTGCTGTTATTCCATTTCATCTATAGTCTTTGTTGGAATTTCATTTCAATTTTCTAATTTTGAATATGTGAGCGGAGGAAATTTTTCATTGCACTTTGCTTGGTGAGTTAATGCACCATTTAATATTTTCTAATTATTTTTAAACTTGTCAATCGTGTTGTGTTGAAAGCTACAATACTTCTGGTTAGGCTAATTTTGTTCGTTATTCTAACTTTATTCTTACTTTATTCACATTTAAACCATTTACAAAACAATAAATCGCCTTTTATAAAATTTGAGTAAACATTGTCAAACGAATTTTTCCTACAAATATTGAGTTAGTTTAGACAACATTCTAGAAAGGTTTCAAACAATAAGTATATACCTATTCTAAACTTAAATGATTGTAACATTGAGCGTTATCAAGTGAACTATACAGATAAAATAGCACCGAGAGCTGCACAGTACTCCGCAGTAACTGACTAGAACACCAAGCCCCAGAACATGTCGTACTACAAGACCAAATTCCACAATCAGTGGTCTATCGTGAGCAACGTAAGCGTGAACCCGGCAGACCACTCGCCTGTATCGAGCTATGGTACCGTTTTCTGGTCCATCAATGATACGAGCCTTACCACGATTACTATCGCCCAAAGCCAAGGCAGTCTCCTGTCCGAGACGCCTGCGTCACCGACTTATTCACCATCGGACGACGGGTTCCTGTACGGACCATTGTTCTCGCCCATGATGAGCCTTCTCGACAACAACGTCCAGGACTAACTGGAAGTGGTGATTATTAAGCTAGCACGAACTCAATAATCGCGTGGCCCAAATTTCTTACTATCGGTCGCTATTCAAAATTGTGGACGGTTCACGGATCCGCGAAAAATCTCGGCCTTATTTGCCTCAGCCAGCTGTCCAATGTCAACAGAAACTCGATTATCAAGAAAATGCGACGACACATCGGCCGAGGAGTCTGTCAGCACCGTCATGACAATGATTCGCTCAAGAATTTTGATACTCAACTATTCGCCGATCTGCTCGTCAACAGCGTCTGCGTGGGCTTCGAAGGCAGTTAGTGAATATGCTATGAAAATGTGTACGATAAGGCGAATGACTAATTTTTCAATCGATCGACAACTTTTTACTTCATAATTATACTCAACAAGTTTATCATGACTAATCCCTTTCATTGCAGATTATCTTCGTTGAAGGATGGAGAGCAAAATACCATATACAGGGCGTAACTTCTATACATTGCTGGATCGAGATTCATCTTAATGAGCCTTTGCAAGGGGTTGTTAATAATGCTAATGTTTTAATGTTCTGAATATTGGAGGAAAGTCTAAACGCCTCATTATTTTATAATTAATTTTTCAGAAAAAAAATTAGTCACGCATATTGATCGGTCCAAGTACATATTTTCTCTCACAATATCACATAGAAATTGACGTCAATATCGAAATGCAATTAATAATATGAACAAAATCACTGACCGTAAAATTTGATTAAGTTGTTGATTGGCGCAAATTACTCCACTTTGGTATTCTCTTCTCTATTCTTGATATATCAAGATTCATATTGTATTTATTCAAACTGTTCCGTCTATTGCAACGATAACCGCAGTTCTTGTATCTGAAAGGTAGAGCCTTGGGCGTAAGTCCTCTAATGTCCATAAAGTAGCTTTTCAGTTTGAATTTCATACTGCACTGCATATACAATCTCAAGTTTTGACGCAACTTTCTTTTTTCCTTGATCCCCGAAACGCTTGGTCGGACTTGAACTGATGCGACTGATGGACCTGAGCGAGATAATGTCTAGAGGATTCGTCCGACCGTAGGTACTAAAACCTTTCTTGGAGCTACGTGGATGGAGGAATCGGCAGCCGATTATCCGCTATGAAATAATAATCGAGAAACTGATGAACGAAAATGTATAGACAATACAGACACATACATATAAGCAAAAACAACGAATGATTAATATTAAATGTTAAACTCTTGCTTTACAATTGTATTGCAATACGAATTGTCTCTATAAATATAATTTGTAAGTTAATTGCATCATGGCTCATCGATATAAAATATTTAAATTAAAAAATTGATGTTAATGTTGGAGTTTATTTATTTATTGATATTCGGCAGCCAAAAAATATATTGCCCATCGGTCAACTTAATTCGTTTCTTTTGTCCGCGCTCGTTCCAAATACATACCAGTATACTTGCATGTATCCAAAGCGCTCGACATTCCGTCTCTTTCTAACGACTATCCAAGCATGATGAAGAGTGGGGATTGGCGAAAGAGAATCAAAAATTTTCGACTTGCATTACTGTGCCTCACACATACAGTTCACTTGTAATAACTTGTATACACGTTAACACGTTGCATCGCCCGGCGTCTTTACTCTGTCTGTCAGTTAGTTTGTTTTATAGGTTAGGGTAAAACACGTGTGCTCGGCTGTCATAATGAGTTCAGAACCAAGTATGTATAATTTTGTTTAAAAAGGAACTTGTAAACTTTTTAGTACTGCGAGATACTTTACAAATTTTCACCTTTCTATGGTAATTTTTCATCGATATTATTAGAATACTGTTCAACTTCTATACTTTGTTCATTGAATTTATCGTGATCAAATCTTGTTAAAAAGTGGATTAACGATTGTTTTCCAAGTCATTCCTATTGATTTTGAATCATATAAGATTCGTTCTACACCCGTAATACGTAATACAGTAACTAATCAAAAAAACAGAAGAAATTTTCGAATCTAGGAGCTCTTGAAAAAAGTAGCAATTTCGTAAGCAAATGAATCGTATGTGCAATTAAAACAAATTCTAAAATTGCATTAAAATGAAATTATCAACTATCTGATAATTTATTTACTTAATCTTTTTCCAATTAATTTTAAGTTGATCATGCAAACCATATTTTTATATGTTTCATTCATTTCAAAAGCTTAGTATATATTATATGTTGAAAAATTTTAATAAGTAAAACAAGAATTTATCAATATTTGTAACTTTCACTCTGTTACAAAATAAATAAAATTAATAACAAATATTAATTATTTCTATAATTAATTCCAAAATTTTTTCCTAAAATAAATAAATAAAATTAATTATTTCTTTTTAGAAAATATTTGTACACCACTTCCTTCTGGGTTTGGTACCAAAGCAGCAAGTTCTGAACAACGAGAAGAGTATGTCGTTAAATTCTTGGAAAATGCTTTACCATCGTGTGATGTCAATGAAATTAATGATGTACTCAAAAAGGTAAGTCAAAATTCAAATTATTAATTTTACATATTATCTTACATTGAATTAATTTCATGCAGTTTAATTTCTTATTTTGCTTTTTATTAGGATTTCATATTAGATAAACACAAAGGAAAATTTAACAAAAAAAAATGTGAAAAAAATTACATAAAATTGAGAAAAAATATTACTTTTCTTAAGCACCAAACAGACATTCATTATGAAGATATGTTACCATTAAATTCGTTGTGGCTAGGATATATGTTGAATGGCATAGGTAAAATCGTGCCTCCGTCTTTGAGTCCACAGTGCGAGAAAATTTGTCAACAGATGATCAAAGCTGAATATATTGGAGCTAAAATTAGCATTACACGATCAAAATGTCCAAGTTATTATGGTCTTGAGGGTATTATCATATTGGACACCAAATGCACTTTTAAGATAATTAGTAAAGACAATGTCATTCGAAGTAAGTTAAATGTTTAAAATGATTATCAAGCATTCATTGAAGTTTGCAGCAATATTAACTTTTTTTTGCATTCTAGGTATACCAAAAAGTTCTTGTGTTTTTAAAGTACACTTTGGAAAATTCAATTTGGAGGTATTTGGAAAAGACTTATGTATACGTCCAGCAGAGCGCTGTGTGAAAAAATTCAAAACCTTTAATATACCTAAACTTTAGAGCAAATATAAAGTGGAATATTCATTTGACACTATGTATATAGCACTCAACTTAAGTTGTGAATTCGACAGTGAAACAATAAGTTTATTAGAATTACGTAGGAATTTCTATTTGTTTTGTTATTAAATTATTTGAGATATGTACGTTGTACTTGTAACATTTCTTTATTTTCTTCATATTTTTTCGATGAATTTCATTAATTTCATACCATAAATACCTACTAATTACATGTTATGTCAATTACCAGTGTAATATATTTAATAATATATAATAACATAATCATCAAGTATTTATAATATAACTATTTTAATTATTATTTTTTTCTTCAATTCATTTAATATTTTTCCCGTTCTTACAATGATTCTCTTAATTTTTTGACGCAGTAAAAATTATGATTATAGTGATTCAATAAATATATATGTAAATAATTATTTTAATCGATACATAACAACAACAAATGAAACGAACGACATTGAATCATCAACACTTGACTTCTATACTTTTGGAGGGAAAAAAGTAATACGGTTCAAGACCCTTATGTGTCTATCCATTATTGTATCATAAGTAAAATGTTTACTCAATTTAAGATTAATTGCGAAGTAAATAATTTTACTGTAAAATTTGTATCCAGGGAATGTTCAAAATTTATAAATTCAATATAATTCAAAAAATCAAATAAACATTTTCCAGTTACAAAGATAGTGTAAAGATTGCAATAAAGAACTAAAAGAAAAATATAACGGACATTAAGGATACCATACACCTGTGCGTGGACGGTTAGACTAAAATATAGAAATAAGAATTTCAATACAAAAAAACATGGTCATCCAAAAGTTACACAATGATCACAAAAACGATATAGGTGCGGATTGGAAAAAATTTCAATGTACAAGATCTTCGCTATGTCCACATACAAGATAAAATTAATGCTAATAATAAAAAAAGATAAAGTATGATTATAAAAATAATGTAATGATACTCATAGCTGAAACGAAATTTGGCGCTACGAATCGTTTGTGGGTAGCCCAAATCTATTAATTCGTCGTTCGCAATAACAAGATCGCACTCAAATTGCTATTATACACCCCGTGTGAATTTAGGGCAGGGCATGTTTACAAAAGCCTACACGATAAACTCAGTAGGCATGTATACGAACCAAAACGCTATTTTTTTCGTGGAGTTAAGCCATGTTCTCTTACACGTTATCTCTCAATCAACTATTTCAAACACTTCATAAACGCACACATTATTTATCGTTTAACACGAAAAGTTGATTTATAGGAGTATTTTTTCCTGATTTTGTTTTACATGTATTTATAATATAATATATAACTTCAGAACATCGACAAATACATACACGCATGTAGGGAGCAGCCTAATTTCAAGCCAACCACGCATTTATAAACTCAAATTCATTTCTTTTATACAATTGTCTCACATTTTACAATCGCCAACTGTTAAATGTTTCGCGTTTTGCATTAAGCAGCACAGGCAAGTATACAAGTACTTGTATAGTCAGCTAAAAAATTCGCCCATGCTATAATAAATAGTTTTCTGGGTTCAATATTGAAGGATACATCAACAATACTATTTCAGGCAAGCTTCTGAATTGCAAAAGTTTAGAGACCATCTATGAAAGTTTCATTCACCACAATCATATTTAATATCATTAAATTCTTTTCTTTGTCATAATTATTTATCTACAAATTTGCAACATCATCTCGTGATATTTGATACATTTGCGAATCAAATCGTTTCATAGTCAACTTTTCTATATTCCCTCTTAAATATCGATCTGTCCACCCAGTTTAATGTTATACAAGAAGAAGAATACACAAGAATTGGTGATACACACTTATCGAACGAACGACAATCACTCTACAATTTCTCTTACATCATAGTATTAATGTATTTACTTTCATTTATCGCTCTAATAATTCAAATAATAATGATTATTTGTTACTAGTGTTTAAATTGATGAAATCATTGACGTATTAACAAACTGATCACGTTTTTCCCATGAAGTTCATTTTATCAAATGCAAATTCTTACGAATTATTGATCACGAGCGCATGTAAATAAGATACTATCCTCACGCTATTTGACTCGTATCATCGTATAGTTCAGTACTATGTTATCGAAGAGAATTAATGTTTTATTTTAAAAAGCTTTGGTGAATGTATTTTGCACGATAGCGATTACATTATTAACATTAATTCATATCAAAAATCTACAATTGAAAATCATCGCTTATGTAACTTTTGATAAAACTATTATTGCTGGCATTTCTTTGGACCCGTTTTAAAAACTATTTTATAATGATTTTCATATTAAATATGACTATTGATATAAATAAACTACGTTTAAAAAACGGGTTGAAGGTATGACAGTCATTTATTCACTTTAAATGAAAAATAACTTTGATATGAATTCATTGTTAATATTCATAAATTATCTATACTTTAGTATAAATTCTTATATGCATTTAGTTATTGTAAACGATAACCAGAATCGACTTGCACAAAGCGTGTAAAAAGTTGAAGACTTGTGTAAATTCTTTTATTATTAAATAAATCCATTCGAGTTTTATAAAAAAGATCATCAAAGAGTCGTCTTCATTTCGCAAATATGCAATCAGAAAATGTTTTATATGATAATTATGATCAAAAATTTAAATAAACGGCAATTTCATGAGAGAAGTTATTTGGTACTTTCGAACTCATCAACTGATAAGTTGTATTAATCCACTTTTTTATCGTCAGAATGATCGTTAAAGCTCTTTATTTATACAATAAAACGAAAGTTAATTTTACGTGAACGCGTGAAAACTTTTTTACAATTGCAAAGTATATTCTCAATTTTTTGAGATATCCGATTAAAATTATTATTTGTGATAAAGCACCCATCAATTCTACTAATAGTATCTTTGAAAGAACGTCCTAAAAATATTTTAATCAACTGTTCAAGTTTTTATCAAAATATGCAATTACTCAAATAAAAAACTAATGATCTCTGTCCATTTCTTATATTTTCTTCCATTAAAACTTCAATTGTGCATACGTTAATAAATTTTTATAACAAACATCAAAGAATTTTTTAACTATTTATTTATCCATTTTCTTCAAATTATAATTAGTTAATCTGAATAAACATTAATCAGTATGCTTTTTAATGTGTTTATTTTATATTTTAAATGCAATACATAGAAATCTAAATAAACTTATTAATGAATAATGCACAAAATAATAAACGAAAGTAAAAATATATTCATTCTTATAAACTGATGCTGATTTCGAATTAGTGAATGCTATTTTGATCATTCCAGCGTATAATCAATCTTATTGAAAAATAATTCATTTTCGATGAAAAAATAACCAGCTCTACTGAATTTTTAAGTCAATTTATGTGATATTATCTTATTTTTAATATTTGAGAGTTTGTGTAACACATAAAAGTCACGAAGTTAATACTGATCTCACAAACCCGTATTCAAAATTTAATTCGGACTAAAAACAGAATTGTAATTGCAAAATATTGTCAGAGTTTCCTTCGTTTCTCCTACATCAAGAAGTTATTTGAATAGACGAACCTGCGCCTCAGTATGCAATTTCATCACGTACTTTTATAACTTTAAACAACTAGAGTAGGTGATTTCTTGGAAGTCTCTCACGTTAAGGATTTCTTTTCTAGCCGATAAGATTTTAGCTTACTTAGGCTACAATCATAACCGCAATAATTTTGTTCTTGGACAGCATAACTCAATTACATAATTCAAAAATTACATCATTCTAAGAGGTCTTTTAAATTGTTGCATTTACTTTTTTTCTTTTGAGTGATTTCTTGAAAACACTCGGGAATTCGTAGTTAACTGACCAAATAGAAAATCAAAATAAAGTATAATAAAGATTTTCTATTGTTGAGTACAGTTAACAAAAGGTAGTGATCGTTACAAGGTGCCTATATTTTTATGTAGACCTGGAAGATTTTCTGTACGTAAGCCATTCTGGAGAAATTTGATTATACAAAATCCGCTAATTGAATGAGTATTTTCGGTTGTCAAAATTATATTTTCATTATTAGTTGGAATCAAGTTTAGATACGAATACAACTAGTTTCGCATTTTTAATTTCAAGTTTTTAAAGCATGCAGATGAATGGCATTATCCCGAATCAGTAATTAAAAGATAGCTGAGTTTGCGGACCCAAAAAGAAAGACAGTAAGTGCTACTTCATTTCTTACGATAAATATCGTTAAAACTTTAGTGATAATTATTGTTGCGTAGATTTAGGTGGATTGATAAAAATTTTTAAGTAGAGACTTTTTCTGGTATCTTAGGGCATAAGGCAGTGTTAGCATTGTAGAAGATGTCGCGATGTTCAATATATTGATTTTTAGAATTAAACACTTTTAAAATTGTTTTTACAAAGTATTTAAAAAAAACTAATTCAAACAGTTTTTTGTCTAGAAATCTTTATCTATTTAAATTTATTTTTCTGGTTAAATTATATTAAACTATTATCATTTATTTGTTTATTTGATATAATTTATGATTATATTTGATAATTCATTTTTATTCAGAAATTAAAAAATAATTTCTTATCGTTCACGTATTTCTAACCTTATATTGAATAAATTCATCACTTAATTCTCACAAAACATTAAATGTTACCAATTAGATAACAAACACATTCTCTTATAAGAATACCGTGTATAGACAATTTGCATACAATCAAGTTTTTTGAAACAAAAAAACAAAATACTCATCATATACAGCATCAATGAACGGCATTCTGATAAATATTTTGACGAAATGAGAGTTTTATGAGCATAAATTTGAAGCAGAGTATAAGCGATTACTCTGATGATAAAAAACGAATAAATAGAAAAATCGATTAAAATGGATGAAAGTACCCAGTAGCTTCTCTTACATGGATGTCGAATATTGACACCGTATATATTAAGCGTTTCGTTTGATGCAACACTCATATTTCATCATCGTTGAAAATAGATGACAATGATGTTGATGCTTCAATAATGATGTTTGGTGTCGGGCTGCTCTTACATGGCTCTTGCGTAATAATTGGCGTCTCACATACCGTACGCCTGGTAGGCTGCTGCAGTTGCTGCTGCAGGTGGTGCGTAAACACCTTGCGTCGGTGCCCCGTAAACTTGCTGGGGTGCATAACCTGGGGCCATCATACCTGGACCAGCTGTTAGCATGAGTTGTGGTTCCGCTGAACAGTAAAACAGAAAGTTTTTTATTTAATTTCACTTACATGTCATATTTATTTTATTGTATTAGGCAATGAAAATGAAAAACTTACGCATTATCATGGATTTATGTTCTTGGATATCAGTCTCCTCAACACGACGACTTTCAGCTTCTTCCAATTTATCGACCTTTAAATTTATTTACGTTTATATTAATTTGCACTTTTAGAAATTCTTACAATTAACTCAGAGAAATATATACCTTAGAAATATATTCACGAGATACTTGAATAAGATAAGGCATTGCAAAGTGCATAATTTGGTGTCTCCACGCAAGTTCTAATATAACATCTGGATGAAGTAAATCGTAGCAATGGAATAGGCAAGCGGCAAAACAGTCCTTGGAATCTCTCTCCAGGAACCACTCAAGCAATTCTTCCGCAACCTCGTGATTGCGGGATTCAGCAGCGTACTCCATAGCATCTCTGTAGAATACGAATATTATTAGGTATTCAAACTAAAATCAAAAAATTATTGTAAATAAGAGGTAATAAACACACCTGAAAAGTCTATCTTTTTTACAAAGTTCAACAGATTGTTTCCACCTATTGTTGCCCTTATACAAATAGGCGGCGATTCTACGGAATTCGATAAGTTCATGTTTTTCCAATTGTTGCGCCAGCGCAATATTGTCAAAGTTGTCGAATGCATCGATAGATGTTCTTAAACCTTGATAGTCTTCCTCGTCGATGAGCAGCCCATTAAGAGCTTCATTGATGGCTTTGTTATTGAGTGATTGTACTGATCTCAGGTAAGGTTTGACCAGTTGCAAATGATTAGTACGACTAAAGTAAGCCACAGCGCGAGTATGATCCATACGTGGAGCCAAAACGAGAAGAATATCGTTCAGCAAGAGAGGCTTGAACTCGACGTAAAATTGGATGGCTTTGTAGTAAAGCTCAACGTTGGCGACTTTTGTAATGACGTCCTTGAAGTGACCCTCGCGCCAAGCTTCTGTTGGATGCTGCATCATTGCGAGTACAGCATTGTCATATTCTTCGTATTTGTCGTACAGAAAGACGAGTTCAGCCCACAAATGTGCTGATTCAGCAGCGCGCAGTACCTATCGCATGCAATAAAAACTTTATTAATATCTAATATGATTTTACGGCGATTCAAAAGTACACGTGTAAAACAAGGAATTTAAGTGTCATAACGAGTAATTTTAATTCAGACATCATAAAAGAAATGAGAAGTCAAAAAAATGACTCCTCTCTTAAGTATTATGTTTCTTTTAAAAAGCTCAAGTGAAACATTAGCTGAACAAGGTAAAGCAATAAGAGAACTATATTATATTCATAACATCCGTTCGAAATTCTAAGTGAAAATAAGCCACATAAACAATTCGAAACACTTACCTTAGGGATATTAACACGCGACCAGAAGAGCTCGAGATGCTCCCTCATTCTCTGAGGCTTATACTTGCTGTAGAGAATAGCCAATTCTGTAAACATTCCCATGTGGGCTCTCTCCAGACCAAGAGCGGCCTCCAATAAATTGATGAGTTCTTCGAAGTGTCCTCTATCCTGATAATAATTAATCAAGTCTTCAAGTTCGTCAGCGTGCACGACGATATGTAAGCCGCACATCTGAGCGAGTCTAAATTCTTCGCTGTCTACACAAGCGAAGCAAACTTCTTTCCACGTACGGGTTGAGTTAGCTTTTCTTGCGCTATCGACAGCTCCTTGGAATTCCTTCAAGTGCACGAGCGTGATAGCAAGACGTGCGAAGTTCGATACGTTGTTGTAGAGCAATTTGGCTGGTTCGTACATTTTATCATCGAAGCAACGATCACCGATCTTTTGGATATCTGCATGATTTGGTCCGGACATGAACTCTTCTAAATCACTCAAACGGTTAGTGCGAGCGTAGGCGTAAATAAGCTCCGACTCGATGAAGGACTCGCGCGCCTTTTTGCGAGCCATTTGCAAGTAACGTACTAGATCGTCCCAATGTGAAGTACGATGGGCCGTTTCAACGACATCGACGTACGCGGATGGATCGTCAGCTTTGATAAAACTGTCGATAGCTTCTTTTACCTTGCCTTGCTGCAGTTGCGCCCGGGCTGAAAATTGATAGAGCGTTGAAAATATCTGTTGCAAAAGTAATTATCACATAACAACCATGTCTTTGACTACGACTTACCCAACTGCGACCAGACTGCGGGTTCGTTGCATCTCTCAGCAAACTCGTAGGCTCTATCAAGATTTTTCACTTGCTCGATGAGTACTTGAATAGCGGAAGTATTGACATCGAATTTCTTGAAAATAGCAAATGCCTCCTCGTACAGCTCGTTGTTGATAGCAATATTAGCGATGTCGGGTGCGTCGTAGTTATCTAGACGGTTTATGTACTCCATGACACGGCTACGATCAGCCTTGATGGCTGTGAGAATGAGAAGATTCTGCAAATTTCTGTGCTCGCTGAATACACTGCTGTCAAGGACAATTTTCTCAAGTAACTCAATCAGCTCGTTTGGCAAATCAGCGGTCATGAAAGCTTTTACAGTGACGGAGATGTCTTCAGGATCTTGTGTCTCGGACAAAGCAGTCTGAACTACTTGATCAATGAGCGGTCTCTTGTAGGGATTACTCTCTTGCAATACCTCGGCCCAAAGCTCAGGATCACGTCTACGCACAAGGTAGCGCGCTTCGCTTTTAAATAGGCTGTTTTCGTTGCAAACGCTGATCAATTCGCGATCGCATTGGCCTCGCTCGTAGGCGATGCAGGCCAGATGGGGGTCGCGCTTCTCACAGTACTTGCCGACGACTCTGCTGTCGTAGAACTGATTTTCACGGAGGAATCGTTCGGGATTATTGTTGCTGTCGATGTAAATCTTGGCGAGAGCATTGTGAGTTGCAGGCTCGTTGCAGCTCTCGTGGAGCCGAGATTCCAACCATGGGAGCAAGAGCTTAAGTCGATTGCGTTTCTCAACCTCTTCGACGAGCTCGTCTGTCGAAAATTGACCACGAACGACAAGAATGAGGTTTTTGATTATATCTTCGGAGCAATCCACATCGAGCAAACCACCGATGACCACTGGCAGTCGGGATGGATTAACTTTTTGCACATAGATTTCAATGTATTTCTGTAAATTGTTGCGGTAAAGATACAATACAAGGTCGTGCACAAAGTCGAAACGATCGCAAACAATGATGAGCGGCAGTTGATCGACTAGTTTAGCCTCCTTGAGGAAATTTTTCACGCGTTCTGGATTATAACAGTTGCTTTCACGACAAATACGCTCGACTTCCTTGATTTGACCGGTTTTGCAAGCGGCTTGGATGTACTTGAAGTGAACCTCTTGGTCTTGGCTGAAGTTAACAATTGATCCGAGGAAGTAAAAGAGACTCTCGTAAGATTTGAAACTCTCGAAAAGATCAATTAGAGCTTTAGTGGTGAGTTGTTCGTGATATTTGGTCGCTATTTGCACGCATATCTGCAGATTTTGGCGCATGTTAGCGGTGAGCATGGCTTTGAGACACTCAAGCGAGTCCTCGACCGATAGAGTGCCGAAGAAACCTACGAGCCAGTCGGGAGACAAAAGATGGGTATGTACAACTGCGCGCTTGATGTCGTACAGGTCGGTGTAATGCTCGAGAGCACGCTGCAGCAGACCCGCTTTCTCACACAGTTGGGCAACGTGAGCCTTGTCGTAATGGGTGAACATCTGATTGCTGAGAATTGCGTCGGCAACCTGTGGCGCAGACATGAGATTCATTTCGAGCAAACGAGTTTGCAGAGCACCTTCGGTTGGTCTGTTGTTCTTCAATGCATCCAAAAGGAAGGCAGTGCATTGCTGCACCATATTTTGCTCCATAAATATATCAACAATTTGATTGATGTCAGCGAGAGGTTCATCGTCCTGCACGAGCATCTGAGCGAAAAGCACTCCTTGGTCGGGATTGATTCGCATGACGTTGCGTAACAAAAATATGTAATCCGGCGTGTAGGAAACTTTCTTAGCGTAGAGAACGATTTTTGAGAATTGTCCGGTCTCGGCAAAGCATTGTATCACCTTATTGGGTACGTTGGCCCGAAGATAAACGCTGAGAGCTAGTGTTGGGTCGACTTGTTTCACCAAGTCACCGAGTTCTTCGGAACATTCTAGCTTGTCTTCTTTCAACCATTTTTCAAGCAGTTGTTTTCGACCCTGTACGAGCACTGGTCTGCATAGCTCAAGAGATTCATATTTGTTAAGCTGACCCTGATCTAGGAGAATACCGAAATACTGCAAAAGAGGCGATGTTTGGCCCTGTGACGTAGGTACTTGTTGGAACTTCTGTATTGTACCAGGTGTACGTAAGATTCCTGAATTGAAATGATCGTATTAAAATCGATATTCGAGTACTCCTCAAAACTCTTAGAGGAAAAAATAAACTTACCTTTGGGAGCGTTGGCAGCAACTTTAGCAGCCTCTGCATATTGACCATTTTGGAAGAGCATGTTGAATTTTCTCACAAACAAATCTTCGGCACCCGATAAATTATTGCGAACTGCCATTCGTAACGCTAATTCGGGGTTTTGCAAAACACCATTGATGTATGGAATGATATTTTCTTCTTCAACTGAAACCGATAGTACTTGACCTTTGCGGTTGACTCCAATAATGCCTCCAGATTGTTCGTGAGGCGCTGTTACGAAGATCGTTTCGCTGGATATGCGATTCATAAATATGCATGTTGCCGATTCGATGTCGTACATATGGATGTAACCATACTTCGTGATCAAATAAATCACATCGTATTTGGAGCTCACCTATAATATTTTAAATACAAATTGAACAACACATACACTGATTTAATGATAGAAGAAGGTGATTGTTTTGAAAGTTCTATACATATGTCAAATATAAGATAAGAAAAATTTCCTAATGCATGCTACGAACTCTGATAAGTATAAAATTGAAAAGAATTCATGAATTTAATGATAAGTTGAATGATACATTTAATTTTATGATAGAATTATAATAGCCTTCATAAAAGCCTATTATTATTCTGAAACTTATTTTGGATAGTCTTTTCTCAAATATCATTATTTAGTGTATTTTCATACCTGCATAGCTACTGGAAAATCATTTCCAGCTTCTGGTGGGAAAAATACATCTACAGCTTTTTTAGGGAATGGTTGATTATTAGCTGGTGTATTTCCAACTTCAATAATGTGTAATTTAGCTCCTTGTACAGTTCTTACAGCAAAACAAAATAAATTGCTTGGCTCAGCATTGCTTTCCATCTTGAATTGGGCAAATGATGCTGCATGACCCTCAATGGGTTGAGAACATTTACGTTCCACCGAGTACAACTGCATATTTCCAACAACTCTATTGTTGTGAGCAGAAATTCCAATTAACAAAAGCCATGATTGTTTGATATCAGTGCGATAATTAATTATTTGACAGCCTAGTAAAGATTGGTGACGGTCAAATGCTTTGCTTGGTTGCGAATCTCCTTCCATAGACCAATGATATACTGAGGATTCTGTTACTAGTGCTAAGGTATTCAATGATATCCATTTCCAAAACACTACATCTTCAGTCATTGTATGTGCCTTCATTTTAGATTTCATTTCAATGTTGAAAATTTGAAGGGTTTTTTGAGCTATAAACAATAAATTAATTTGTGAGCAATGAAAAAGTGTTTTAAAATCAATGCAGTATACAACAGCACTTGAAAATTGTCACAATAATTTGAGTTTGTGATGCAAATTTACCTTTAAGTGCAATGACTTTACTGGCTGGATTCATAATAGCCGAATCAGCAGATATGGGTCTGCGGATGGGATTGGTTGTGTCATTCATGTCAATAATAACCACCTGTGCAGTGTCACCAACTTTTTCTCGGACACAGATGAACTTGTCCGATTCCATGGTGACTGTATTGAAGCTGACATTGTTGGCATTGATCCCCACAGCAGTGAGCTATTTATAGATGTAAAATAAATCATTTGAATGCTTCGATCATATTTTTGAATTTGATTTAGTAGTAAAGATTTGGCTTAAAGCAGAATTGGGAAAAATCGCGTAGTGAGAATTTGAAGGATATTAAAAGTTTTCAAAGAAAATGAAAAATGAGTATTTAATTGCATACAGCCGAGCGCATATCTCGGGCGCAAGAGCGATTAATTCAATAAGTGAAAGTAATGTGCCTCTGTGCCGAGTTAAAGAGACAATTAATAAGCCGACCCATACACAAATGTACTTGTGAGAGGATGAATCACGGGTACGGACATATCATTGCATCAAAGGGCCGTCGACGCGTATTATGCGCAGGTTTATGCTCGATAATTATTTGTGCATAAATGAAAGCATGTTGGCTTTGTTGTGAGGGCCCATCAACACATGCGTCTCGGTGCTCGTCGATTTGAATTGAGGCACGATTGCTCGGGTACATTGCGAGATGAAGAAGAAGAAGAAGCTATCATCGCGATAGATTGCGCGCGCGTGCATAATACACATCACCTCTCTCCGACTCTCTCGGTCTCTCGTCTCGCGGTCATCGGTATATGCAGCTTAATATGTGTGAAATGATGCACGCACACATGCACACATAGGATAGAGAGAGAGACGCCTGCTACTGCGTGTCCGTGTACACATAGGTAAGCGTCCATACATACATATGATAATAAAAAAATTGCGAAACGGCGCGGCAAGAATATCATCAATCGTGCACATTATGAAGCGATCGTCAACATACATATCTACGACGTGTCATAAAAGGGGCGTGTACGATTGTGTACACTGCTGCTAGCACACGCATCCGTGTGTGTTGTATATATGTAGTTTTGCGCTGTAGCGTGTGTGTTGTTCGGCATATTACGGTATTGTATGTAGCAAACATTATAACGAAAAATAGCTTGATACGAGCGCGAGCAGAGGCGTATAACGCCGACAAGGAAATCTGGTTGAAAGCACATTTCGCGAAAGCGCATATTATCGCGTCGCCGGACAGCCGCATTTGTGTAGAATGGCCTGAGTAATACGTACGCTACTGGAGCCCGCGTATGAGTGTGTGTGTATGTGTTTGTGTATGGGTGTTTGTTTGTGTGCATGTGAATGCACGCATGCAAGGATGCATGCATCTACGTTTCTCTCTCTCTCTCTCTGCGCGTATGTATGAATGTACATTTATGCGAAGCTGCACAGCGCGAAAAAGAGAGAGAGAGAGAGAGAGAGAGAAGCAGACGTGGCTAGTTGTAGGCTCTCTAATCGATTGCCGCCCTCCCTCCCGTCCCTCTTATATATCTCTCTTGCTCTCTCTTGCTCATTCTTACGTATGGCGTATGTGTGTACAACTTGTATTCGCATACCTATACAAACGTCTGTCGTTCGAGATGTTGCAAGATAAGCGCACACACATACACGCGAATGTACTCTCGGGCATTCACTCACACAGGCACTCATCAAGAATGTAACTCTTTAAGCGAGCGACCGAGAGAGCCAGACAGACAGACAGATAAACGAACGGAAAATGAGCGATGACGAATAGAGGATATCGGCCCAAGAGGAAAGCATAAGTTTTGCAGCGCTGCGGCTAGAAGGGACTTTCGGAGCGCGGCTCGTAAACGGAGTCGTTGCTGGGCCTGGCTGCGGTTCGCGATGCGCGTATACGGTACAACGCACACACCCGGTGCAGGTGTAAAAACGGAGCGCGCGACCGTATCGGCGCGTCGGAGGGGGCGCCCCGCGTACCTGTAGGTGTTCCTGAAACCGAATGGGTAGCAGCTGCGTCATCCTGACGTCGTCTCTGGCGTTACTTCAGATCCGTGGCGATGATGTACGTGCTGAATTGTAGTAGCAGCGCCGACTGCCGAGTCTGACGCATTCGCTTCCGAGCGCTTTCGGGGTTAAACAGCAACTTGTGTACTCGCACTATAAAGATGATGATCACTCGACGCGACTCGGTGTCGCCTCTCTGACTGTTCACTGTCGTTGTCCTACTGTTATGTGTTTAATCTTTACTATGACGTACGTATGTGTGTGTGTGTGTGTGTATGTACGCGCGAGCTAGTGTTTGTCCACAAGATCGCTGCTGCTGCTGCTGCTTGGATCGAGTTCGCTACGTATGCTGCTTGACAGTTGCGGCCTCTCTACAACGATTCAGCACTGCCTGCGCGAAGAACCCCGACGTTAAACACACTATTGTACAGTATGCTCGATGCTCCCGATGCTCGGAGCGGCGGTGTACGATAAGCGAGTGTAGTAGCGATTCGAGCACGCTCGAATTTATAACTGTGACTCCGATTTCACTCGCTCTTACGAACGCACGCTATGCTAGGCACTGCGGTTGTTAAACTGACTTTGGAGCGGCGGCGGCGGCGGCAGCGGCTACGACGACGACTACTGCCGACGAGATGCGAGTCACGGGTCAGCTTCTATGTGTGCGAACGCACTGCCAACATTTTCTACCTGTCTCTTTCTCGCGATTATCATTCAGCAATGTCTTGCCAGTTGCCTCCCTCCCTAGCACACACACACACACGCTCTCTCTCTCTCTCTCTGTCCCTCTTGCCACTTGTACCGCAGACTTCTATGTAACTGCACGCCAACGTTTTATAACCTGCTCGGCTTGCCTCGATCACGCTTCTACGTCGAGAACGTCGAGCAAGAAAATGTCAATAAGAGTGACGATTCGGGTTATAAAGTCGCAATCGGTACATATGCTCGGAGCCAAAGTAAACAATTGATTAAAATCGTCGCGCTCATGGGAAATGGCCCCGTGATCGCCCGACGAAATCAGCGTTTCGAAACTATCGTAACGTCGCGTTGGCGTTGCGCGAAAAATTTCTCTACGTTGGTGGCGCATCGTCCTGCTTCTGCACTTTATACGTCTCGCATTTGGCGCGCACGATTCGATTTGTGTGCAGTTACAGTATCACACAAAACTTCAGCTGTAGTAGGTTCGAGTTCGAACTTTGATACGGTTGAACCACTGCAATCGGTGCAGTTGTTGACTGTTTCCAGCAAGCTGTCATGACGTGATGCTGCGATCAGTGCCAGAAGCTGCTGCAGTTATTCGTGCTTCGAAATACACATTCGTTCTCACCGGCTGCTCTTGGCATCGTCATTAATTTTACTCCCAATCGTTGCACATTCTTACCTATTGTGCATACGCCCACATTTATTTTCGGCGATCGCTTATTATTGTTCACCTCGCTGCCTATTAACCAACTACTTTTGTTGCTGTTATAATTAGTATTATTCTCAGAGAAAAAATAGAGTTTTAAAAAAATGCTTACATCATTTTCGCGTTCTCCTCTCGTATATATGTACGTTCTAATTTGATAAGATAAAATTGATAGAATGGAAGAGCATTATTAGACTTTATTTTATTTTGCCATCTTACCTACAGTTATACGTGGCTGGGAATTTACGCTCAACGCTCCATTAATTATTTGAATTTGCACGTTTGGGAAATATTTCATGAATCACTCGAAATTTCTTCGCTGTCAGGATCTCTCGCGACGTACATAACGCTACGCGTAAAATGGTATTTACTCGCTACATAAGTATTTTTGAATTAAAATGTAGTATTTCGTTGATCCTCGTGAAATTATTCAACTTGCATTATTCACGTAAAGACAATTTCCAGTTCTAGAGGCGATAAAGAAAGTTTCCTGCCTTATCGCTGGATCGCACCTTGCGCGCGAATCTCCGCTCTCGCAGCATGTGCCATATAGATTTGTTGAATTGGATAGAAGCTAGCAGCAGCCAACACTGCGAATCGATCGCCCCAAAAATCCAGATGTCTCCACGACTCGCGTTAACGGTCTTGTCGTCTGCTTACACGCTATTTAATAACACTGTATGTCTGCATGGCCTGCTCCGATATTGCCTCGTATAAGTGAAAACATCATGCCGTGTTGATTACCTAATTATCTATACCCCCAGCATGTGGTCTCAGCACAGTGCTTGCCCGTAAAAAATGCCAGGCTATTTTTAAATTAATTACTTGCGTGAGTATTGATTGATAAGTCACTGACCCAGTGTCATGTCATCCTCTGGATTAAATTCAATTCTTGATAATATTGACGTTTTGTATTGAGACATAGAGGATATAACATTTTTTTTGTGTATCTGTAATCAATTCATCAGCTCAGTCTCGTGCTCAATCATTGCACACATTTTTTTCGCTTTTTTCTGTCATATAAGAGCCAATTTTTCAACTATTATTATGTCTTCATTACAGACAGAGCTGCATCAAAAATGTTATCTCATTCATGTTATCCAAATTAGAAGTCATTAGCTGCTGTTGCAGATTATTCCATCAGTATGCTCTTGACTGTATTTTATATGCTTGCCACATGGATACAATCGTGGAGACTTTCCTCTCTAAGAGGACGTCTTCAGGCAATACTGCTAGAATCAGAGGCTGCAAGGCCTTCTGTTATGCTCTACACAGCCTCCCAACTTAGTATCAAAGATGGTACTTTTGTTAAATTTTCATTAAAAATTTTTTTACTATGTAAGTGATATAAAAATATAAATAACATTTTATTTATGATTTAGAATCAAATAACGGTGCTTGCTGCAGTAAATCGTTAAATGGAAATGGCAATGGCAATGGTAAAGGTAAACATGATCTGCTGAGCTCTCATTTATGCAGCAATAGCAATATAGCTAAATTAGGTGATCTTTTGTGGTATCAAGGAGATAAACGACTCTGTACAATATATCCTCAAGTAAGCATTATTCCAAGTTCTTTGCATTAAGAATTCTATGAAATGTGATATAATAATAAAACTCTTTTCTTTCAACTTTAGCAAAAAATTGATGTTTCAAGTTGGCTGCTGTATCCATATGGGAGAACTATTTTTCCCCTTTTCACTCACAACAATTCTCAGACATCTTTATTACAAGATACAAAATTGCACGTATTGATAGAAGCTGATTTGAAAAAATTCATTCCTCTTGCTTTTACCAAAGCCACTAAGGTTTGTCAACATTAATGTGTATACAAATATGATTAACTGAACAAAACTGATGTGTTTTCTCATTGAATTTAGCTTGAAGATTATGGTACAATTGTTGCATGGACTTCCGATGACATTTTTGCTGTAATACTTGAAACAGATTTAGAACACATCACTAAATTCTCTACTACTCTTATGCAGGGACAGTGCTTCATTAATAATGGATTACCTGTGACTCGTATCGAATGTAAATTACTTTTTTTAACTCAACATAACATCTTTCTTTCATGCAAATGTTGACCCCACTATTACTTTTTAGCTGTTTCAGTTAGTGGAAAACCTTGTGTGTGTAACTATGAAAGATTCAACTTTTCTGAAAGTAGAAGTAAGAGTATCAATAGTGCCATTGTATTTTTTTAAATAATTTTTTAATTATTTTTCAATTCAAACTTACAATCTTGAAAAAAAATGTTTCAGAATTGACTGGTAGTTCTCAGTGGAATAGTTATATCAAAAAATTAAGGCTTGTTAGCAGTGCTGCAAGAATTGTATCGGAACACAATGAATCTGTTGAATTGAAAGAAATTCCTGGTCTCATTGTTTCACCTGGGTGCAAACCAATTTCCTTACAACTACCTACTATTTTAAAAATAACAGATCCTAAAGACAAAGCAGGTACAACAATAATCAATCAATTTATTAATATTTTTTAACCATTTCAATGATTGAAAAATTATTTGTTAAAAATGCAGCTGTGAATGATTCATCTGTTCCCTGCACTCCTCCACCCACTCCAGCTTCTGCAACAAATACAGGGAATGGAAACTCATCTAATCAAGCTTTGAAAAGTTCCATCGATCTACATCCATCACTGACTGATTTATCTATAGGTTCCATGTCAAATTTGAGTACATCTAGATCTCAAGACTTTATTCTTGAAGAAAGTTCACTAGAAAATCTGAACGAAACAACGCCTTTGAGAAATATAAAAAATTTAAAGAAATACCAGAGCAGAGATACCAGAGTATCCAGCATGGCATCATCTAGATCTTCTTTAGCTAGTACAGTAAATTTTTCGCCCTCAAGGAAAATTGATGGGATTACTAAACCACCGAATATTCTAATATTTGCCGACAGCGCCAATGCTAACGATAACGTCCGGGGTGTTCTTGAAACTATTCTGAAAGAAAACAAGTAAGATGAACGCATATTTTATTTTATAAAGTTAATGTTAATATTAACATGAGCATTTAAAAACAAATTTTTTTTGCTTTCAATTGCATATTAATTTTAAAAACTGCATGTAATATCTTGCTTTGTCTATTCTGCAGATATGTAATTTACGCGTTAACGGTAGACGAAGCGAAAGATGATAAGTGGATGGATCAAGCAAATCTTGTGATAGTCTGTGGTAACGTCGGTGCGGACGTAGGCGCTCAGCTCGTCGAATACATAGTTCGTGGAGGCAAACTATTAGCCCTTTGCTCCGATATTCTGAAGACTTTGCTGCCCGCCTTCAAGACGGCTGAGGTTCGCGAAAACGAGCTCGTGCGCTTTTCTTACGGCAAGTGGCAGCACGTCAGGATGATGCACCACGTATTTTGCTATCAGGCTTCACCTGTGAAGACCAAATTCTCACACGATCAAGAAGATTCAGGAAGGTAAGCTCAATTTTCAAATGTACACGGAGTACGTGAAATGAAAGTTTCAATTTTTTCAAAGATCGGCGACGCCACCGACGCCGATTTCGACGACGATAGTCGATCGTCAAGGCAAGTCGCACACTTTCGGCGTGAGGGTGTTGGGCTCCGAGGAAACGTGGCACACGCCGAGCATACTACTCGCCGACCAACCCGAGAGCGGTGGCAAGGCGGTTTTCTCGCAGATCCATCTCGAGGCTGATCCGTCGCAGTACGAGCTCGAGGAGAGTAAATTCAACGCTTTGAAACAGAGCAATTCCGCTCGCCTGGAAATATTCGCCGACTTGCTGGCTAATCATTTGGGAATGCACGTGAATCCCAAGCCCAGAGTACCGCCCGTTTATACACCGGGGTTTTTTCTTGGCAAGCACGAGGTAAGATTAGAACCAGTAGAAAAATTGCCACTAATTTTGTATACCTACATCTTTTCGACACACGATGTAAATATTATTCACAGATTCGCAAAAACACATAATAATTAACACTACTATCAATGCATCAACACAATTCCTAACATGCAACATAATGCACTAAATGTAACAATCTATCTACTCGCAACATCTTTATTCTGTATCATCTTAAAAACTATTGGATACTTTCGTCTAGCTGAAATTGGAAATGCTGAAAAATTTGAAGAGTAAGATGGGCGAGAAAGATGTAATAAAGAATTCTAAAATGGAAATACAATTTTGCGGCACGACGAGCAACGCTAAACCTGCCAGTTCCATGTTCCTTCCGGTAATGGTGCACAGGTGTCCGGAAAATTTTTCCACTGTAGAGTACTTCGAGGTAAGATAAGCACGACTATATAATTCGTTGTTTTTTACACTCATGAGTCTTTTTTCAGAATCTTAGTACCCGAGAAATCGGACGCTTAGTAATTTACACCGACATATTGACTTCCACATGCGATGTCGTTCAGGATTTAGAGCTACATCATGGATTGGCTGTCGTCTCACGTTTACAAACAAGGGGTCAAGGTAAGGATTTAATAATTCGATACCATTTACATCAAATAATGTATTGAAATTCCAACTACGTGGTTATTTTTTAATAATTAGGGCGCGGCAGGAATTTGTGGCTCAGTCCTGAAGGTTGCGCCATGTTCAACCTACAGCTTCACATTCCAAGGGATTCAGTTCTTGGTGGTCGCATACCGTTGATTCAGCATTTAGTGGCAACGGCTATTGTGCACGCAGTCAAGTCAATGCCCGATTACGAAGTAAGTTAATTATACAATAATCGATCACAATAATCGATCGTTTTTCAGATAACTCATTATCAAAATTTTCACAGAATTTAGATCTGAGATTGAAATGGCCTAACGATATTTATACGAGTACTGGATCGAAAATTGGTGGACTTGTAGTTAAATCATTGCTTAAATCGAATACCTACATATGTGATATAGGTAATTGAGAAAATATTAACGATTCAACTGAATCATAATTTTAATTCGATGAAATACATTTTTAGGTACAGGAATTAATCTGTCGAACAGTTCGCCCACAGTTTGCATTAATGACCTCGTCAAAATTTATAATGAAAAAAATTCTAAAAAACTAAAAAAAATAACTACTGAAAAACTTATAGCTCACGTCTTTAACCATATAGAGAGTTTGATTGACGAAGTACAAAAAGGCAATTTCAAAGGCTTTCTACAGTTATACTACAAATATTGGCTGCATACGTAAATAATTTTTTATTCTGTATCTAATTTAATTTGAATTACATTTAATTTGGTATTTCTTAATTTCAGAGAGGCAGAAATCACAGTTATGCTACCGGACGAAACGGCACACGACGTGAAGATATCGGGAATTGATTTATATGGATTTTTGCAAGTAGAAGATAAACAAGGAAAAGTATTCACAGTACAACCCGATGGAAACAGCTTCGATATCATGAGTGGTTTGATCGCGCCAAAAATATAAAACAAAATTATTAAGCTATTTAAATTATTGCATAGTGTAAAATTGTGAATCTCCCGAAGAATTTGCATTTATGATAGTTGTTACAAGTCATTATACATTATGTCGATGTCTCAACTTTTTAGACTGTTTTTTATTTGTTATTTTTATATTTTTTATGTTTTAGTTTTTTGTCTTTGGTATAGTCTTCCTAATTATTATGACGTTATCAATATATGTAATATCACGATGTAAATAAAATACTTGGGCATTAAACGCAGTGCACAACCTTTAATAGTCAAAGTTAAATCATCAAAAATTTAAATAAATTTAAACGTATACTTTATCGCGTGATAATTTCAAAAAATGTATCGCTCTTCTCATTAATATTCTATATGTATGTACATGGGAAACTGCCTACGTGAGATGTGTAAAAGATATTATATTTAAATAATATATATTTTATGGGAATAATTCTACCTGTAAAACAAACAAAAAGTTATAAAATTATTGTAAATCTTAACAATATCCTCCAGATGTGATCTAGTTGTTGTTAAATGGCTTAAATATATCTTTTTTTGGTATGAAATAGATTTTAATAGCCTACATTATTATAATACCTATTAAATGTTCCAGGAAAACGAGAAATACTGATGAAATAATTAGTCTTTGAATTTGTGCTATAATATATTTCATCAAGATCTTTTATACAGATATCAGGTATCGGAATCGAAGAGCATGTCCGATCCTTGAACAATATTATAACTTGCGCACACACATACACTCATACACAAGTTTTCATTTGCGCCTTGCACTCATTATTTACTTTTTCGAACAAATTTATTCCATATCATTTTTTACAATTTCGTGTTACTTTCAGATTGCACTTCTCGAAAAACCACCGATAAATATATTTTTATTATATCATATTTATAAGTTTTTATTCTGAATCGACGGTAGTTCAATAATAATAATTCTGATAATAATAAATAATAGTATTAATGATAATCATGGTAATACCGCTTGCCTAATTGTATGTTTGAAGTCGCTGTCGATCGAGTTTTTTTGTGTATATTAATATACTTATACTTTATTCCATAAATTTATGTACTGACTACATTTTTTTTGTCAATGCTTCAGAAAAAATTAGTACGAAGATATATACGAATGATTTAATGACGAGTGAGAGAGCGTCATTAATTTGGTGTCATTTACGTCAAATTCAATTTTTCATTTTTTCTATTCTTTACCTCAATATACTGAAATAATATATACAATAACCCACGAAAGACTGAGACTTTATCAACATTTGTTAATCGTTAAAAAATATTCAATCAACTTTTTAGATTACTCAATTTATATTAACTGTATTTATTTTATTTATTTTTAATCTTTATTTATTTTAGTCATTTTTCTAAATTACATACCTGGACAGAAATTTTTCATTATAATTTCGTTTTAATTATTCATAAAATTAAATTTTTGGATATGCTTGGAGACATTATACGTACGATGAATATGCATTCAAAGTTAAGTTTGGCTGAAATAAAGACGTGAGAGTAAATGAAATGAACTAAGAATTCCTTTTAGATTTGCGATGCGTAATAATAAATACTTTTCTCAATTATTTAATACTGATTCGTACAATAATTAATCGAAGGCTTCGTCACGTATCATAGCCATTTGTTAATTGTTTTTGTTTCTATACATTCGATTTTTTAACTAGTTACATTGGTCCTTCAAGGATGACGCGCCGCGGTTTGTTCTAAATTTGGGTTTGTCATTTTGATCCTTTTTTTTAATAATAATCATCGCTGCTCACCCGCATATACATAACTTGGCTCCGAAAGGTATTACAGATTTTTTTAATAATCGTACAATCTTTTAGTTGCGATGATTCGTTAACACGTTTACAATTTTTTTGTTCTTACCATTGATGCCTTCTTTCTTTTTAATTTTCCTCGAGGAAATTCAGTTCAAACATTTGTTCACTTACATGACTTATATTGTTTTATCGTATAGCTGCTTATTAAATTCTACAGTTGCATAACTGATGAGTAGATCTGTACAAGTTGATACTAATTTTTTTTACGTTGAATTGCGAAAATCGACAAAAGGTACCACGTGTGTAAGTTGTTCGTTACTATTTTTTTATTTATTCTACTTACTTTTATCTTACTTTGAATGAATATATGCAGTGGTTCTTCGTTAAATAACACAATTTGCATAGATAAATATAATTATAATTCAACAGCTTTGAGTGTCACAACAAATTATAATTATATTTAAAAAAATTCAATTTGTCGCCTATCTATACAATTCAACGTTTTATCGTTCACAATTAAAGCTAAATTAAAATACAATTTGTACTCAACAAAAACAATACAAAAAATGTTTTTCGTTCTAAATTTTACAAATTTAGAATAACTGCTTACAGTTATTGAAGTTACCATTAACGCTACTATAATACATTTTTCTTGCGCAAACTTACTATAAAACTTTTTGTTCGAGATTAGTCGTGCACTACTGCATAAATATACGCGTTATTTATTTATAATTGGATTAGCGTACAACGGGTATTACTCCACGAGAAAATTGTCTGCGTTTACTGATATGATTATAATAATAAACAAACTTCATTAAATAATACGCAAATATATTCGTTTATGAAGTCTTCCTTAAAAATTCGATAATGATTTATATATGTACGATTGAAATATTTATACATAACACTTACAAGTTTTTAACTAGTATAACATTGTATAAAAAACAATGCAAAAAAATTTTTTAAATAATACCAAAATAAAAAGTGGCATAAACGCACGAATTTCCACTATACCCCATCGTGTACTACTATTAATTTTTTCATTGCAGTTCAATTAAATCATTACTATGCTCTCGACTTGTATTTTCTTTTGGTTAGAAAATACGTTTATGCATAGTATATTTACATCTTCGAATTGTTTTTCTTGATCAACTCTATGACAATGTAGTAACATAATCTCTCATTATTTATTCGTACACACCATTTCATCATATTTATAAGATCATTAATAACAATAATCCTTACACCATCGACATATGACCGTATTACCTACCAATAATATTTATATATTTAACACTATTCAAGGCTATGACAATGATATAGAATATTTATTATAATGTTGATTCAACATTTACGTATATATTTTTTTAATAAATATTCAGAGGCAGTTTAGCTTTTTGTCTTTTTTGTAGCAGTCTGCTCTGAGATTAAAATTTTCTATGTCGTAGCCGAAAAATTATTGTAATATGTACATACAGTGGCTGTGTGTCTTACAAACTATTTCGATATTTTGATGTAAATTGCAAGAATACGTAACTAAGAAACTTAAGATTACCAACATTTTTGAAATAAATGATGTATAATGATTTAATTATGAGTTCAACAGTTTCTTACTTTTTATTATGCATTGGCAGTCATGATTTGAGAAAAGTTAATTAATGATTTGTATTTATTTTTAAGTTTTTTCAAACTTTTTTGAACGATCCAACTAAAATATCAATTGTCCATGTCCAAGCTTCACCACGTATTATTTGTAGGCAGAAATTTATTTACTTAAAAAAGTAAGATCCATTTTCACATTATTTCACAGTAGGGATTTATGAATTGAACAAAAAAACTCAGTAATTTGAGAATGAACTCAAGAATACAGTTACAACTGTACGTATAAATGTACGCGATTATCGTTGTATTGATGGATTATTTCATACAGACTCATTCATTTAAATGATAAGTCATGCAAGATTTATCAAACAATCTTACATAGTAATCCAATTAACATTTTATAATAATTGCTCAAAATAATTGCAATTAATTTTACAGCACTTTGTTTACAATGCGCAAGTGCTTATGACCGAGGAAAGATATATCACCGTTAGCCGCGCGTTTTCTTAATTTGATGCATTTGATATAACAATGATAAGAAAGCACCGGTTATCAAACAGTTTTTATACTTTGGTCATAATATACGAGGAAAAAAATTCCTAAAAAAAAAACCATAATGCGTGACCAGAGTTTTAAGTGTATAATAAGTTGATTAAAATGCATTTTCAGCCTTCTGGCGAGATATCATGGCTCTTCGAGCAGAAACGCGTAAATATATACCATAAAAAAACGATTTGCCGTATACAGAACAGTATCAAATAACGCACTACTGTAATCGTCACTTTAGATCGACAAACAATACCATAAAACCTTCATCTTGAGTAGATGAAAAGCTCCACAAAGCTGAACAAATAATAATGAATAATGTTCATCTTAGCGGAAATCGTAATAAAAATTAACGAAAAATATTATTGCCTTAAAAAAGAATAACGCTTCAGATGTTTGAATTTTTACAACGCGTAAACAAATATCAAACAGTACAACCATCCAAGTGTGTATATGTGTATACAGGCGTTGATCACAGACGCGTACTCAACGGTTTGAATTTTTACTATACATAAGTTTGATTAAAAACTACATTATTTTTATATATAGAGGCAGTATATACATTTCTTACACAAGAGACGAAATTAGTCGCGATCGTCTTTCAGTTGTATCTCTTTTCTGAAACTCGTTCATGCCCATTAACGGGGCTACTTTCTGACTTTTGGAAATTCGTTAAAGCATTTGCTCTCCAACCCGGTACGAACGTCGTCTTGTAAAATGAATTTAGAATTTTTTGATCGACTGATATACATTATTTATATCACAGAAGCAGCGACAATTAATTGTTGTAGCGCGTAATCAGACGCGAAGTTAAAAAACCAGAGGCAGTTTTTTACATCTCTCTTTTCTTCTAAGGCAACGACAACAACGATGTATAATAAAAAAACGGAATCTCATTTGACGCTAGATTGGAAGGAAAGAATTTAGATCAATCGTGGATTGCCACGTATAGCTCGATGATACAAGTAGGGTGCAGTTTGTAAACCGGCATACGATCTTTGACGTGGCAGCTGTTGTTGTTGTTGTGGCTGCTGATGCTGCTGCTGCTGATTGTGACCAAGAGGAAGACGTATGGTGGAGATACCCGAGGCACCGGCCAGTAACGAGGAAGACGACGAGGAGGAGGCTTGCGGCGGCTGTTGCTGCTGGAGCAAATGACTGGCGCCGTCGCCAAGATCCAATTCGAGCTCGTGAGCCTCGACTAGCTGGAGGGCATCGAACGACGCAGTGGCCATAGCCACGTCGGGCATCAGGCCGGATAAATGACTCTCGCTGCACGAATTATTAGCCAGATGCTGGAATGAGAAATTAGCGACAATTAGTCGTGACATTTCAAGGACTCGCTCGATTCGGACTCTGAATCCCAATTCATCGCTCGCAATTAGACGAAAGCAATCTTTGAATCTGCCGCTTCTACGCAGTACTTGGAGTACGAAGCTACGCGAGCGTAGAAAAACAAAACCGAAAGAGACGAAATAGGCGGAATAAAATCGTACCTCGGCGGATAGCCGGTAGTTCTCGCCTTCGGTGACGATAGCGGGCAGTTCGTGATGTCTCGGGCCAGTAGCGCTGCGGTACGAAGACGAGCCCGAGCCGAAGCGCGGAAACGTCATATTTCTGCCGTAGCAGCCTGCGCCGGACATGGCCCCAGGAGTGGCCGCGTCGCCGTGATGATTGTTATTGCTGCCGCTGCCGTTGTTGTTGTTGCTGTTGTTACCACTGGTCGTTGCTACCTGCAGTTGATGATGGTGCTGATGCTGCATGCCCATCAGCATGTTCTCGTCATCGGCGCTGACCGACGAGGCTTCCTGATCGCTCAAGTTGTAGCACGTTGCGTTCTTGAAAAAAAGAGTCATAAATGCATGCAAATATTAGACAGTGAAACTAATTAGTTTCTCAAAGAAAATATTCAATCATCCGAGAAAATGTATGAAAATGCCGAATGCGCGCAAAATTGAAAACCACAATTTGGCGCGACAATTTGCATTTTCCAATTGCGGAAAAAGAGTCCGTGCATAAATGCGTTGTTACGGCTACGAGATACGCCACTCGGTATCGGATCGAGACACAAGTACGCGCGTCGAGCACAAAAAATACAGATTTTTTTTTTTTAGCTCAAACTTGGAATACATAATTCGCAGGCGTCTCTCGTTTCACCGTTATCAGTGCATACAAAACGATAGCATCCGCAAGATAACGTCACGCGCCGCGGCTGCAACAACTTACTCGACGCGATTTCGATCTTGAAAAAGATTCGATAGTGCGCGCGCGACGAGCTTGCAAGCGATATACTTACTCGCTCGAGCGCAAATCGAAAAGGCCGATCTACGCGCCTTAATAGTGAAATAGGTGTTCAACGGGCAATTATTTGCGTCGCGCATCGGAGCTATACAACAGCCTATTTTTGGTCGTCGCCCCGAGTGAATTGATAGAAGCAAAAAAGCCGAACTGATCTCAATGTAAGTTGCCGATGATGATTCGCCTCCGAGTACTAGGACTTTCGTTGGAAAGTACGCGTACTCGTCTCTCTCTCTCTCTCTCTCTCGTTGAATCGAACGAGCTGTTGGCTTAATGCTACGCGCAGCAGTTAAAGCGCCGAGCAGAGCCGTAACAGTAGTCGGAGAGCAACAGTAGCATATGCATGTAGAGGGTCAAAGTCAAGTTAGCAGTGTGTATACGGCGTAAGCTCGAGCAACATCAGTTGTCGTCGGACGCGCGGTTTAGTCAGCTCGAGCTAATAGTCCAAGGGGCCCTCGGGACGCCCGCCACCGCAATTTCCGCTCCCATCGACACCATCGCATACTTTTTTCATTTATTAATCTCGTACCGTTTCAAGTGACGACAATTCCAAAGAGAAATAATTTATTTTTTCGGTGAGTGCTTTGAAAAGTCTACACGATAGTGTATATTGATGTTTTTGTTTCACGTGCACTGTGCGAGCTTTCGATAGCGAACTTATCGAGAAACGAAAATAATTTTTTCTTATCTAGAATTAACAAAAGTAAAAATGCGAAAAATTGAACAAAATACGTTGGTGTTGTCAAAAGGGGTGAAATGTATTTTAGATAAAAGTACGTATTACATTCGGACGTTTATCGTTTTGCCTTCCAAACGAAATTTTGAAAGCCGTCCAAGTTACAAAGGAAACATGCCCACAAAAATGAATATTCATTGCGAGTTCGTTTCCTTTTGAATACGCAAAGACAACCACAAAAAAGTTTGCCATCGCGTACCTTTGGAATAAAAAAGATTCTCCAATGCGCATATTTCGGGGAAAAAAAATTATTCGAGACGAGAGAAAAAAAATTGTTCTCGCGCGCTGACGGTGCGATGTTATATCATACAATACGAAGCGCTGACACTTTGCATAGTCGCATACTTTTCTTTGATAAACATTTCGCTCGCGCTCACATTTTCTGCTGCGAAGAAAATCTTGATATCTCGAGGATATTTTAATTGAAACATCTCGTTATGAATTGAACAAATCAATGACTTTAATGACAGCCGCTGTAAATTTTAATTTTATAAAAAAGGACAAATTAGGCGGGATTTTGTAAGAAGCTAAAACAGATCGGAATCACACAGGAAGAACGATAAATAATTTAAGATTAAAAAGTTAAATATACCTTATAAATAAATAAGAAATAATCTAGACTTTCATTTCTTTTTTAGATTAAATAAATAATTCTATACCAACCATAATTTATAAATGACAATACTATAAAGTTGGTTTAATAGGAAAATAGTAAAGCTTTTCATGATCAAACCGCATGACGTATAGCAGTAAGTAATGCAATGTAATATAATCAAGGGAACCCTTGAATCTTAATACATGTCCACGCGCATATTTGTTTCAAAGGACAGATTTTGATCCCAAGCTTTATTCTTCTCTGAGCTTTTATCCTTTCATTTTTTCAAGAAATTGCAATAAAAAGTACCATATGAACTTTTCAAGTTTTTTTAAGACTAATAATTTTTATATCAGTTGAAAGAATGAGCAAAAAACGCATACAAAAATACTGAGTGACAATCGATTTCATATTTACTCTATAAATATTAAAATGAACTTAAAAAAAATACGTAGTCTATCAATAATGAAAATAAAAATTTTTTCATGTATACATTAAATTTTATTTTGTTTTACACCATTTGGATTGTGCTGATTAAAACAAAAAAAGCGTGAAAAACTCAGTAAGTTTTTTGCACTTTTGCAATGATAATGGGAATAAACGCGAGTGTTAACTAATGCATTTTACACGTCATGTCGATGAAAGAACAGTATTACGCAATCAAAACCATGCGATATAGAAAAATTAATTATTATAGTTGTTAATTGAAGAATTAATCGTAACACAATGAACTGACTTTGCGGAAGTTCACGAGTGCATTTACGTAAGTTTTTCAATGACAATTGTCTTTTTTATTTTCTTTGAATGAAAAATGGAAAAAAAAGGATCAAATGATCGAATGCTAATGAGGCTATTGACATTATGGCACCTGTTAAATCAGTTCAAGTTATTCTCAAGAATATTCAACGTTGTTGGGAAACAAACGTTTTTGAAGCAATGGGTCAAGTAAATTCATTGATTGAATGTATACTTTTAGAAGATTGACATGGTGATTTATAGTTTTGACATTGCGTGCGACAGCTCGATTACTACATTATCTATTGTATTTTTATTTTTGAACCAGTCACGTCTTAACTGAGTAATTGATTTGTTTCCTCGCGTTTCAAAATTATTTCGTACATGGTTTATCAAGCTAACGGTTGTACTTAGTACCAAATTACTAGTTACGAATAAATGGGATGCTTCATTTTCAATTACTCCAATGTCATCTTCCTCGACATTATGTAAGCGAATGCTACTTGAAAATTTGTACCCTATTAACTCGGCGAAAAAAGAAAAAATTATGCAATTCAACAAAGTTCCGAAGATGAGTGCGCATTAGTTCAGATTAAATGCAAGTCGAGCTCATTTTTGAAATGTTGAAGCCAACGTTTGCATCCGAAATAAACTTGGCATCTTTCTCGGGGACTACTGACATCGGATCATTTCGTTCCTTCTAGACTCGATGATAATTCCATTATGCTCGAAACTGGTCTAGCAATTACAATAATGAAAAAGAGCATCGCGTTCCACCATTAAAAGTTTATTAAACGTGTATCTTGCATTTTAATATTTGCGACACGGGAGACGTAATTTTTGAATCAGCTGTTCTAGACGGCACGCTCCGAGTGAAAAATGACAGTTTGCATATTCAACAAAGAGTTTTAACGATAAACGCGACACATACATTGTTCGCGCAGATATGATATTCATCTCGTGAAATATCTTCGAGGTATTGAGTCATTTTGACACCTGTGATAGATACAACATTTTTTCTCAATGCACACGGAAATTTTGTCGATCCATTATTACAGAGCCAAGTTTCGTGCTTATTCACGTACACGTACAGTCCGATGTGACAATCTATTAAGCAGTTTTTTTTCTCTTATGTTGATTCTTGCACGTCTGTGTAATCTCGAATATTTTATCATATTAGGTTAATCAATCAAAAGTCATAAATCGAATTTCCTGTTCTCGACTACCTCTGCATTACTAATCATCGTGTACGTACTGACTAATTTTAATAATGGGTTGGAAAAAAATGCCATAAAATAATTCACATTCTATTACCACGGAAACTTTTTCCAATCATGACACATTATGAATGCGTTACCGACATTCGAGAATAAAAATGCAACTTTCATTAAAAGCTCGCGAGTATGGAGAATGAATAAATTCATAATAATGAATAAATGTTATTTATGCTATCTCCGAGTTCGCGAGATACGAAGTTCCAGTATTTTACAATGCCTCTACGTCTGCGGTGATAATTCAATTGATCATTTGTTTACAAACTCTTAGGGACACTCGAGGTTTTACACGAAATTCTAAGATTTCGAAAAAAAGTCCTATCAAGTGCCGAATCATTCTGATAAGAATTACAATGCCTTTTTCCACGACGCACGTAAGTTTGAAAAAATTGCGACATCATCTCGCGGCGCGATATCGAAGAGTCGGCATTTATTAGAGTTTAATAAATCGAGTTTATTAGATACCGGCTTAAAGGTGGGGGACGAACATGTTTTGCGCATCGCTCAACTTTGTGTACATATATAAATTTGGTCGCCGGCGAGAACCGATCGCCAGTTTAATCGTGCTCGAGACCTTACTATCATTGCGTTCATAACAATTAGCGTGGCATATATACTTAAACGGAAAAATAAGTGCACGTAAAAATGGTTTTAAGGGACATGCCGGAACTCAGTGAGCCACTGCCGCTTCAGGATCTCGACGGCTTGCTTCAGCAGAGCCTCAAGGATGTCACCGACGTCCAGGTCAAGAGCTGGAAGCACCTGACGGATCCGGGCGAGAATTTCGGTAGCCTGATTCTGTCGATCGAGGCATCAGTTAAGCGAGAAAGTGGCGAGCACGAGACGCTGCATCTGGTTTGTAAGATGCCACCCAAATCTGAATATCTGCTGGACCTTTTCAACAGCCCATTGGCCTTCAAAAAAGAGCTCTACTTTTACAAGACGATCGCGCCGGCTTTTCTCGAACTGCAGGTATGTATGAGTGGCAGTGACGTTCTCGACAGGAAAATAAAATCCCGATTTTTATGACTTTTAACAATTATGGTTTCAATACCAACCACGCAAAGTCACGAGTGCTGTTTTAAATTTCGTTTTTTACAATCTTCTGTGCAGTGTTCATTGTATTGCTAAATTGAGGAAACAGCTTCAAATGGTCAATTATCTATTCAAATTTATTTAAGCTCTTTGCCGCTACGAACTCTTCAGTAAGCAAGTGTATCTGGGTTAAAAGACCATTAAGATGCATGAAACGATAGGATGTACTGTTTCTAATTGATATGGATCGTACGCAATCATCAATTGTATCTGTTAGGGGCTCTATCTGCTATGAAAAAAATCCGTATTTTTGTAATTTATTTTCCTATACTGATAAAATTATAACCGAGATAAACATGTTACGCAGAAAAAGAGTGGCCTTGGCGACAACGAGCTTATCAAGCTCTTCCCACACCTTTACGGTGGTCGCATGAATATTACGAACGAGGGTGAGAAATTCGACGAGCAAGCAGCCATTGTCTTGGAAAATCTCAACTTTTCTGGCTACTCGACCAAAGACCGCATAACCGGCATGGATCTCGAGCACATGCAGTACGGTGTGCGTGAACTTGCCAAGCTTCACGCCATTACTTGCGGTTATCGCGCCAAGTATCCAAAGGAGTTCCAAGAAACCATAGCACCAGGTCTGGAGGCTTGTCACAACGAGGTAGCCATGAACTGTGTCATGGAGATGATTCACAAAGCCATCAACAATTTAAAGAGATTGGAGCCAGATACAAAGCTTATTGATAGGGTCTTGAAAACAATGGAACTTTGCGAGCGTCATGAAAAAGAACCAAAAGCTGTTTTAGGTACGTACACGCATTTTTTTTATTGGTACTTGGTTCAATGGAGTTGATGAAACGTATTTATTTTCGTTATAGAGCACTGGTGTACTTTCGTACATGCTGATTTCTGGGTCAACAATATGATGTACCGCTATGACAACGAGAAAAAAATTACCGGCATGAAAATCGTTGATTTTCAACTCAGCCAAAACGACTATGGAATGAAAGACCTAGTTTTCTTCCTCATATCTAGTGCCCAGGAAGAAGTAATCGACAACAATCTGAATGACCTCATAAATTTATACTACGAAACGTTTATCGACACTTTGCGTGCCCTCAAAGTCGATACGACGCTCTATCAACGCGAGGAATTCGACAGGCTACTGATTGAATCGGCGCCACTTAAGTTTCCTCAGTGCATTATGATGGTACAGGTGATCAAAGCGACGAGAGGCAGTGCCCCGGACGTGAACAGTATTACAAATGGAGAAGCTTTTCTGAATATCGGCAAAGGACAGCTCTACGAGAAAAAACTTTTGCATGTGTTGCATACCTACGACAAAATGAATTGGTTAGCCTAATTTACCTTCGATGAGTCAATTCATTGCTCTCTTGTATTCGTTTATTTTATTGTCTTCCAGTGTAAATGTACACGACAATGTATCATATGTTAAATTAGTGAGAGAAATGAATAGTGCTACGTTGATTGCAAAAAAAAAACTAAACTTTTAAGGCTGGTAGTTAAGTTTTATTATATGAATTACAAAAATTGTATTAATGAAAGATTCGTGGGTTTTTAAAAACAATAATACATAACTATATTATTCTAAATAACATAATTATGTATTTATTTTAATTTGTAAATCGATAAATCACTTGCGAGTGATAATCTGTATAAAAAATGTAACTTAAAACATAAGTGAATGAACCAAGAGGATAATTTTGTACAAAGAAAAAAATTATAAAGATTAAAAATCTTTTCATTCCAAGTATAAAAAATATTGAGCTACTACATATAAAATTTAATAATATGTAACAAACATTTTGCCTAGTTTTTTAATCTTACCTCAAGTAAATCGGCTACTGCATCGGGTAAATTAAATTCTCTGACGACTCGTAATCGTAATTGCCGATTGATTTCGTGCCGTGACGACAGAGGTAAACTAATTGCTCTTTGACAACTTGGCGATTGCCTTAATTTTTGTTCGCGTTTAAGCATTGCCGACATTGTGGCAGAATCTGGAACTGAAAAGAACAATGTGAGCCCTCGTAAAAATTCACTTGTTTTATCGATTATTGCTTGTAAACGTTAATTTTGAAAAATTCCTTGTATAAATATACCTGGTAGTGCAGCTGCTAATACGTCGACACCAGCGGCACCCATAACCCTTGGTTTCTCGTCGACCATGTACAAAGTATCAGGAATATCAGGAATATATCGCGCCCTTCTTAACCTGATTAACTCTTGCTCTTGAACCATTTGTTCTTCGACTAGACCCTATTGATGAAAAAGTGGGTTTAAATTTTGAGACAAATTTATCGTAGTTATCAATTAAGAGTAAATCATTTACTTTTATTTCTTCGTAATATGGCATGAAAAGTCGTGGCCTTACAAATAAGCCATTTTTCTTTCCTCCGCGAATCCAAGCATTTATTCTTAAATTTTCTCTCTCATCTCCAATCATGTGACTTGGCGGAGTGGATACTAGACCTCTCCTAATAGCCTACATTGAACAAAAATATTGAATAACAAAAGGTAAAAACGAATAGCTTATAATCTAATTTCATTAACATACTTGAGCCAGAATTTCATTGTTCGGTGGTAGCACATGATCCATCCGGACTAGCGGTAACAATTCGCTTAGTATTTCTCTGAGTTCGATATCACTGAGATCACGTTTTTTCACACCTTTACGCGCTACCGAGTGAACTGTGTGACTGAGGAGATTCGGTTCGCGGTCCTCCATTCGCCTAACGAGCTCTTGCTCACCCCATTTCAATACAGCCTGCAGTACTTCGAGTTCGCTAGCCTGCAGGAAGTGACTTTGTAAAACTTCAACAAGATGCGTTTGATCCAGCTGGTGTAGAATAGGAGAAGATGCAACTGGCTGAAACTCCTCGCGTAAATAGTGCAATGCTTGTCGATGAACCCACGCTGAGCCATGTGGTTGACTACCCCATCTGAAATAGATATAAATTATTCATTAGTAAAACATTTGACATTGGTTTTACTATTTATTAATCGATGCTCACTTTAATACAGTCGGCAGAGATTCTAATGTGAGCCATTCTAAAATAAGATCTTCGCAGCCCTGCGAAAGTATATCTAACTCGAGGAATCGGCCTATTTGGTACAATTCCATGGCCTCTTCCAATGGACTCGGTCGCATTCGACCCGTGTGCGTCAGAGCCTGAACCTTAAAAGAACGAGACACAATGAAAAATTGTGCGAGCGAGAGCTCGGGCAAATAAATGCCTCGGATGATTACCTCTCCTAAGCTTCCGGCTCCATTGCCGCAGCCGGTCCCTCGCAGTATCAGGGACAGATCCACCGTGTCGAGATAGACGGCGTGCAGCAAGACGTGCGCGTATCGCTTGGGTATGACCGACTCGTCGAGGACGATCCTCGTCGGTATGTGAAGCGCCCGCTCCGTGTGATCCTCGCCCGATCGAGTCCGCCTCTGTATTAAATTACGAAAGAAAGGCGATCTGGCGGACAGTATGGCTTTGTGGCAGGCCAGCTCGAGCTTCGGCCTGAAGCCGTACTCGCTGCTGCCGCTGTCTGGACGCTGATAGTCGCTGTCCGAGGTGAAGACGAGGGCCGCGTCGGCGTAATTGCCCGTCTCCAGCAGGTAGCGCAGGTCATGCTCCAGTGGATTGGGATTGCCGAATTCCTCGCCGAGTCGCCTGAGGAGAGCCGCGTCGAGAGATCCGTCGTGCGAGCACACGTCCCCGGTGTAGAGGTAGCGCAGTAGCGCCGAGAACATCGGCACCTCGATATTGTGGCTGCGTAATTCTAGACATATCCGTGCTCCGTAGCCTGCAACAATGCCGCAATAAAATTAATTTTTTTATTAAGACTCCGCAGATGTAAAAATTGTAGAATTGTGTAGCAAAGGATTGTTCTAGTACCTGGGCAGCCAGCCAGTAGATCTCTGAAGTAGGGACATCTCGCCGAAAGGAGGGCTCTGTGCACGGGAAAACAAGCGCCCCGATAAACCAGGTCGACGTCCGTGCAGTACTTGTAGTCGTAGAGCGTCGACAGGTCCTGCTTGAAGGTCGCCGCGGGCGGCCTCGCAAGCTCCGCTTGGACGTGCAGATCCTTGAGGGCCGCCAAGGCCTCGTATTCCTCGAGCAGAGCGCCGGCCTCGAGCGGGTTCCAGCTCGACACGAGCTCGCGTATGATCCGGCCGTGGTCGCATGCCTTGGAGGAGCGACGTCGACGGATGAACTTTTTCCGCAGCGTTGCGAAGCCCGTGGCGCGCTTCTTGCGTTCTCTACTGTGCGAGAAAAAAAAATCCATTACACTTTTCGTACTTGTGCAGTACTACGCTGGGAAACTTTGCTCCTTAGCTTAATTACTCTTATCTCTGAAGTTAGCCGTGCGCGACGTGTTTTCGAATATCTCTAGGCACTGATAACCAAAGAGTTCGCGTTTTCACTACACTCTTCTACCTCGTACATTTTCTTTCCTCGGCAAAATGATGGATTCGGGAGAAATAGAAAGGAAATCGCCAAAAACTAAAATCTCTGATTTATTCAAATTGGTTGACAAAAATACAGATTCGTTCATCGATAAATTGAAAGAAGCCGTGTCAATTCCCTCAGTAGCAAAAGACCCCAAGTACCGAGCCGATGTTGTGAAGATGGTAGGTGAAAAAATCGTTTCGGAAGAAAATGTTCTATTTACTTATCTCATTAAAATCAGCTGAAGCTGTGCGAAGAAAAATTAAAACGTTTGGGCTTTTTGGTGACGGTCGTCGACGGGAATGACAAAAGCCGAAATACCGATTTGCCTCCAGTCATATTTGCCGAACTCCGGGTAAACGAGGAGTACAAGACCATATGTGTTTACGGAAACATTGGTGATTAAATTAAATAACGGAGCTTTTTTGGCATCGATTTAAACGTAATCGTGGGCGTCGAGAATTGCAGACTTTCTCGCGCCCGAGCCGGATGTTCAGCCATCGGCGTTCACGATGACGGAGAAAGAGGGCAGATTTTACGGTAGTGGCGTATCGGACAACAAAGCACCACTGCTCTGTTGGTTCAATGCATTGAAGATGTTCAAACTGGCTAAAATGGACATTCCCGTCAATGTGAAATTTATCATCGAAGCCACCTCGGAATCTTACAGCGTCAGCTTGCTAAACGCCATCGAGAGTAAGCGCGACTTTTTCGGCGACGTCGAGTTCATCTGCTTGACTATCGATCGACGAATCGACGACGACGTGCCTTGCCTCAAGTACGGCTATCGCGGTCTTTGCCATTTTTTATTCAATGTCAGTTGCGGCGAGAAAAAAGTGCACGGCGGCACATACGGTGGCGCTTTTAATCAGCCGCTCATGGACACCGTCCATATAGTCAGCTCGCTCATAAATAAACACGGCAAATGTGTCGTACCTGAAGTGAGTGAGCAGATTTATAGGCAGCCAATGCACGATAACGTGACTTTTCATTTGCAGTTTTTGAAGGATGTCAAGACATTCACCGAGGAAGATGACAAGTGGTGTAAAAAAGAGGTTTGCGACGTCGAAGCGATCAAGAGAGAAACAGGCTTGACGTCGTTGAGTCATAAGGGTATAAAATCGAGATTGATAACTCATAAAACCAGATTACCCAGTATTTCGGTGAACTCCTTTTCCATTAAGTCTGAAAGTGCTGACAGAGAAAATATCGCGTCTATACCTAACAAGTAATACAGAATAAACTTCATTCATATGCATTAGAGTTTTTGAAATCTTAACTTGGTACTTTAATTGTTAGAATTGAAGCCTCTTTTGCAGTAAGATTAGTGCCCAATCAGAAAGCTTCAAGAGCTTTATCACAATTTGGGCGATACATAGAAAATTTGTGGAGCCGTTACCAAAGTGCTAATGATTGTCAGTTTGAAATGACAATTGGCCTAGATCCTTGGCAAGGCAATCCTTCTTCAAATCATTACAAAGCAGCCGAAGCAGCAATTAAATCTGTACTACATTTTCAAAAGCCAATTATCTGGATGAATTTAAAATTTTGTCTTTTTTCATACAGGTTTACAATGTGACACCTAAATATGTGACTGAAGGAAATACCATACCTATTGTATCAATTTTGGGAGAAAAATGCCCTGGAAGTAATATGGTTGTGATGCCTATAAGGTAATACAATTTTAAAAATTGTATATTTGATAAGTAGCTAAAGTGCATCCCATTATTTCTAGTGGTAAAAACGATAATCATCATACCAAATGTGAATCAATTTCTCGAAACAATTACATAAAAGGGGTGAAGCTTCTAATAGCTTATATGTGTGAGGTTCACGAATTGACATTCGTAGCTTCTATGTAGCTTCTACTAGATGTAAGTAATATAATTATTTTAAATAAATGATAAGTAGCACCAACCTAACAACAAAACTGATTTGGTCAAGATTCCCGGAGGCTGACAGCCTGGCTGCCTGAACTGAGTCTCCACCAATGTGCGCAAGGCTTGATGAAGCGGATGCTCCCATTCTCTGTGTCATACGTGGTTCATCGCTCTGTCCTCTTCCGGTGAACCAGCAACCTCTGTCGGTTGTGTTTTCTTCAACAGCACTATCACCACCCTGCTGGAGTGCACATGGGATCAAAGCCTTAAACAGGTTCATCTCTTACCCAGACACCAGCCTAAAAATAATTAATACAATTGTAAGTTATACCAGTTTTCAAGTAGTAAATGATAATACTTAAATGATTGTTTAATCAGTACAGTTTATAGAATATTTTTAAATTCAATTTTAATCACAATCACTGATTCATGAAATTGTTATTCATACAACGCAACTGGACAGATGCACTTTTTGGGTCAAGAAAATACATCCTATAAATGCTTGTTCTACTTTTTTACATATTTATATACAATATATACATGCACTACCTTCTTGTAGATATATATACGTTTAAGAATATTATAACATGATATCTCTGGCTTATTTGCTTCTTTGCATTTAAATTCATCCACTCTCAAGTTTTAATGAAAAATTAATCTTAAGGTGAGCAAAAAAAGTTCTTCTACAAGTTAGACTTGAATTAGCAAAACTATTTAAATTAATATGATAAAAGAAACTGTGCTTGAGAGTACTCTTGTACAAATAAAAATATATGTACATTTGTGTATATTAATGTATTCATACATCTGGAATGGCAACAAAACACCAGAGTAATCATCAATAAATGAGGCCGTCGTCTTAGTCGTCGTCATTTGTGTGTGCCCTGTTCAACTGTCTCTCTCTTTCTAAAGCAAAAACACAACAGACTCTCTCATACTCACATACCCCAACATACACATCTATACTGCTGATGATACGTATATGTGTGCGGTATATATGTCATCCGTATACGTGTGTATATATAAAGAAAGAATATCGTGCACGCGCACACGTATAGCCGAAGCGTAATGTGTATATCGCAAGCTCGAACTTAACTGTCGAGGGCGCGCTTACGTCCTCGTGTGTATGTGTTGACTTACACTCGCGCATTGCCCATAATCGTACACAATCGCTCTCGTATGTATACGTATACACCATATTTTCTGAATGCAAAAGGCGAGAAAAAAACTGGTTCAAGTACGAAAACGATATCACATGCAAATTCGAAGCGAAGATCGCTCGCGCGGGTATGTAGCACCCACCCACTGGATAATTGTATCTCGTGCGTTAGGAGCATTTTTCATAATTTGCAACTGAGAAATAGGGAGCACCACGCGCGCGCGCGCGCGCTCGAGCCTGTGTGACTCTTTACATGTTTATACTGTACTGCTTCACGATGACAGCTCAAAACAAAGATGACTTATCGACGCGATATCGATTGTTCGATTAATAAACAAACGCTAATGTATGTGCATGCAAAGTTGTCGAGTTATGATGCACGAGCGCGCTTAATGTATAGCCGAGAGTTGCACAAGGCACTTGCATTATTGGCCTCCAGCACACCCATGAGGTTGCGCCAGGGCAAGGGCCAGGAAAAAGCACATGCCCAATCGGAGTTATCAGCTGTGGGGGGTTGCAAAGCACGACGCGCATTATAGCATCGCGTACTGTGTGTTATGCATGCATCGAGAATAGTAAGTGCTCGATGAAATCAAGTGCTCGAAGCTTTGTGGAATAATTGTAAACAATCCCAAGCCAATGATTGGTTATCAGGGTGCGGTAGCACATGCACGGATACGTATACGCGTATACACAGTACACACACTCACGCACGCACACTCGAGTTTGACATGCATCTCTCGAATTCGCTAGATAAAGACGAGCGGTATTTAGCCACGGACCCCAACAACGGCACTTCTTACCTGGGTCTTCAGTGTGCATATTCGTTAATAATGAGATTGACAACGGCATTATAGCGCAGCAGCATTTGGCATATAACGTTTGACCCGTTGTTGTTGTTTTGAAGTGGCAGTAGCATCTACTATCTGTGTCGCAGCTCGACAGTTGAAGTAAATTAGCTCGCGTTTCTGCTGTTCATAGAGTGGATGAGTTTGACGGTCGAGCGAGCTCGATGGTGGACCGGCGGCCATAATAACATTTGGATAAATTTTGTCGCGAGCGAGGCACACGCGCACTTTTGGTCGAGAAGCCTATACGATGGCTCTCCAAAGAGAGATCCCGTAAACAAGACGTTGGAAGAAGAATCGAGCTGGCTAACTGTTACAAAGCTAGGCTGCTTACAGGCACAGGCACAAACACTCTCGTACACTAATGCAGCAGCACGAGCAGAGCACATCGGCAGCAGCAGCAGCAGCAGCAGCAGTAGCACATCGCGAATACATGTCAGCTTATATTATACTTGTGCGTCGGTGCAGTAACGACGACGACACGATTACACGAATGCAAGACATGCATATGATGTATCTCTGTATGTATACAGGAGAGCTGTCTCGCGCGCGCGCCTCAACAGCAACTCGGACTGCACTGCTGACACAAACACGCGAAGAAGACGTAGACACACACACACACACACGGATGAACTCGATGCACTCGAGGCTCGGCTCGATTATTTTATATTATTGTAGCTTCATACCTACGAAGGTAGACTGCAGTCACCTACGGCACATATCTGCTCGAGATCTACCTTTGGCATGGACTACTACGCGGAACGAGCAGTCGGGTAGCGTGGGAACGGATCATGTAGCGCTGGCTTTTCGGAGCAAACTTTGTCTCTCTCTCTCTCTCTCTGTGCTGAATCGCTTCTTCAGTGCCGACTTGCAGTAGCAGCAGCAGCAGCTCCGAGTCCTTACGGGGGGATATTATACACGAGATGCATTGCAGCTGTGTATACACACTTGTATTTATGTATTGGTGCTGCCGAGAGTGGCCGAGCATGCACCACCACAGACACTGCACGCACGAATACACAGTATACACTCACAAGTCTGCACAGCTATGTTAGCGAGTGCAACGCGCGTCGAGCAGAGCCTCCGCCGTAGTCCGCGACGAGACGATCTCTCTTTCGTGTATGTAATTATAATTTTAATGGAACTCTGATGGCTGTAGCGCCATACGCGCACGGTACACTTGATACATGTATTCGAGCACTTTGGCGAGCAGCAGCGGCGACGGCGGCGCAGGGCCAGCGACGACGAGCGACGAGCACCGTTCAGACTCCGGCCAGCAACTTTTATAATCTATATAGGCCTTACCTTACACCTATGCATGTGCACGCAGGCCTATATGTATGTACGTGTCTGTGAGCGAGCTGCGCTGGGTATACGTCAGTTGTTAGGCCGCGCGTCAATTCAGCGCCAGATATGCTTGTGTGCACATAAACACATACACACACCACGCCGATGGCCCGCACCAATACCTACACGCACGCATCGGGCCGTTTCGGGCAGACTCGACAGTGTGCAGGTCTGGCAGCTCAACCAAAGCAATACTCGTATGTGTATGTGTGTATGTGTGCAACTGTACACACATTCGACGGCCTCACACCCACTCACATTGAGTACACGAGCGAGCTAGAAAACGGTTTGTTCGACGATTCTTACTCCTCGGAGAAAGAGAAACTCTGGCCCAGAGTTCGTTCACTCGACCACTGGATTCGTGGTTTTGTGACCATATCCAACTGAGACCACAATCATGTCGTTCCTAATGTATCTAAAATTGCAACATAAAATCACTATTATTCTTTCGATCAAAATTCAAGTGTATTTTTAATTGAACCCTCGTTGAGATCCAGATCAGACTTATAATTAAATTAATCGAATAATTGAATCGACAGATCAATATACCTCGTATTAATATACAATTAGAATAAAAATGTGTATTTCTGCATTTACAAGAAAAACTCGTTCGAAAGTTAAAAAAAATGTTGTTTGTAAAGTTTATAACCTTGAATTTCCAATCCGAAACTCCTATTACAAACTCCAAAAAATGTTTTTGAACGTGTCGATTAAAATGAAGTCGTTTGTTTCAATAAACCTGTTGGCTTTATTGGAATCCATAGAGTGAGATATAATCACATCTTGAGTTTGGGTAAGTTAATATTTTATTCATTTTATTTATTGAAAAATCATTAAAAAAACTGCACTTATAATTGACAAGATCAATAATAAGTATGTTGAAAATTGCTAGCTTTCTTACATTCGGAATTACCGCCACGCAGCGGGCGCTGGTAGTCGTGCTTCTGCGCAGTTCTCAATTCATCAATCGTCTGCAACGCAACGAGAAATTTTATTAGATCGACAGGCAAGAAATTGCGCTGTACTTAGTAATTTCCTAAAGAAAAACAGAAAAACAGTCGAAAATGTTGGCCCTTCAGAAGCTTGGAAAGCAGTCGATGAAAATCGCCGCCAACCAGCAAGTTCGCAACTTCATCGTTTCCAAACCCCAAGTTCGGATATCCTTTGCCGTAAGTTCATGAAATCTCTTTAGACCCATCTTGACATTATTTTTTTCGGAGCCATTATGTAATCGTAATGAGCTTGTCGGGGTTTTAACTTATCAAATGATGGACAGGTGACTTTTCTATTTCGATGAACTCGATGAATTTCTGATTCTTTACAATGAAATGCCATTTAATGATGTACGGACATCAAATATAAAAGCTCATATTATTGTAGGTTAAAATGGCCTGCGTAGGTATGCCAGCGATCACTAAATACAATAAATATAATTTGACATTGAACTTGGTGTCCTTTGGACTTGAAATATAAACAAATTTTTGTTCAATACCAAACTTTGTTTTATATTTTACTCCTATTTTAATTATGGATTACAAAGAAAATTTAAAATTAAATAGAAAAAACAACTTGGTTTTGATTTTGATATCATTGAACCTGTCAAGTTGGTTTACATTGACAACTATTGATATTTTATATTTATGATCAATTAAAAAATATTTTTTCAAATATGTAAATATATGTTTTATTTTCAACAGGAAAAATGTGCAACTGGATTGTTTATTACTCTTGCTTCTGTCACTGTCCCTCTATATTGTGCAATGAATTTTAATAAATGGCGGGGCTCCAAATAAGAAACTTTTAACTGTTTTAGAATCAATATTTTAGAGCCTAGGTTCATTCAAACCCCTACTTGAAATTTTTCAAAATTTTTTAAATTTTTTAATGAAATAGTTTGAAATTTAAAAAAGAAAAGAAGAAAATTATTGTTGCATTATAGTACAAATAAATACTGAAAAGTATAAATCTAATTAAAACATTTGTGAGTATAAAAGTGTTCAACATTTTCAATATCCACAGTGTCGTTTGAAGTGAACCTTAAAACCAAAACATAATACATGTTTCCAATTCTTTGACATCATTGAAGTTTTAACTAATTGATTGTCCAAATTACTTTAAAATTATGATTGGGGAGTGAAAATTTCCTTTATTTTATGAATTGTACAAGACTTAACTACCATATGTTACCAATAAGTTTTTCCCATATATTTGAAGTTTTCTCATATCATCAAAATAATAAAAACAATTCCTAATTAATAATAAATCAGAATTTTTCTGAGAATAACAGATTATTTACATTAGAACACTGTAAATAATTGAACCTCCAACGTTTTATAAAAATTGTATTTTAACCTTACAGCAAAAGCAGCATAAGAATACAAATTTACTTTTGTATTTGCTTTTGATAATCATAAAAAAATAATACTTTATAATGCAATTTATTTGATATTAATACTATCATTCTCATTTCAGGAAAAAGTTACTCATGGATTAATTCTCTTCTCAGTTCCAATGATCATTCCTCTTTATCTGAGCACCAAATTTGCTGAATGGACTATGGCCAATCAAGAAAAATCATAAATAAAACAATAATGATTTAGATAAATTAAATATGTTTAAATATTCTTTTGTTTATAATTTATGAATTAATAAATCAAACTTCTTGTTTCTCATAAATCTGTAGTTCATGAATATTTACTTTATATATTGTTAAGAATAATGTGGAAATGAATAGATCATTGTTGAGACAAGAGAAAAATAAAATTTTAAAAATTATTAACTGTTTCTGACTGCTTCAAACTGTAAAATACCCAAAAACCGCAGAATCCTAATTATGTTGAAAAATCCTCCTTAAATCTAATAATGCATAAAAAAAAGTAGAAACCCTAGAAAGCTCTGCTAGAGTCTCCGCAACGCTTGGATGTATAGGGAAATATGTAGCAGTCGACACTCGACACTTGCCTGCAAAGTGCAAGCAGAAAAACATAATTTTTCTCACGCTGCACTTGCTCCGACTCGTCACATACCCAACAAAGTATTTCAGTGGTCATCTAGGCATCTTTTTGGAGTCATGCCTTCTATTAATAGATGCAGCATAGCGTTTGTTTCGTCTGTTTCCCGGTCTTATACCATCTTCACTGCTGATAATAGCAGCTGAGCTCTAAAAAGCTCCAAAAAAAGTATGGTTTTTGACAGTTTTTCGACCTGCAACTTTCATGTGTCACGTCGCCGTAACTCTCCAAAAATAATGAACGTCAATCACGCCAACGCGAGATGAATGAGTTTTTTCTTTGACTACCGTTATTATTATGAAATTTAAATAAATTATTATCAGGATAAATAAAGAAAGAATTGTTATTAAAGTTTATTATTTAGAAAAGCTGCAAAATGGTGAGTTTTAAATAAATTAGTTGAACATTTTAAGTGAAAAGTGAATGAGCAGAGTTTAGTTAACCTTGATTAGAGTTAATTTTTCTGAATGTAATTTTTCTTTCAGGCTCTTTTAGGTGCTCAATTAGTTATAACACTGATTATGGTCAGTGTCATTCAGAAATTAGGATCTCATTTTTCCCTAGGAAAATGGATTTTATGTTCGACTGGGTATTTGCTTTATTTTTTATTTATCCCTAAATTATAGTAATATTATAATGCTAAGTAATTTTGCTTCAGATTAAAAAGGTTTCTATATCCCACTGATCAAGAGTTGAGAGCTCTTGTTGGCTATCCCAAGGATAAACATAAAAAAAACAAAAATCATGCAAATGGACATTCATCTGAGACATTTCAAATTCCAAGGAATTTGGATGTTACCCTTGAGACTGTACCTGTCACTGCCTCTGATATTGTTTATTTAAAATTTTATACAGATTTTCAATGGATGTTTGATTTTGCAATTTATGGTGTCCTTGTATATGCTATGACAGAAGTAAGTAAACAATTTTATGAATTGAGGTAACATAAAAGATAAGCTATTTCCATATTAAGGAATTTTAAAATTACAGATATATAATAAATTTTATCCAATCAAAGATGAAATTAATCTAAGCATGGTATGGTGTTGCTTAGTTTTAGTATTTGCATTGTATCCTTTTAGATAATCATAATTTATAATATAATTACTCATGTTTGTATTTATACCTAAAATTTTTTTCATTGATTTCCTTAATACTTTAATAGTAAAGTTTTGATTTTGCTCTGGGTTCAATACTTTAAAGGTGAAGAAAGTATAGGTGAAAGATCAACATGTATCGTTACTGGATTTGTCTATCTCCTCATTTCTATGATGATCCTTATTGTGGATGAAAATACTCTAGAACTGGGATTAGACAACGCATACAGTAGTTTTAACCACACTGCTTCTATATTTCTATCAAAACAAAATTTTTCATCAAGGTATAATTTACTTTTCTCTTATGTTATTATAAAAATTAAAACATTTTAAATTAAAAGTTGATTATTTGCAGTGGTCCAGCATCTAAACTTATTGTTAAATTTTCTTTTGCTGTATTTTGTGGATTCGTTGGTTCATTGTTCACATTTCCTGGTTTAAGAGTGTCGCGAATGCATTGGGATACTTTGAAATATTACAAGGACAATAAGTTCATTCTTTTGCTTACAAATATAAGTTATGTTTCTCCACTTATTTTGACATGCTTATGGATTAAACCAATTAGCAGAGATTATCTTACTGAAAGAATTTTCTCTGGTATGACGGAACCAATGTAAGTTCTTTAATTAAGTTGTATGTCGGTCAATTTTTTTGTATTAACTATGTTCTCACTACAGAATGACACCCACAACGTTTGAGAGTATGCGTTTAATAGTCATTATAATTGCAATTCTATTAAAAATTGTATTGATGCCAATTTATCTGCAATCTTACTTGAATCTGGCTAACCAAAGATTAGAAATGCAAAAAAAGGAAGCTGGTAAGATTTCAAATAAAGAATTTCAAAAAAAGGTAAATATTACATTAATTTCATAACTTGAATCAATAATTTTCAAGATTTTTTCAAATATATAATGTTACCATTACAGATAGCTGCAGTATTCTATTATTTATGCGTTGTAGCATTGCAATACATTACACCTCTTATTATTTTACTGTATTGTACACTGATGTATAAAACTTTAGGAGGATATAGTTGGGAGGGTATTTATAAAAGTGTAGATTTTGAAGAATGCCCTGCTCCTCAACCATTAGAAGATATCAAGTCAAGTATTGTCGATGGGGAAATTGAAGCTGATGTAGCTCAAGATATCGCAGCAGCTTTATTTTCAGTAAAACAAGTAAGTATTTAGCGGTAAAGTTTTGTTATGGAAAAATAATGAAAAATGTGTAAATGATTATAATTTTATCACAGATTTTTACTGCTGAGATATTTAGAGGAATTTTTGGACTAGCAACTTGGTGGACGCTTTTTACATTGTTCGCTACAACAGCTCTAGGCATGGTTTATCAAAGCTACTTCACAAATGTGTGATAAATTCATTGTTAAGGAGCTAGTTTAATTGCTAATCAATCAGAGATTGAAATCATATTTAAGAGAAAGTTCAACAAGACTAAGATTTTTCAAAGTTGAAAAAACAATATTATCAAAATCTCAGTTTATTTTTAAAGAGGAGAATCGATTGTAAATAGATAATTAATTTTCAAATGTATATCAGTTTAAGTGACTGATTCTATTGATAATTGAACTTGTAAAAAGAAAACTGTTGTAGATAATAAAAATTTGTAAAACTTTCACTGAGAGCGTGAGTCATTTTTTCGAGAAAAAATTTCGACTGAGAATTTTCTGATGGCTTCTAGTAACTTGTTGAATCATCTTAAAAAATTTTCCATTTGTTTCGGTCAAGTAAAAAATTCATCAAGCTACGTATATTAACGTATCAAGAAAATTGATTTATACAAGAAACGCCTTTAAAAAATATTCGATGTAGTTTGAAAATAAACAAGCGTATTCAAAATAAACACGGGAGTCGCTATAAATAGAACGATCCACAAGCTTCTCAATGGTTCCAGTGCATTCGCTTCGCACGGTGGCTCGACTCTTGCGGGCGCCGCAGTGAACGTGAAGTGAACGATCGTGTGCGCGCGCGTGGGGGGAAGCTTCTCGAAAGATGCGGGTTTCATTTAAAAGCAACCGCCGCGCTCGCTACTGCAGTATTTACACTTGAGACTTCACGAAGTTCGCAACTCGACTCGTCTAACCGAGTTTTACTATTACACATTCTTACATCCTATACCGATATATAGGGCGTGAATATATATCCACTACACAAGTTTGCTAAACAGCACATATAGAGGTGAGTGTGAATAAGTGAATTGTTTTATTTTTAACTTGCATAACTTATACGTATATGGGTGCGCCGGTTAGCAAATACTCTGCAGTTATACATTGTATTATTTTTGGGTTATAGCAAGGGTAGGACTCGTTAAACATCCAGAAAATTCTGAAAAAAGTTCAGTGTGCGCGTTTTTTGTCTTTTATTTCATTTTTGCTTGGTACGTTGTTAATCGTCCAATATACGTATACGTTCAGTCGTATATAAATAGAAATCAGCTAGTCAAATATTGCACTTTTGTTTGGTATAATTTCGTCATAAGATTCAGCATTTTTTACTCAATTTTCAAAGTAAGATGATCTCTTATTGCCGAGACGCTAAAACTTTCTTATCGAAAAAATAAACGGTAGCTCGATCCCATATAACAAACTTATTCGAAGCTTAGGTCGAGTCAATTGCAGCAAAGTGTTAACTGGCAGTCGAGGCAAACGTCGAAGCGCGATAATTGTGATAATATTTAACGTGTTCTCGTTACATTTTCGATGGGTAAAATATCGATCAGCTTCGCCATCGCGAAGGTAACAAATTGTATAGTGTCTGTTTGGATAGAATAGTGAAAACATCGATCAGTCGTCGTAACGTTGACCTGAAAGCTCCACACGCTTCAGGCAGTATACAGGACAAAAGAGTGACGTCGGAAAACAGAGAAAAAATTTTAACGTCCATATCACGCGGATTACTCAGCAATTGTCCAAGAAAGTCTCGTTGTTTGTCTTTTCGGCCAAAGCGCAACAAAAAAGTGATTCAGAAAAATCCATAAAATTATTCTTTCGAGCCAGGTTGTTTGCGATACCTTTTATATCCTTATTAACGGGTAAGCTTCCGCCCACAGTCCACGCACGCACTCCATATTAGTAAAGAAGTAATATAGTATAGCACCAAATAAAGAGTCGACCCGGACTTTCGATCGAATAGCCCGTTGTTGTAGGCCTCCTTGCGTGTAAACGATTCGTTTTTCCGATCTGAATCAGCCGCATCGAATTAGTCGATAAAAATAAAAACTCGGCCTCCGCGCGAACAAACGCGAAAAGTAGTTTCTTTTCGTTTGCGATGAGTCACCGCGTGGGTAGGACGAGTGGACAGTGTCGCGGGAAAGCCATGCGTGACACATACCGCCGTATTGAATGAGCGATTCAAATTGCCTTGGGCCGCTATAATTAGTATATAGATCACTGCGATTGGGATACTATTGCGATTGTTCACACCTTTACGATCGGAAAGAGACTCGCGTGGTTTATTTTATTGGTTGTTTTTCTATTAATTACTCATAGTTTTATTTTTCATTTTTCAGAATCAAAATGAGTAAGGCACCAGCTATTGGAATCGATCTTGGAACCACCTACTCGTGCGTTGGAGTTTTCCAGCACGGAAAAGTCGAAATAATCGCCAATGACCAAGGCAACCGCACAACGCCTAGTTATGTGGCCTTCACAGACACCGAGCGTCTCGTCGGCGACGCCGCCAAGAATCAAGTCGCCATGAACCCAAGCAATACAATTTTTGGTAAGTTCACTCACTCATTCGGTGTATCAACATTATTATCCATTTTTGAAATCGGCAACTTACTTACCGTTCAATGTTCCATTGATTTACAGATGCTAAACGCTTGATTGGTCGCCGTTTCGACGATGCCACGGTACAGAGCGACATGAAGCATTGGCCCTTCAACGTCGTGAGCGATGGTGGAAAGCCCAAGATTCAAGTGTCCTACAAAGGCGAGAACAAGACCTTCTTCCCAGAAGAGGTCTCGTCCATGGTTCTCATCAAAATGAAGGAGATCGCAGAGGCCTACCTAGGCAAGAAGATAACCGACGCCGTTATCACCGTTCCGGCTTACTTCAACGACTCGCAGCGTCAGGCCACCAAAGACGCCGGAGCGATATCCGGCCTGAACGTGCTGCGCATCATCAACGAGCCCACCGCCGCTGCCATAGCCTACGGCTTGGACAAGAAGACCGCAGGAGAGAAAAATGTTCTGATCTTTGACTTGGGCGGTGGCACCTTCGACGTGTCCATCCTCACCATCGAAGACGGTATATTCGAGGTGAAATCGACCGCCGGCGATACTCACTTGGGTGGCGAGGACTTCGACAATCGAATGGTCAATCACTTCATCCAAGAATTCCAGCGCAAGTACAAGAAGGACTTGGCCTCGAACAAGCGCGCGGTGCGTCGTCTGAGAACCGCCTGCGAACGCGCGAAGCGCACCCTCAGTTCGTCCACCCAAGCCAGCATCGAGATTGACTCGCTGTTCGAGGGCATCGACTTTTACACCTCGATCACTCGGGCTCGCTTCGAGGAACTCTGCTCGGACTTGTTCCGAGGAACCCTCGAGCCAGTGGAGAAAGCTCTGCGCGATGCCAAGATGGACAAAGCTCAAGTGCACAGTATCGTGCTTGTGGGCGGCTCCACTCGTATTCCCAAGATCCAGAAGCTGCTGCAGGACTTCTTCAATGGCAAAGAGCTCAACAAGTCCATCAATCCCGATGAGGCGGTCGCTTATGGCGCAGCTGTTCAAGCAGCCATCCTTCACGGCGATAAATCCGAGGAAGTTCAAGACTTGTTGCTGCTCGATGTAACACCCCTGTCGTTGGGTATCGAGACTGCTGGTGGAGTCATGACGGCTCTCATCAAACGCAACACCACTATCCCGACCAAGCAAACCCAAACCTTCACTACTTACGCCGACAACCAGCCCGGTGTGCTGATTCAAGTTTACGAGGGCGAGCGCGCCATGACCAAGGATAACAATCTTTTGGGCAAATTCGAGCTGTCGGGAATTCCACCAGCGCCAAGGGGAGTTCCTCAAATCGAGGTGACCTTCGATATCGATGCCAACGGTATCCTCAACGTGTCGGCTGTCGATAAATCCACTGGCAAGGAAAACAAGATCACCATTACCAACGACAAGGGCAGATTGTCCAAGGAGGACATCGAGCGCATGGTCAACGAGGCTGAAAAGTACAGAGCCGAGGACGAGCAGCAGCGCGACAAGATTAGCGCCAAGAACTCCCTCGAATCTTACTGCTTCAACATGAAGAGCACCGTTGAAGATGAAAAGCTCAAGGACAAGATCAGCGAGTCTGATCGCAATACCATACTGACCAAGTGCAACGAAGTCATTTCGTGGCTCGACGCTAATCAGCTGGCTGAGAAAGACGAGTTCCACGACAAGCAAAAGGAGCTGGAGGCCATCTGTAATCCGATCGTGCAGAAACTTTATGGAGCAGGAGGAGCTCCTGGCGCGGCACCTGGTGCAGGAACGGGCTCTGCCCCGGCTGGCGGACCGACCATCGAAGAGGTCGACTAAACTAGTCTTAAACTAGTCGAAGCTTTTTTTTTATACTTTGACCGTGTTAAAAACGCAACATTATGTATTTGTGCTATTTCAGACTAATTTATTTCATGTGATATATAATACTTATTTGATTGAATAGTGCTTTCTTCAAAATTCCAATTGGATTTATCAAAATTTTGAGTCCAAAAACAATAAATATATTTTAATTATATAATTCATATCAATATGTCAAATTATTTATGACAAGTGATTACCCTATTCCCTAAAAAAATTATAGTTTATTTCTACCAAAATTTTCTCAGCGCATTTAATTTTTAATGTTAAAACGAATTAGTTTGAAAGAAATTTTTGAGCCTACTTAATTAACAGCTGCCTTGATATAAATTAAAGATTCAAAATCAATGTTGTCCTTATAAACCAACGTCAAACACACATTGCCCGAAATGCATTTTTCATTGCTTCATGGCACATAAGTATTTGCGCAGATGCAACTGTCTTCGTCTGTCCTATATTTCGAAAGCGTGACTCGAGACCCGGCCGCGATCAGAGTCGCATATTATATAGTCAGACCCTAAGCAGTTGGCATATCGACTGCGGAGTTTCCCGGCATGGATTATATTCGAATATTGCAACTTACAGCTTAATCTGTGTATTACTGGCTTTCGATGTTCATTAATGACCTACATCAATGATACAACAACGCGCGTCTCGAGCATTAATCTAGGCGGAGCTTTACTCAGAAAAGCTCAGCTTTTTTAGTATATTCATTACCGTGTTGTTGATAATTGGTCACGGTATTTAGCTAAAGTCGAGTGCTTCAGGATGGGTTAGTAATCAGATTGCGAATTTTTCATCTATTATTTAATTTAGATATGTTTAAAATGAGTAAAACTCACTCTTTTGCAGTTAAGTTTCTAGAGGTTATCAAGCCCTTTTGCAGTATTCTGCCGGAAATAACAAAACCTCAGCGGAAAGTAAGTAATAATCATCATTTCCTAGATAAAAAGTTCAGTTTTAATGACAATTTCTGATTTTACTTTTAATTCATTTTCTATTTTGAAATTTCTATAGATTCAATTCAGAGAAAAAGTTTTATGGACCGCTATCACTCTTCTCATCTTCTTAGTATGCTGTCAGGTATATACAATTTTTTTCAAGAAATAGTTGTATTTCTAAAGTACAATATGAAAATTGTTACTTAATATTTTTCAAAGATTCCATTGTTTGGCATCATGTCATCAGACAGTGCCGATCCATTTTATTGGATACGAGTCATATTGGCATCGAACAGAGGCACGTTGATGGAACTTGGTATATCACCAATAGTTACATCTGGCCTGATCATGCAACTATTAGCTGGAGTGAAAATTATTGAAGTAGGCGATACAGCCAAAGATCGAGCATTATTCAATGGAGCTCAAAAGTGTATGTAAAAAAACTAAAAAATCTAAAAATCAAGTTTGAAATTATTCTCAATACTTTAATCAATATTATTTTAGTGTTTGGTATGGTAATTACTGTTGGACAAGCTATTGTTTATGTCATGACGGGCATGTATGGTGATCCTTCCGAAATGGGAGCTGGAGTTTGTTTATTAATCATTATTCAGTTATTTGTTGCTGGGTTAATCGTTTTATTATTGGACGAATTATTACAAAAAGGATATGGCTTAGGAAGTGCTATTTCACTTTTTATTGCTACTAATATTTGTGAAACTATTGTATGGAAAGCTTTTTCTCCAGCCACTGTAAACACTGGGCGTGGTACAGAATTTGAAGGGGCTGTTATTGCTCTATTTCATTTGCTCGCTACCAGACAGGATAAAGTTCGAGCACTACGAGAGGCTTTCTATCGACAGAATCTACCAAACCTAATGAACTTATTAGCTACTGTCTTAGTATTTGCTATAGTTATTTACTTTCAGGTATTATAAACTTACTTTTTTTATTTATTCAAAGAATATTTAGTTAATTCAATGTTGAATTTAATTATAGGGCTTTAGAGTTGATCTTCCCATTAAATCAGCCAGATATAGAGGACAACAGAGCAGCTATCCAATCAAACTCTTCTACACTAGCAATATTCCAATTATATTGCAATCAGCTTTAGTTTCAAACTTATATGTTATATCACAAATGCTGTCAGTCAAGTTTCATGGAAACATCTTTGTTAATATACTCGGAGTATGGTCTGATGTCAGTGGAGGTGGTCCTGCTCGATCTAATCCTGTTGGTGGTCTGTGCTATTACCTGTCTCCACCTGAAACTATAGGACATGTTGTTGAAGACCCAGTTCATGCTGTATTGTATATTCTTTTCATGTTGGGATCTTGTGCATTCTTTTCAAAAAGTTGGATCGAAATATCCGGAAGTTCTGCTAAGGATGTGAGAATATTATTAAATTAATCAAGGATATACAATGAAGTTGTTACATTAAATTGATTTGATTTTAGGTCGCAAAACAGTTAAAAGATTCACAGATGGTAATGCAAGGACATCGTGAAAAATCACTCATCCACGAATTAAATCGTTATATTCCAACGGCTGCGGCTTTTGGAGGTCTTTGTATTGGCGCATTGTCAGTTTTGGCAGACTTTTTAGGCGCTATTGGATCTGGTACTGGAATATTACTTGCTGTTACCATAATTTATCAGTACTTCGAGATTTTTGTGAAAGAACAAAGTGAAATGGGTGGCATGAGTACATTACTCTTCTAATCGCTCATTGTCATAATAAAACTGAATCAGTGAAGTTTTTTTTTCAAATTTGTGAAATATGAAATCATTAGTGTTTTAATGTAGCTGTGCAAATATGTTGTTGTTCAAACACAGATCGTGATATTTTTCACAAATTTTTCTGTGTTGCTTTAATTAGAATTGTAAATTTAATTTAATTTAATTTATTGAATTAACTAGTCGTTTTATTGTAGTTTAGTATAGTAGTGTATATTTTTATGCATATATAGAATATTAGTCAATTTTTTGTTATTGTATGTTGTCAAAATTTATTATTTGTTAAATTTTGTAATTTTGTTGTCTCATAAAACTCTTTGAACATAAATCTTTTTTCAACTGACCAATATAAATATCATGCTTTTATTACACAGTTACCTAGTATAGATTTAAATTTATTTTGAAAATGACATACTAATATTTCAATAATATCTCATGATAATTTCAGTTAGCATTTGGGTATGCAAGGTATTATAAACATTTTCATCGTTTTAAACTAAAATTTATCTACAATACAGGGATCAAAAATTGATTGAAAATCAATTGAAATCTAATCATATCTAAAAATTGAATATTTTTTGTTTATAAAATAGTTTTGAAATATTTTTGATAATTTACAATAAGTTTTAAAGCCCTTCATCTATCACTGATTATTCATTTTGTTTAAAACATTTCATTATTATCCTGCTTGCAGGTAAAGCTATGAGTTGCAATTCAATCTAGATAACTACAAGTAGTGCCTGCTTTTGTCTTGAATGAACAATTGTTACACTAGTTCAAAAAGCTCTTAAACTGGTACTATAGAATACCATCAGTTAATCTGATACTATGATTAGCAACAAAACATGTGTATCAATGTTAATTAAGTGTGCTTATTAGATTCTTTAAACTTTTAAATTATTTTTATTCAACAGATTTAAAAATGTTCTCAATATTCTAAGAAATCTTAAGAAAAATGTACATATAATTTAAGAGTTTACTTCATAATTAATTGTAAATAAATACAATTTTTTACAAGCTACTTTTACTAACAAAAATAAATATTGTGTATAAAGTAAAAAGTTGTTTTATTCTCTCATAAATGGAGTCAAGTCTGAGTTTCTCTATGCTGTTACAACGAATTTAAAGTCAAATAGAAAAGAACAACTAATTGTAGCAATAATAACAATGTATTATAATAAACGGTTGGAGGTACAACAGAAGATAACACTTTCAAAATATATAGAACTAAATATTTGTTTTTAACTCTATTTTGAATATATGCATGATGCATATCAATAACTGAAATCTATCAAATTTAACAGTTTGTGCCAATGATTTTATTTGTAACACGTATGTCATATCAGCCATAACACATCTACTATTTACATTATTTTATAACAGATAAACAAACATTCACTGAAATTGTTTACTAGCCAAAAAACTTTTCATTGTTTTTTCTAATTGAGGAAGTAAATCACAATAAGTATCAACACATTTTGTAGCACATTTTTCAAATTCACTACTGTATTGATTGACTTGACTTTGGGTTGGATTAGGGCCCATTTGATCTTTTATTTTGTCATTGCATTCCATGACACACCTTTGTAAACGATTCTAAAAAAAAAAAAATAATTTGGTCATTAACAGTCTAAAAATCAATGTAAAAGAAAGCTTTGAATAAAAAACCATTATTCATTTTACCTGTACTCGCTCAAATTCTCCTTGGACATATTGTTGAGCTTGATTTAATGGAATACTGCAATTTTCAACACAATTATGAACTCTTTGAATGCTTGAGGTTTTATCGTCACAACATGTAGCGGCACACCTATGCATATCAGCCTTAAAAATATAATTGTTTTGAAATCATTATCTATTGGATACTATCACATTAAAACTAATTGTAATTATTACGTAATTGTGACCATAAACTGTTGTTACAGTTAAAAATATAAAAATCCAAGATACAAGTATTTTATAATTTCAATTTTGAATGATAAAAATAACATTTAAAAAAGTTAGTAAAAATTACTTTGATATAAAAAAAATTGATGAGAAAAACTGAATTTATTATACAATTGACAACAACTTATTACAATTACCTGCATTTTACGAAGATGTGTTCGATCGATATCTTCAACTATTTTCGTCATTTGTTCTTCAACACGTTTTCTTTGCTCCTCAACCATCTTGATTATTTTTATATTGTCAATTAGATTTATGAAATAAAAATTTAAATCTTTATCTTTCTGCTATAACGAATTAACCTTTGAGAACTATCACGGTAGAAAATACCGGCTAGCCGATGATTACATGCAATTACGATATTTTATGTGGAGGCCATCCGCATTACAAATTCTGCATTTCTCACGTCCATAAATTGAAAATACTTCAGTTCTTTAGACATAAGAGGACTCTTTGTCTAACGAGCGCCATCTAGTTGGGATTTATGATTTTAATTTCGATTGAATATTTTTCGTAATCGTAATTTACGAAATCTCATTTGTAAAGATTTTGAAAATTCTTTAAGTAGATAAGTAAAATATAGAATTGACAGCAAAATTAATGGGTATTTTAATATTTTCTTGATATGTCCATTTTATGAAAAACTTTACAAAGATATTAAAAATATCTCAAATAAAAAGAAATAGACAAGAATCGCAAATGGGAAAGTATGTATTATTACGGAAGCCATTTTTTAAGATGTATAAAATCCAGATTAATAAATTACAAATTAAATAAAACAGTTAACTAAAAACATCATGGTCTAAGATTTTAAATTTACTAGTCAATTGAAGTCATTAAAATTAATCGATTTTTCTTAGTCAAACTTCAAAGTAAAAAAATCGTAGGAATAACAATAACATTTTCAAAAGAACGTAAACAAAGTTTTAATTTTTTTTAAATTTTATTGTATATTATATGTACAAAATAACTATTCCATTAATTAAACACTACAATACAAATACTTGACATAATTATTAAGATTCAACAAGGAATAATTTGTACACGTTTGAAAAATAATAAATGTTCATAAAGCTTCACGTCAACATTTTTTTTTCAAAGGATGTTGAAAAGATTGATTTTCGAATAATAGGTACATATCGATCAACCACAGATTTTCATTCAATCTTTGAAAAATTGAATCTCACTGATGTCTAGCAGTATCTCATTCCGAATGACAATGCCCCTTTTTTCTTTTATTGAATTGTTTGATTCGATCTTGCATCCGAAGTTCAAGTAAATTCGACATCCTTATTAATTGCCAGTGAAATTTTACATTCTATCGTAATAGTCCTGTTTTATGAAATTAAGTTTTTTTATATTAATTGGTTTTTTTTTTAAATTCAAACCGCTGAAGAGCCTAATTTTGTTAGGAGTATTTTTCCGATCTTCTGCCAAGATATAATAAAGTAATATTTAAAAATGTACAACATTGATAGCCTTTTTAACGTTTTCACTCATTTCTGGAAGGGCTAAAATTATTTCTTCCAATTCTAAAATGCTGCCGGGAACAAGTACCCGCTCCATTTAATGGATGCTCTTGATTATCATATTATGATATATTGAGAAAAATAGACTCGTTCATGTCTATGAAAAATTATAATCATCTTGTGTATAACGAAAAATTTCTTCGGGTGGGTTCGAAAGTAATTTCTGTCGCGTGGAGGGACTTTGATAAATACGTTTTTTCATGTATCTTACTCACTAAAGGCAGCGTTCGTTATAATTTGCTATCTGGAAAGCCCTCGCATACGAATCCCTAATATAGTACCATGAAAATTCGATTCTTCTTTTATAAATCTACAAACAAATAATACATTTTTTGTGTTGAAACTGTGCAAGTGCAAAAATTCTTCGATTCTTTTTTTCTAATTATTCGTTGACTAATAATTCACGTTATATCTGATTTATGTAAATTTGCTGAAATTTTCATTTAAAATGACAAAAACGTTTTCACAATTGATTAAACCGGCAGTTTTCAGGCACATTTTGGCATTATTATTTTTTGTCTTTTTGAAGTTTTGTTTTTGCACTTGCAAGCAATTAATGTGCGTTTTTGAAATATTGGTTTACACGTGTACGATGATTTTGCTCGGTGAAAATTGAAAAATGAAATCATGTGTTTGCATGTGTGTTGAGATATGCAAAACGATTAATGACTCAACACCTATATTGTTGTACAACGCATAATTGCACGCTAATAGTTAGTCATAATTTCATCGTACAAACATCAATAAAGGATTTTTTTTTGTTAGAAAAACTACAAAAATCAAAATATTCCAGATGCTCGAAATCATTTATCAAAGTATTAAAAACTGTATAAAACTGATGGATCATTCTTACATCGAGTATTACAATCATATTTTATTAGTATATGATAAACACCACACATATATTCTGCACATTCGACAAAAACATTATTTAGGCATTAAAATGCTTTTCTTTTAAAACGAGTACTTACTAGTTAATTAATGTGACTATCTTTGTCAAGGGAATACCAAAGCCAGGCCAAATATGAACATTTCCAAATCGATTTTCTGAGACCTCTACTGAATATTTTCTCAAACAGATCTGAAGGTCCTTGAGAACATTAAAACAAGAGCCACCAAAGAGATTTTTAAAAAAATATTCTGTAAAGGTCACGGAAAATATGTTTGAAAATGTTCATTTTCAGCCTGATTTCGTTGTCACCTGGAACGAGAATTTTGAGCGTCTTAAAACATTTTCAAGTCTTGAACATCATTATACATACACATTTATATATATCAGCTCGTATTATCTGATTATTTGTTACGATACGATAAAATGGACCACTTATGCATCGTTGTGAATTTGAACGATCGATTCTTTTGTCGTTATTAAAGCTAAAATGTCGACCAATACCGTGGCAAAGGTGCGTTAAAATTTCGATAACAATGATTCTCGTCTAATTACTAGGTATATGAGAAAGCGTCGTCGATGCGGCTTATTTACGCGAAAAAAGTCTCAACGATGCATTGTGACGTCGATGGTTCGTAATAAGGGTTTGCTTTTACAGTTATTCCATTTTTTTTGTTTTGTTCAACAGTATGATTTATTGTACACGACAAACCGAAATTCACACCAAATTCCTTATGGCATATAAATAACAGTGATATACATGTAATATTCATACAACAGATGTACAGATTCGCGATGACTTTAGGTAATCGATCGATCGCGCGCGGGGCCGTGACGCGATGTATCCCGCCGCCGAGCTATCTCTCTCTCCCCTTTTTCCCTATTATAACATGGTTTTGGCTAACGTTATGACGAGCGATTGACTTGAGCCGAGGTGCAAGCCTCGATATTGAGGTCGTTGGTGTCGAAGAGCGGCGTAGCGGCGGTCGCTGCTTCTTTTTGATAATGATTGTGCTGCTGCTGCTGCTGACGACGATGGTGTTTGCCGTTCCTCGAGGTCGCCGCGCTACTTTTCGATCTGGCTCCGTTGTGGTTCAGATGGCTCTTGTGATTGTTGTGCTGCACCGCCGCCGTCGTCGTCGTTGACATCATCATCGACGCTCCCGATGTTGTGGCTATCGGCTTAAACACACATGACACATGCTTATGCAAACGCAATTTATGTATCGTAAACGATCTACTACGGTGCATCGCGACTTCTCTGGTGTACTAGGTGCAGCCGAAAGCAAAAAAAGAACGAAGAAGAAGAAATTAGAGCGGCCACAGGCTGGCACACTTCATGACTAGGGTACTCATAGAGAGGCGCGTTATAACGTCCCTACACGCGAATAACGACGAGTCTTTTTTGCCTTAATTGCTGAAAACTCGAAACATATATATATATGCGCTCGTATGTGTGTATACCAACCTCGTTTTGAAGATGCTCCTTGCCTTCGGCGACCGAAGGCAGAAGTTCGTCTGTCGAGTGAGGCGTTCGCGGACTCGGGCTCGGGCTCGTCGCTTGCTGCTGCTGCTGTTGCTGCTCTTTCTGCTTTTCTTGCTGCTGCTGCTTTTCTTGCTCGGCCGCGGCCCGTTTCAGCTTCAGCTCCGTCAAGGCCTGGCGCTGCTCCTTCTCGCTTCTTTCGCGCTCGAAGCGACGCTGGCTGTAGCTTTTGGCCGACGAGGTCGTGCTGTGTATCGAAGCCAGGCTTGGCCTACGTGAACCTAGAAAGGACCCAACATTTTTCCGTTCAACTATCGCTTCTTGCTGCCCTTCGTTATTCGGAGCGATCGTGTGTAAATGGTATATGTAGGGCTCAATTTGTGAAGAAAAATGTCGAGATAAAACAAATATTAATCGTGCTATATTAAAAATTATTGCAAAGCTCTATATTCAACGTGTGATCGAAATAAAACATCTACAAGATGCACCAAAAAGTTGGCAAAAAATGTATTGAAGCGGAGTATGCGATATTTGCGTGTTTAGTTATGAATTTTGTAGTATCTTCGTTAAAAATGTTCAAAAACATGTAAAAGTAGAGGAAGACTTTTTCTTCGTGTAGATTAATTTAAATTCACGAATAAGTATTTGAATTAATATAATTTTAATTGAAATTCACAGGTTTTTCCATACTTCACATCTGAGAAATGAATTTAATAGAATAAATTGCCAACAGCGGTATTCAACTTCTCTGCAGGATTAATGGATAATTTACTTAAATTTGTATCCTATGATTTATTCGCTCATTTTGACTTTACCACTTGCAGATTTAAATATAAAGGTACTCGCCATCTATCGATGAAGACAGACATCAATTACGATTGAAATTTCACAAATTTTTTGAGCACCTAAGGCAAAAAATAAACTAGTACTTGGACACTTATTTTTACACACAAATGTCATGAAAAATTACTTTCAATAAAATTCAGTATCGGGCTTTTTTATTTCAATGTATATAATCTTAAATTAAATTTGCCTTGAATTTAAGTTTTTTTCAATAGTGTATTTTTGAATTTGATGATGAACTGGTGAACGGAAACGTGCTGGGTAAAATACTAAACTACGAAATAAGTAAAAAAAAAATTTGAAAAATGTACATGCCACAAGTTTATTACTCGCGAATTAATTGCCTTACCGGAAACATGAAGAATGCACATGAGGAGACGTGTATTGGATAAGTGTTATTTTGTTACATTAAGTTTTGAAAATTTTCGCTGCCATCTTGCTGACTCGTATTATTGCGAGTGATCTCCCTTTCGTCGAGCTCATTATACCGATCTGACTTTGTTATTGATCGTTTTGTTTTATGTTGAGTACTTATGCACATAGAAATGACATCAAATTTATAATTGTTTTTTTTAATTTATGAATTCTCTTCTCTTTTTAACTGATGAATTAATATGAGCCAATTTTCACACTCTGACAATTGAGAATGTGCGTCACACGTACACTACATGCAAACTACAAATTCACGAGTATAATATTTAATATAGTCATGATAAGTTCATGTATATGTGTTTGTTTATGCCATGCACATTGTCGAGTAAATCACATTAATTTAGTTATCGTTTAATTTAGTATTGATGCTCAGCAAAAAAAGTACATAATAAAAATCAATAACATGCCATTCAAGCACACATATACACGTTTGAACCGGAATTTTCGTAAAATCGATTTATTTTGTAAACGTCAATCGAAAAACGTGTCGTTTCATTTTTGATCGCGTCAAACACAGAGAATAACACCATAAAGAACCGGTATATAGAGAATCGCACCTCGAGAATCCGCATGAGAAATGCAGCAAGTCAAAAGAGAAAGAGAAGTAAAAGAAATGGATTGTAAAACATCGAACGTTCATAGAGACACGTACTTTTATATGAGTTAAATATGTAAGAAAAGAGACACATAATATGACAGAGAGCAGCACACAGCAATATATAGGTACACATGACACGGGTCGCGCGCGCTCGCCCGGCACAGAGACACACTTTGGGCTTGCCGGTCCCTCGGTATATAAGAAAACGACAAGCTCTGCACTCTAACACGTAAATATATAAATATAATATATATGTTTAAGTAGAAAAAAATGTCGAGTACACAAGAAATTGCTAGAACAATATATGGTTTGCTGTCGCGAGAGAGAAACAGAGAGAAACAGAGAGAACGAGAGAGAGAGATTCGTGTGTGCTTTTTGAAAAACGTGTTGCTGCTATACCGAGGCCGTCTTGCGAGCCCTCGGCGACGTCGCTGAGGGCTCTGCGATGCCTGCCCGGGGGATTGGGCGAGGGGCTGCCTGGGCCGCCGCCGTTGTTAGCGGCGTTGGCTTGCGAGCTATTGCTATTGGCGCCGGTGGCCTCGCGATGACACGAGATCAACAAGAAGGCGGCGGCGCGCGCCGCACCTGCCCTCGAGGCCGTCACGTTGTTGTTGGCGCCGCCTGACCGGGTATCGGGGCAGCTCTGCTTGCGCAGCGAGTAGTTGATGGTGCCGCCGCTGCTGCTGCGATGGGACGAGCGCGAGGAGGGCCTGTGGCCCCCTCCGATGGGCCCGCCGATGCTGTCCTGGTGCTGCTGATGATGATGATGCTGTTGCTGCTGCTGATGGTGCGGGTGGTGGTGCTGGATCGCCAGCGGTATGCCTGCAAAGGCTTCCCCGTTAGCTATACTCGAGTCGGACGGAATGTATCATCGTATATACGCACCGGTGTCACTGGAGAACAAAATCGGAGCGCCCGGATGGCCCGCGGCGCTGGCGTAGTGTCGCGGCCTCGTGTAGCGTGCCCGGCTGAACAGCTTCAGGACGAAGCAGATGAGCCCGGTGAAGACGGCTATGCCGGAAAACACCCCGAGCAGCGTCGGCAAGTCCGTCGCTATCAGCACCAGATCTATAGCGGCCCCCAGAATTTTCATGAGTACTCGCGCAATTTGGCTATAGTTTTACGAATTGCATGCATATACGTTACCTGCCGCACAGAAGAGCTTCCGGTTGGATTTGGACAGGGGCACGCGATGGTAGCCCTCGTCGCACTCGCAGACCGCGTTGTGCTGGACTTGCGTGCAGGTCGAGTGCTGGTCCGTGTAGAGACACGTGGCTCGGTACAGGCATTGCTCCCCGAGCTTTTTCGCTGCGACATATATAGCCACGTTAAAAGTTTTACAACATTCTTACGTCAATATGTTCGACGATATTTTTGTGATCGATTGCACGTACGTTTGGCACATCCCTTGGTCGGACCAAGCTCGACTGGATAAAACTTTTCGCACTCGCAGAACTTGCTCTGCGGATCGCAAACGACGTGCTGCAGCGACGGGTTGCACTCCTGGTCACAGGGCGAGCCCAAATACTTCCATTTTTCTGTCGACATACACACAAGAAGGATACGTATATATAAACGAGAGTATTATTTAATTTTTTCTTTCTTTTTTTTTGTTGTTGCCTCGCCGCGCTCTATCCGCGTCTGAATGGGCTCTTGACTTTTGATCCCCCCCTCCCTCTGGGCAGGAACAAAGACGTGTACGGTATTATTTTATCGAGTCAAGTGCATCGTCGAGAAGTCATTGTCGCGCTGCGAAACGGTCGAGCGATCAAAGCTCTCGTGCTCTTCTCGTCGGACGTACGCTGCACAGCGAGAGCCGTTGTTTGTCCGTCCACGCTCGAGCCTCGACGATAATTAACAAATTCTATTTGTTTTTCAAACGAAGATATATAATTTCGATCGAGGCTCGCAATTAATTAGGAGCAGTGGAGCTTCTTGCCGGCGATCGAGCCGGACTTGCAGATAGACGTGCTGTACAATAGCTTTGTAAGCAGGCTGCAGCTTGTGAGTCGCAAGCTCGGCAACAAAAACGAGCCGTGTAAGCGTACGGGCCGAGCTTCATTAGTCGCATCAGGCGGGCGGGCGCGAATCGGCTTCGTGATTAGGCCTCTCGAGCTCCTCCTTTTAATTATATTTTCGCTTTATCGCGTTAACAAATTTTCCATCCACGTCGCTCTCGCATAAAGAATATACAATTCAGAACATGCAGAACCGGCTTGTACGTGTGTGCTTGCACGCACGCACAGCTTTAGCACAGTACATGTGTATTATTATACATTTGTCGCGTGAAATGGAGCTCGATTCAGTTTTACTTGTTTTCACTTTTATAATTACGATCTTGATCTCTCGCTCGTTGGCTGCGGCTCGTTCGCGCACTGGCATAATAATTACGTACAATGGCCCAGAGAGAGAGAGAGAGAGAGAGAGAGAGAGAGAGAGAGAGAGAGAGAGAGAGAGAGAGAGGCTCGAGTTTTGCGCTCGGAAGTTTATACGCCGCATGCACATAGGTAAAATGTGTGTGCGTAGTCGAGAGAGCTGCTGCAGCAGTCTAGTGCAAGCTCGGGGGGCCGCTTGTGTAAGCTCGCGCGCGCGAGCAGGCGAAGCCGAGCGTCCACACGCGGCGTACGTATACTCATTAAAATCAATACTCCCTGGAGCGCGCCGTGCACTGGCACTCGCTCGACGCGCGTGCAGCACTACACGTACATACACCCATACACGCATACCCGCAACGTAGTTCATTTATGTAGTAGCAGGCTCAAGAACTTGCCAACGACTACCGCGCGCCTATCGCATCCGTACGATGGGTATGCACCGAAGTTCGCCGTGATCGTCGGCGCGAAACACGTTTTTACGCTACTGCTGCCGCTGCTGCGCTCTTCTTCCTGCAAGCTCGGCGTCGCGCTTCGCGATTTCCTTTGAAAAACGGCCCGGCCGCACATGTGCGCGCCTCCGCACTGGCCCATCAACCGAAGGATCTGCGATACTATACGCAGCCAAATGTCATCTCGGCCGCGCTGACAGCTCAATTTCGTGCCTGGAAAATTGGCTTAGCCCGTGTTTAACAGGTATACGTGCGCGTGGTGGTCGCACGTCGTACACACGACAACGGCCGCGCGATAATATTTAACTTGCTCGTATGTATTCATTGCATACGAATTTATACGCGTGCATCTAGTCTCGGACAGGGGGGTCGAAGTTAAAAGCGCCGCAAGCTCGGGAGGATAATTTCTCGACGGTGCCTGAATAAGCCGCACGTCCGTCCGCGCGTTCTCGTACGTGTGTATGTGTGTATACTACACGACAGTGTGCGCCAGCGAGCGAGAAACTTCGTTACGCTCGTAAATGAAATTCATACAGAAGAAATGACGCGAAGGAGGGATAAAAAGCTTTTCTGCATGCAGGATCAACGAAAGTGGGCCAACATTTTTTCTATCTTTCTTTTTTTTTTGACCGACGCGCCGAAAATATCTTAACGATTCTCCTATCGGAAACGATCAAGCTAGATAATTGAGGTATGATATTTTCTGGCACGCTCCCGAGCTTACATATGCTAAAATACGCGCGACGAAAAAAGGATGCGCGGCAACTGGCAAGTATCAATTTCCTCGTGCGGCTTGGCTCGCGACGAATCCTCAAATAATATTCGTTTATCACAATGTTTTTTGGCATTGCTGTCGAGCAGCAGCAGCAGCACAAAATGCGGAAAAAGTTGAGAGATCAGAGAGAGAGAGAGAGAGAGAAAAAAGGGTATTCGGTCGAAAAGAACTCGCGATATCTACGAATGATTACGCTTTACAAAATGTAGCATGCAAAGCTGCCAAAATACATTTTAGAAAGATTAGATTTCCGATGTAAGCTCGCTGGACGTGCGCGAGCGAACGAGCTTTTGCGCATATTATAATGCTCGGTCTTTGCTTTGGTCAGCGATGTATTATACATATATACGCGTGTGAACAAGACTGCGAATTTGCCGACGTGCATAATGCAAGTACCCATTTGTAGGTAATTCTCGCCGACCACACACCGCTGCACTGCTTTCTGTTTTTCTCTCTCACTCTCTGCTCGTTTATGCCATGCATAAATACGTGCTCAACAGCGCGAAGTTAATAACAATATGCGCGCTCTAGTCTCTCTCTCTTTCTCTCTTTCTCGACGTACGGCACGTGGAACACAACGAACGCGCAAATATTCGATTATTGGATTTTACTCGGCGAGGCAGCAGCAGCAGCAAACTGAGCTGAGCTTGCGACGAACGCGGAGCTTGTAACGAGTTTATTATTAAAATAAATAAGGCATTGCCGAGGTGTTTTCAGGGTAATTCGACGCGTACCACTGGCGGCAGCTAAAGCTCGACGTCGTGCTGCCTGAGCTTTTCTTTTTCATTTTCCCGGATTATCCTCATTTGCTTCTTCACATGCCAGAAAGCTGCTGCTGTTTTCGATGTCGAAAAATTTTCAAGCAGATCGATATAAAACGAAGCTCCTAAGCTTATATGCTGCTGCTTCGGGTGCAGTAAGGATTTTCTGTGTCGGTATTACGTGCCGCAAAGAGAGTGAGAGAGAGAGAGAGTAAGTTATTCGTTCGACACAATACTGGAGGAGCGGCTGAAACTTTTAATACGATCGTTTTTATCTCTCTTTGGCTCTCTTAGAGGCGGTGGCGGCGCGCGTATGCGAATAAACTCTAGAACCTCTTCTCTCCGCTTTATCGCGTAACTTGCAATGATGTATCGCGTTACGCTTCTCATTGTTGAGATGTTCCGCTGCGCGTCGCTCGCATATTATATTATGCTCGTCGCTGCTACGCGGCAAATGCCAATATGATATAATCCCGGAGTTCGAAGTAAACGCTTAATTGAGTTACGACGCCGATATTTCGAGTTCGGAGCTTGCACGGATGAAGCTCGCAGGAACTGCACATCGCCTATACATACGTATAGGTTGCAGCTATATAGCAGCAAGGAAGACAGAGAGAATGAGGGAGAGATAGAGAACGAGAGAGAGTAGGAGAGCGGCGTGTGCCACTCACTACTGGGCTACTATATACGTGATGTTGGGTTTCATCGATTGGCCCTTTGGCCTATATTGTAGTTATGTTATGTACACATTCCTCACTTATCTCGCGGAAACACATTGACGACTTTACTGCAACTCTCGAAATGTGTGCTTGTTATTCATACGTGTACGCAAGAAGGAAAATTGAATGATCTCACCCCAGGTAGTTGGCCCGCTAGCGCACACTCAAGCAGTCGCACATATACAGAGCACGGATACACGACACACATTGAGAGCTTGCAGGAGCTTGCAGCGAGAATGAAAACTTTACGACGACACTCGCGACTCACACACGTAATGTAAGCGCGCAGCGTAGAAGCAGATCGGAGCAGATGCAGCTATAGTTATGCGCGAGTCGAGGCCACTGACTCTCGCCGAAATTACCTGCGGTGACATTAAGCTCGACGTAATCGTCCTCGTCGAGCTCATCTTCCTCGTCGTAGGCGAGATCGGGTCCCGGCGGCTGGGCTGGCTGCAGCGATCGCTGATGCTCCTCGTCGGCCTGGAACTGCTCGCGCTGCTGGTGATCGAGCGGATGCAGTCCGAGTGAAGATGCGGCTACGGAGCAGCGACGCGGCTGGCCGTCGCCGTCGAGGCAGCCCAGCAGCAGCAGCAGACACAGGCCGAGCCGCAGAGCCGCGACGTGAGTAGTGGACGCGAGGAGGCCGTAGCTCGGGAGCTTGGCGCGCTGCTCCTGGCCGCTGTGACTCCTGCGAGTCCCGTGGCAGCTATCGTCACTGTAACTCGATGCGGTGGCGGTTCTGCTGATGCTCATCGCCCCGCCGCGAGCGGCGCGAGTACTGGATCGCGTTGAGAGCCTACCAGCAGCAGTAGCAGTAGCAGCAGCAGCAGCAGCAGCAGCGCCGCTCGCAGAGCTGCGCTAGCCCCAAAGTCGATCTCGCGCGAGCCAAGCCGAGGAGCGGATACCGGCTAGGCAGGCGGCCACCCCAGTGTTGCAGGCGCGCGCGCAACCATCAGCCAGTCTCTCTCTCTCTCTCTCTCTTCTATTCTCGCTCCTCGCTTCCAGCTAGCCTCGCCGTGATCGTTCTCTAGGTGCGCGAGCGGGGAGCTTTTTTACAATTTTCTGCGGCAGCTTGCGAGAGAGCGAGCGCGAGGAAGGTAGGGAGGGAGAGCTATACCTGCGAGCGAGTACGCTGCGCGGTAACCCCTGCGCAGTACTGCGCTTACTCTCGTACCACGTATATATACACACGATACTCGTCGACGGCCCGATGCTTTGTGTGCAGCTAGAGAGCTTGCAAACGAATAAGCTTCTTTTTTCGCTCTCCTCGCTTCCTTATGTTCCTTCTGTCTTGGGCGCCCCGTGTGGCAGCTCGACGTTGTTGAGCGCTGCGCCGCTTGCTTGCTTTAACCCTTTATGAGGCTCCATTTACCAATTCTACTCGGGCTTTATGCCCGTGCGTCATGCCACGAATCTGCCATTGGATATTTCGCGCGTTCGAGAGCTTCGAAGCTCGAGCTTTTTTCCCTACCCAATCTATTGTTTCGTAATCCCGATGTATAAGCTTGTACAAGTAAGCCTATTACTTCGTCAACTTTTGGCTTTATTTGTCAATGACTTACTTCTTTTCACTTATTGAGCCAAAATAATCTCTTTCGAACAAGATTCAATCCATCGCACGGCTTTTTCTTAGTTCAAGGGATTTTATTATTGCAAATGCACCGATGTCGATTCAACAATTGGATAAACTTATTGTTTCCTCACAGACTATCGAATGTTGTCTATACTCGATTTATATTGAAAATATATAGTATTTTGCTCGTGAAAATGATAGCCATGAACTGCTTAGAATCAATTTCCTTGCTGATAGCTTATCTATACTTTTTACAAATCTATACTTTATAGGCGCTTATCACTTTGGCTAATGTGCTACCACTTGTCGCGCTACATTATCATATTTTGATTTCATCATCGCTGTAATTTGTTTTCGTTTCAAAGCTCCATGGTCAAGCGATGCTCCTAAAGTATGTCAACAAAATTTCAAGAACTCGGCGTTTGCTTCAACGGTTATAGTGGAATGGCGGAGTTATTCGTCGAGTTATCAAGTAGATTTCAACGAATGACTGACATTACACGAGAGAGAACTCGGCCGCTCGGCGTTAACAGCGAGCGATTACCAGCCCTATTCATCACGGGCGCAGGCCCGAGTGCACCTCGAATGAACGCGAAGGGATTTCGCACGAACGAACGAACGCACCCGACTCGTTGCAGTTGTCGCGGGTTACACGCAGACGAGCCACAGCTCGAAATTCGCGCATTTTTCCTTTCGCGACGAGCTGTGCAGCAATTGTCCCGTCCGCAAAGGGGCCAGTTTGCGGCTCGTCGCCGCACACGTGCGGGCATGGAAACGCGAGCGCGCCTGGTCTAGTTTCTCGCGTTCGCTTGCATTGTCCTTTACAAACGAGGGTATAATTAATTCTGCATGATTATTCGAGTATATTTGTCGGCGAACGTTCTTGGGCTGCAGTTCATAGCAAACTTGATTTGTTGCGCAAGTCATTCGACGCGCGACGATAATGAATCTCGAGCTGGAGGCTTTCGCAGCCTTTGAAATCGCGCGCAACTTGATTATTTTCGTGCTTCTCGGGGCGAAATATGCGACGATTGTACGAGTGAAATCACTTGCCTCGAGAACAATTTTCCCTGCAAAGGAAAACTTTTTTAATCGTTCCTTGAAAGTCTTCGACTCCTTTATTATTAATTCAAACGAGATATTCTCAAGTTTCATCATATTTTTTAATTAAACATAATAAAGCCACTTGAAGTTTACAGCATTTTCCGCGTTACAACAGTTAAAGTAATACAAAACTAATTAATTATACGTAGATTATCATAAATTAGATTATACGTAAAGTTAAAACACTACATCTGAATGAGCTATAGGTACGTGAAATAATTTACTCGATGTGCGTGAACAGAGGCACGCATCTGTTGGTGGCCTTGAGGCCGCTCTGCTGGATGTAGCCCGGGTTGCAGATGCAGAGATTCGGGGCCGAGCAGACGCCGTTGGCGCAGCCACCGTGACAGACCGGGGCGCACACGTGGCCTCCGGGAATCCTCGAGTCGGGCACGTAGCCCTGCAGGCAGGCGCACTCGTTCGGCCCCACGCACAGTCCGTTTATGCAGGCGTGCGAGCACACGGCGCCGAAACGATTCGACATGCCGTAAGGCGACAGGCTCAATCCTGGGCCCTCCCCGCCGGGAAAGGAGAACTCGCTGATTCCGGGGGCGATCTCGTGCATCTCGAAGGCCAAAATCGAAACCTCGGGAAAACCTTGCTGGGTCTGTATCACGCCTGGTCGTCCGTAAATCTGCGTGCCTGGACTCTTGACACCTTGGGAATTTGCACGGTCGGGAGGCAAGTAAGATCCTTCCGAGTTGATGTAATGACCTTGGGATGTTTCAGGTCGATGTTGTGGAGAAGTTTGATGATTAACTGCGTGAGGATTCGATGTCTTGTAGGGGCCTTGATGCTGAGTTCTGCTTGGGTCGTTTTGGCTATTGGAGGTTCCAACGGGTCTCTGAGTCTGAGTATAACTGTATCGTCCGTACGGGTCAATCGTAGTTCGATCATTTCCATGGGTGTCCGGAGACAGTCTTTGTCCAAAGTGAGTATCTTCTGCCAAACCCGTCACCCTAGGTGGCTCCAAAGTTTGACTGGGTTCCCGCGAACCATAAGGATTTCGATCTTCAGCCGGGAAAAATCCTTGAGCAGTAGCTGGTTTTCGAGTCGTGTGTGGTTGTCGATTGATATCCTCTCTGTCATAAGGATTTCTGTTCTGATTCGAGTACGGTACTTGAGTATTGCTAGGTGAGTTTGGCCGACGATCATTGTTGTACCTTGAATAGGGATCATCTGGTCTCGGAGTAGTTTGTCTATGACTAACTCCGTCGAGACCGAGTACTTCTTGAGGATGATCCATCGAACTGAAGATTTCGTAAGGATTATTTATTCTCTGATCATCATCGGTTCCGTGATTTCCATGTCTATCTCCGATTGGAACTTGTGAACCAGGATATCTTTCGGTCTGTGCATTTCCGTTAATTGGTCTTTGATTATAGTCAGATGGTCGAGATGTGCCGTATGGACTTGGTCGTACTGTCGAAGGATTCCTTTCATTCTGGTAAACTGGCCTTTGATTATCATCAGCAGCCGGTCGAGATGTGCCATATAGACCTGGTCGCACTGTCGAAGGATTTCTTTCATTCTGTTGATTTCCGTATATCGGCCTTTGATTATCATTAACAGATGGTCGAGTTGTTCCGTACGGACCTGGTCGCACGGTTGAAGGATTTCGTTCATTTTGTTGATTTCCATAGACTGGTCTTTGTTCTCCATACTGCTGGTGAGGTGACTGCCCCCTCGATGGATTTTCACCATTTTGTCGATCGTAATTCGCTGTCGGGGGTCTAAACGATCCAAACGGACCTGGACGGACCGTAGTAGGATTTCTCTCATTTTGAGTAACTCCGTAGACCGGATTGATAGGAGTTTCCGTTCTCTGGCCACCATAATCCTCGGCATGCTGCTGTCCTCTCAAAGGATTTTCATGCTGTTGATGGGGATAATTAGCACCCGAGCTAGACGGTTGGAATGTGCCTCGCGCACCTGGCTGTGCCGTTGTGGGATTTCTGTTGGGTATGTTTTGGTAGCCACCACTCGAATAAGGATCCTCGATACATTTTTGAGATCGATAATCCATTCTGTAGCCTGGATTACACTCGCATAAGTCGGGAGCTGCACAAAAACCGTTTTCGCATTCATTTTGGCAGACGGGCGTGCAAGTGCCGTTGTCCTGATGCTCGTAACCAGTTGTGCAGTCGCAGTTTCCAGGCGAAACACAAGTCCCACCATTCGAGCAATCTCCCGGACAATCGGGCACGCACAGCTCCAGATTATAATTCGCATTCTTGTACCTACAAGAAAATTCACGAGCTCGATCAATCGTATTAATTGATCCAAAGTTTTAAAACTCACCCCTCGTCGCAGGTGCAGACGCCGGGCGCGGTGCAGGTGCCGTTGCCGCATCCGCCCTCGCAGACGGGATCGCAGACGCCGGTCTCGTTGAGCCTGTAGCCGGGATAGCAGCGGCAGACCCTGGGAGCGACGCAGATTCCGTTCTCGCAGCCGTTGGCGCAGGCCGGCCGACAGACGCCGCCCACGTCCTCGTAGCCGAACTGGCAGGTGCAGACGTCGGGCGCGAAGCAGTACGAGTTGAGCTGACACCTCTGGCGGCAGATCGGCTTGCAGACGCCGGCCTCGGGATACCAGCCGAGCTCGCAGACGCACACGTTCGGCCCGGTGCAATTTCCGCCGAGGCAGCCCTCGTCGCACTGGGGCTCGCATCTGAGGCTCTCGTCGTTGCGCGCGTACCCGGCGCAGCAATCGACGATCGATATCCAATCTCCAGGCTATTTTGCAGGCCGATATAGGCGCAAAATTTCAATGCACGCATGAATAATAATGAGATTGTAGCCGGTATATAGGCTGCTGCTACTACTATATAAATCTATTCCGTGTATACGTATAGGGCGTTATAAATTACCTGCTTTGGTCCGAGAGGCTGGGACGCCGGGGCTAATTGGACGATTCCCCTGTCAATGTCGTCGGCAACTTTTTCACTGTACCTGCGAGTCAAATACACGTACTCGACGTTAGAGAAGCGCGCGAACGAGCTTTACGCGCTACAAAATTCGGCGATACAAAAAATACTCACTGAACGCGCTTGACGCACTCGCCGTTCTCGTCGGCCTCGTTGGCCTCGGGTGGGACGTAGCGTTGCTGAGCCCCCGACTTGATTCCATCGCCGAGAGACGACGACGTCGATGCAGCCAAGCAGCAGCAAGCGGTCGCAAAAACCAACAGATGGACGAGGAGCCACGGCAGCGGCGGCGATCTATCGCGATACATCTTGCCTGGCCTAGCGTTTTTCAGCAACTAAGTACGCACGCTGCCGACGAGTCATTTCGGAATCCTCGCGCTGCGCTACGAAAGATGCTAATCTATGAGTAAGGTTAAGAAGGTCAGCTCTCGAGATGTGCTTCAAATACGCGTGTCTGTGTGTGTGTGATATTCCCAGCCTAGACGCGCGGCGCTCGCATAATAGCAAAAAGCTATATTAAACGGTGATAGCGTATTGACCTTATTGTGATGATTATTAATATTTACATTGGCGCAGCTCGTCGCCGCGACTCGATCGATGATCGAGCCAACCGAGTTGTTTGCAAATTTTCTATTGTTGTTTATCGCATCTTCGCCGACCACCTCCTCCCGACGCGTATTAGAAGCTCGACTTGGAAATCCCAAGGCCGTTGCTTATTATACAATTAATGACGAGCCATTATACGAAGAAAACAAATGATGCGAACGAACGCACGCGCCTCGACGTGAGATCACCCGAGAAAGAGAGAGAGAGAGAGAACAAATATAAAAACTCGCAGAAGATGCAATATTCAAATGATACGGTCAAGTGTATCGTAAATTTTACTCGTGTAAGCGTCGATGATAAATCAAGTCCAATGAAAATTCACACGGCTGCGTACAAGATTTTCTTTACCAAATATTTATTTGACTCGTATTGTACATTGCGCTCATTTGCATGAGCTTAAGCCTAGAGAAACATAATATAGAGGCATGACTTATTTTTTATGAAATGCAATTCGTCGCTTACACATTGTACTCATTGTTGAAATTTATAAGCCGCGGTACAATTATGTAACGACGTTTGGATTATATATTATGAAATACTGCGTTACGTACATTATTTATAACTTTTTGGCTTATAAATTAATTTGTTTTTACAAAGAAATAAAAGTACCAAGATTAACGAGAGCTAAAGGTGCATATCGTAATAACCATGACATCGTGCAATTTTCTAATTTAGGCACACGTCATGTATTTTTATAATAAATTCAATGTATACTGAAGTACAAAATCTAACTTTCAGAATTATTTAAACGATCTACTTATTCTTATTATTAACCTATGCTATAAATATGTCGTACAAATATTTTCATTGGCTGCAATTACAAATAAATTTCCATACAAAACTGGCTACTGCTTTGACTCATCCGAATCACTATCAATACTGCTATTAATCATATTTTTTGGCATATGAAATAAAATCATATAAAACCAATCGTATACATTTGCGAAGAAGCAAAAACAAATGATTTGCTTTCCGAATTGGTTTGAATATCAACTTTAACAATACATACTGATTTATGGATTTCCCATTGAAAATCTAAATCAAAATTTACTTCTGATTGGTCGACAATAAAAATGTCCATGAATAATAAACATTGCATACGGTCGACTTGTGTCCAATCTACTGCGCTACAAGTGTCACAGTAGTAATTGAATCAGAGCCGCACGAGCCCACTCGATCGAGACTCTCCTCTCGAGTAGCTTTTTTATCGAGAAACGTCGACGCGCGGATAATGCTCTACTCCAAACTCTACGTGTCTTTGGCGAAAAAAAACGGCGACGATAGTGGAATCTCGTCGTAGACGTGCTCGGTCGCGTCGGGAGGCTCGCCCACGCCGAGCGAAGTCGTCGTCGTCGTCGCCGCCCCCGTTGTGGGCAATGTCGCTGTGCTGTTCCTCATCGTCCCCGAACAAGACGCGGGCCTGTCGTAGTGACTCTCCAACAAATCTACGCACATATATACAACGTTCATAGAGTTACAACGTATATATAGAGTTGTATTATTGGTACGAGCGCAAATGAAAATCACCTCTGATATTGCTGGACAGTCGAATGCCGATGGTCACGGTGCCGTTGGCGTACTCGGGCGGTCTGTCGTCGAAGGTCAGCAGTGCTGCATTGGTATCCACGGACGTGCCGTAAATGGGACTAGTCCTCGTCAATGTACCTGCAAATCAAAGAAAACTCTACGTTTACGAAAAAATAGGCTTATTGCAGGCCCGCCGTCTCGTATCGCGGATCGCAACCTCGAGGCAGAGTCGCCACGTTGACGTCCAGAGTTTTGCTCGAGGCGCTGGTCGTCGTCGAGCCGAGGGTCGCGTCCTTCTCGATGTACTGGCGCTGATCTATGACCTTGTCCGGGCCGTAGATCGACAGCGCGGTCTTGAGCAGCCGCGAGCGGGCGTGAAAAATCATGAGGGCTGCCACCGAGGTCAGTCCGATGGACACGAGGGCGCCGACGACGATCATGGCGGCCACGTCGATCGGTATCGACGACTTTGCCGAGCTCGAGTCACCTGTTGACGTCGTTGTTTTATACGATCAAAATATAATTAGGCAATCGACCGAAGAACACGAGATTACGTGTGCGCTTGGTATGCGCTCGTAATGACGAATTTTGCAACATTTCATATTATAAAGTCACGAGACACATATATTTATTTAATGCATTTTCAAAAGAAGAAAGTTTGTCGATCGTCGACAGATGCTGAATTAACTCGTTTGTCGTATTCGACTGCCATTACCGAGTGCAAATGTATATATGTAACAAGCGCAAACGTCGTTTCGGTTCTGTTGAGCACACGAAAAATTACGGCGATTCTTAAAAAAAAAAGTATTAGCAAAGCGAATTACTTCCTTTTGGGCGGAATCGAGAATGCATGCAAGTGCCTGGCGCAGATCTCGAGCGCGTGAACGGGACCTTGGCGCGCTTGACAAGTGTTGTGTGTGTGTGTATGAAACAGCATTATATGCAAACCTTTATGCGGCGAGACAATGACGCGAAAGTTGTTCTGTTGCTCATCAAAGTCAAAACGCTCGCCGGGCGGTGTCGCAGGCTGCTGCTGCTTTTCGAGCGGCCTCTTGGAGCGTGAAAGTTGATTTCCTTCGGTGGCCGCAGCTTCGTTAGTCGCCGCCGTCACCGCTGGATTAAGTTGCGTCGTCGTGGCCGTGCGAATCGTGCCGATGATTCTCGTGCTCGAGCTGTCGGACGAGCCGACTGTCCGGGCGGTCGGCTGCACCGTCGTCACAGCCGGTAGCAGGTCGTCGGGCAGGCTCGAGATGGTCGCAGAGTCGTTTTCCTCCGCTGCTGGTACCATCGGGATTGAGTCAATTCTTTATAAGCTGAATCAAAGTCTCTCGTTTGGGGTGCGTCGGGTGACCTACCGTCGACGATTCTCGGGACGCTGCTGGCCTCCTTGTCGAAATCGATGACCTCGGCGTTGTACTCCTGGTCCGGAGCAAGAACGGCCGGTCCCGCCTGTAGCAGCTTCTCGTCGGCAGCGGCGTTAGGCGCGAGATTGACCCCGGACGCCTCGTAGGGATCGATGAGCAGTTCGCCGTTGTCGGCGTTACTCGTCGCGGCCGTCGTCGCCGGGCACTCGCCGGTCTCGTGGTGGCATCGAGTTCGCGGACTTTCGCACTGGCAGGTGGAGCTGCAGCTCTGACCCCACTGGCCATCCGGGCATTTGCTCTCGCAGCTGATTCATCGCGTTTTTTTTTAATTTTAATATGAACAACGATCGAGCGACACGACTATTTTTTCAACACTCACCGGGAGCCCGTCCATCCAGCTGGACAGAGGCAGTCGCCGTTGATGGGATTACACGTAAGGTCGCCCTGGCAGTTGCACTGGTTTTTGCAATTCTGACCCCAACTACCCTGTGGACACTCTACAAATAAATCATTTCCAGCCCTTTTTCTCTCTCGATCGTGCCGATTGCATATAAATGAAAAACTCGTTCGTATTATTATATGTACGGTCGAGCTTTTCGGAATTCGTATCAAACTTTGTATGCGGCGAATGCGCGCGCCAACTTGAGATCGTCGAATTCATCGAGCCTATATCCACGTACTCTACGTACTCGGTGCAAAAGTGGCAAAATTCGTTTTGCGCGCATATATTATGCGATACGTAAGAAATTCAATCGCGGATAAGAAGTTGTAATATGCGAGTGCAAGCCCAGATGTTACACACACTGCGTAAGCGTCTGGTTGCGACATTACTTTAATTAAGCGGTCGTGCCTATATATCCACATAGTCGCGCGCATGCAAGTTGAGAGGCGCAATCGTTGTATACAAATATTTTACAGTCTTTGCGCTAAACATTCAATTTTTATCCTTAGCAAAGTCTGTTTCTTACGATTTTTCGCATTCATGGTAATGAGGCATGCGATTTGGAGTCTTCTAGAATTTGCTCTTTTCGTATACTTTTTATGTGCAATTTTCTTTTGTTAAAGGATCATTATTCAAATAAAAATTAATGGTCGAATCGAATGAATTTGGCAATCTTTCCTTCGGACGAGTAAATTGTAGTATTATAGCTCTAATTGAGACGGAATAAAATTCAGATAATCCTTTTGCCTTATTCGCTTTGGTTATTTTTTTTCTGTATATTTTTCGTACTGTTAAAAAATTTACAGGAAAATAAATGCGATTTGAAATAAATTTAAAAAATAATCCATGATTCATATCACATTAAATTTAATATAAAGTTAGTAAACTTTATTCTCTTTATTCACATTAGTTTTCATGTAGTTATTTTCAATCTACACTTTCAATGTAAAATGTCAATTTTATTGAATTTATAAATTTTAATTCAATAATATTACTAATCATTCAATTCCATTTAGTTCACATTTAGTTCACATTTAGTTTACATTTAGTTCACAGAGCAGAGCAGCATCGTGCAACTTAAAGCTTCATTCGGCACACAGCTATTTCGGTGTTCGAATAAAACTCGTGAAGGTGAAGCGCTTGGATTCAAAGGAGTAATACACTTTTTCTAAATGTTGATAACGGCGATTTTTATTTTCCGAAAAATGCCAAGTGGAGAAAAAAGAAATTCATTTAGATGACTCTTTTGAATACTAGAGCATAATCGGAACAAATGTTATGCGAAAATTACTCTTTCGAGGTACCATTTTGTTAAACCAAACACCGAAGTAGCATTGTGCCGAATGAAAATTTAACTGGCATTATGCCGTTCTTCTCTGTCAATTAGCATCTTCAACATAGTATTTCGACACAAAGTAAAATAATTAAAAAAATCACGAAAAGCGATCTGATTATAATGAATAATTACGTATTATTTACTTATTTAATTATTTTCACTTTGTCACTTGCAGATTTATAGATAATGGTCCACGCCATCTAGTGGTAGACGCTAAATTTCAACCAAAATGTTTAAATTTGAGAATAGGAATATTTCTTGTTTAGTTGTAAATTGAAAATAATGTTTAAGATTGTATTTTCATGTATTATTTGTGCACTTTATCGAAAAAATAAATAAGTTGTAATATATTGATTTTCAATGAAAATATGTAAAAGTTTTTTAGATATGTCTGATGTGCACTCAATCACAATCCAACCATTCACACACATTGCCGCCGAGTCGCGCAGAAGGAAGTAATTACTTTGCTGCTACACGATGTAAAATTGGAAAAGATAAAAAAGGAAGAAAGAAGAAAGAAACGAAAAAAGGAAAGAAAGGAAAAGGGGAAAAAAGTGGACTCACCGCGAGCGCAATCCTGTCCTTGGAATCCCGGATCGCAGCTGCACTGGTTGGGCGCTACGCAGACTCCGCTTCGGCATTTCTCGCAGCGCGGCACGCACTTGGCATCGGCGGTGCTTGCGTTACCCACGACCTCTTGCATTACGTATCCTTCGCAGCACACGGGTACGCTCTTGAATTTCACTTCCGTCTGCAATGGTAGTACAGGAGTATGTTTTTGCATAAAGAGAACAGACAGAATAAGCAAAACGACATTCAACTCTATTACTGGCTATGAAGTTGCGAGATGAACCAAATGGACTTTTTTGCTTTTTAGCTGGTCCAAAATATAAGTTAAACAATATACAAATGGACACGTAAGCCTAACCGTTTGAGTTATTTGTTGCATGAAATCGATCCGAAGTGTCGACCTATGAAGTCTTTGCGAGATATACAATTTCATGGACGATCTAGCGCATACAATATAAGCATCGTAATCGGGATGTAATTATCAATTATGTCGAGAGATGGCGAATAATTTGTCGGAGCTCTAGGATATTATACCGGCGCGTGTTTGCTCGCGCGCAGCACACTTGCAGATTACACGTTTGTGCACAATTTTTATACGTATACGTTTGTATTATTATATACAGCACTTATAATGCAATGTGTGTGTGTGTGCGTGTGTATAATCCGACGCATGCGGGTATTTATGCCGCGTACAACCACCGCTAAGTCGTCGAGAGCTCTTAACGAGACTCGTTAGTAGCAATGAAAATTGCAGTCAACCTTTCCTCGCTTGCCTACTACGTGTGTATGCATACACACAGCACGGAGCCATACTAGCGGAAAACATTTTATTTATTTTTTTTTTCAACTCGATTATAAATCTGCCGGCAAAGCTGCAAATGTGTATACGGAAAGTTGAAAAAAAAAAAAATAATAATAAATACTTCATGAGCGAGCATCTAGTGGAGCAGTATTATTAAAATTAACAATTTTGCGAGCTGTTGCAACTCGCAAACTGGCCACGCGCGCACGGGCAATTATATCTATGAGCGCGGGGCTTTGAAAGTTAGGCAAATATTTGGTCGCGCGCACGGGTATCTAGAAAATTGGGTCCGTTTATCGGCTGCGATTTATCGTCCGCCCAGGCAAGCCGAACGTGGGTGTGTGTGTGCATGCGTGTGGCCAATCAAGTATCATTACTCGCTCGCGCACGGGTCTTAACTTTTGCTCGCGCTTCTCGTCGTCGTTGTTGCTGCTGCTGCTACGATAATACAGTATGTACATAACGTAATAATTAATCGCTCGTACCTTCATGCGCCAGCGTTCTCGCATTTCCGTGCGTTTCTGCGGACAGCGGGGCGGTATCTGCAGGCACCAGGCGAGCGTGTGAATAACCACCGGCTCGACGTAGCGCTCCCTCGACGTCACCGTGAAACTGTAATGTGCATCGCAGGCATGTGTATAGAGGTATACGCACACAGCGCGTCGACGTGTGTACGCGTTATATCAAATACAACAACGGCGATCGCAATTGCGTCTGGGGCAGCTCGATCCGCGGCTCTCTCGGGCGGCTGTAGCAGCGTTCAATTTTGCACTCGCGCCAAATTCGACGTTGCAAATTTCATTTAATTCACTGGCGGCCATGCGCGCGCGCTCGCGACCTGAGTTAACATCTCAATTTCCACGGATCGATGCGCGTTTACATAAAAGCAAAAGAGTACCGCAGATGTATACAAAAGACCGCGCTGCAATTATTGTATTATATATATTGTGGGCGCTATCGAGTGCGTTATAATTTACGTTCACCGAGTGACGTAACGATTCGGCCGCCCGAGAGACGTTTCAATTTCTTCCCCTTATAATTGTTATCCCAATGAGAAACGAGCATTTAATCACTATGTTTTGTACTTACTTCTCCACGCGGTGACAAACGTTTTCACCCGTTAGTCCGAAGATCGTGGCCACGGGCCAGCACTGACAGCAGGCCAAAGCGAGCAGGTAAAGTTTCGCCCTGTGATCCATTTTTCTGCTCATTCGTTTGGTCGCAGTTGCATTTAGAAGCTAAATCGACGAAAGTAAAAAAAAAACAGAACAGAGTACATTTACGTGCGCCCGTCGTTTTACCTATTCCCAAAAGTCGAGCCGTGTAATTATTTTTCGTGCGCCGACCGTGTCGTGCATGCGAGCCGCGCGTTAGATTTGCAGATTTTTCTGATAATACGTATACGCCCCGGCCTAGGCCGAACTAGGTCGTACCTCGTATTCGTCCTCAAATTCAACATAACGTCACATGCGATTCAGTGGGCCATACTTGGATTTCCTCGCTCGTCGCGGTGCATTATATAACGCGTGCCGCGCGCACCTGACACTTGATAAAATTGAATTTTTGAATAATAATGCCGAGCGAAAAAATGAGCGTATATTCCCCTCGCGTACTATATGTAGAGATGATCCTTACCGAGTCCAGAGGCGCGCGAGCTACGACGCACTAAAATCCGAATCCGAAAGAGATATATCCGGTTAGCGAAATGACGGATTTCCTTCTGGGTGGCGTAGCTGCATGGCGTTGACCCGTCGGAGTATAATATATAAACGACGATGTCAAAGCTAATTCGTTGAAGGATGATGCATGCCGAGAAGTGGCCGGAATTTGTCTTCGAGCTGGCCCGTATTAGTCGTCGTCATCGGCCCTCTCGATCGCTCCCTTTATTATGCACTCGACGGCTTCGAGCGTCGTGCGTATCAAATACGATCGGATGAATTAATCCTTGGCTGATTCGATAACCGTTTAGATTCTCTAGAATAAATTATAAGCTCGTGAATAAAGACCCGGATAAACATGTTGAATTATTGCTCGTTTTATTTCGATTTATTCATTTTCTAACTTCGATGTCGAAACAACTTTCTCAAAAAGTCGTATAATTCATTTTTTTTCTCAAAAAAAAGTGCCCGGGTCACTTGTTGCTTTCGGCGTACGTATACACTGTCAGCAAAAGCCACGCACAAAAGTATATATGAAATTACATCAAAAACTGCACGGCTTCAAAGAAATTGAAACGAATTAAATTACGTATTCGTATACGCGTTTCGTGCATGCATATAATATACAGACTATACGGGAAAGGAGAGCGGGCTGCGCAGCCATAGGTGGCTCGTTACACTTTGTGCGAAAAAAATTATGCAATTCAGGCGCGAACGCGCACGCGATTTGACCTTGCGGTGTAATCGGCAAAAGAACAAGAAAAAAGAGAGCCTTATCCGCGCGCGCCGCACACGGAAATTTCGCAAGGCGGATCGCTGGTCTCCCCGTGTATGAGAAAGAAAGAGAGAGAAGGGAACTCTGTCAGGCGCACATAATCGCAATACATAACGTACTTTAGCCGACGAGAGGGTTTAGCTCGGCTGCGCTCGTTGCTGGCCCGAGCTTTTCCTTTGCTTTATTTTCACCCTCTATTGCGAGGCGGCGTGTAACGCGTCCTTGGACGTTTGCAACTTTCGACGAGGTGAGCGGTGGCAAGCAGCAGCAGCAGTGACGTGTATTATACTCGCGAACAAAACCAAGGTAACTTTGGGGGCGCGGAAAAACTTGGCCGAGTCAACAAAGAGGCCAACATTGGCCGCGTATTTTTTTTATACGACACACGCGTCTAGGTGAATAGTAGGCGAGCGATGGAAAAAAGTACACCAATATAAGGAGAAAGCACTACGGTCTTCGGGCGGGCCGCCCCCTCGGAACAATGCGTGAAGTTGTGCGTTTGGAAGTTAGATCGAGACTGAAACGCGCCTACGCGTTAGCGACGACGCGGCGTCAATTGACTCGAACGATCTGTGCACTCTGCTGCATGGCTCTGCGAATCGTTATTATCATTATTACGTGTCGGGCTATGGGCGAGTTGCGAGAGTGCGAGTTTGTTGTGCTCCCGGCCAAAGAAGAGCACGTCCGCACGTCCGTAGCGTGGCAGCTTAATAAGTACAACGGAGAAAGAGAGTAAAAGGAGATGATGATGATAATTGAGTCGTTCGATGCATGCGGGTTTCTCTCTCTCACTCGCAACGCCTTGGATATATGGTTCAGCGCGGTCATTTGGATACGACATTTTTGGATGCTCCAACAGAAGCGAGAATTTATTCTCTTCATACTTCAAATGAAACTTCCAGCGATGGATTCTTATTTTATGCCCTGCGTTAGCTCTTATTAAAAGTTCTTATTGCCTTAGAAAACTTGGCCTCGGGGGTTACTCCTTTTTTTCTCAACCTACTAGATTAACGACTCGACGTTAAAAAAAAAAAGAAGTTTCAGAGCTTACAATTTTTACCTGAATTAAGCAGAGAGAAAAGTTTTTCTCCCACCTCAGCTGACGACTTATGAAAGATTTGTAAAAAAAAAGGGTAAAAACTAAACGTTCGACTGAAAAAGCTTAATATACCGATAGATTCGTTTGAAAAACGGTGCACGCACGTAACGAAAGTGTTATAAAATTGCGCGAAATGTTAGCTGGCGTTTCTATATCTTCATCTCTGATACATGGCGTGCATACGGATATATAATACATAAAACGCACACGAGGCTCACTTGTACATGTTTATCTTTATTGTGAAGCATCTACACAATATATCTACGGCGTGTTCATAAATCAAGTTATAAAACGTCTTATCTGCCTCTTTATGTGTGCATCGACGGCATTTCATAAAGTAAAGTGCGCACAGCGGCAGCAGCAGCAGCAGCAGCACAGCACACACAAACTGCAGCGGCGCGCGAACTGTCACGACATGTAGAAAGTGATAATCTGCCTCTGCATAATGCGCGTGGATATATACACGTATACAATGCGCGCAGCCGCCCGACAAATCGCTCCATCTCGCCAATAAATTAATTACTCTTGTCGACAAAAAAATCTTACCCTACCCGGAGGTATGTAAATTTTACCACAAAAACCCAAATAAGACGTTGCACGCGAGAGCAGCAGTCGTTGTAACTCTATTTTCGTTATGTATTGACAAAGTATAAATTACATTATTTATTTGCTGGAGGGAGAGTGTATCTTTTTTCAGAACCCCCTGTAACATTTTCAACGCATCGACTTTTTCAAATTGCATTAAATATTATTGAAATAAATAACAATTACCACAAAACGCTTCAATCATTTTTTCTAACTCTTCTGTCATTTTTAGCCTACTGAATTCTGGGTAGCTGTATTACACCACAATTAGGATACTTATTCGCTTGCTTATATTCTCCAGACAATTAATCGCGATCTAAGCCTGACCTGTAAGAGAGCAGGTGAAATCGGCGCAGATTTATGGTCTCGAGGCTCATCAACCATTAAAATTCCGTTAACAAACGGTAACGAATTTCTTCGCCACGCTCAGATACGAGTGCATATGTGCAGAGTAATTTTCTCCCGTTTATGCAGAGATCATCGCGAGGCAAATAAATCGAGCGCAGGTCAGTCAAGAGCTGCAACGATTAATAAAAATCCAGCTCGGCTGTTATTTTTTTTCCCCAGCTACGCATACGCAGCCTGTCGCGTGTCACGTTTATACTGCACGCACATGATGCATCGGCGCCCATTTGTATATTTTAATAAACTCTCGATAAATGTGATGTATTGCCCTTCGCGTGTTTACTTTATAACATCGATATAGGTATGTTTTTTTTCGTGTAGAGGGACTTCGAGTAACGCACACATAATACCCCGATCGGAAAACTTTCACTCTTCCAGCGGCGCGTGCCACTGCAGTGAGGCATGTGATATCCTCATATATTTACTAAAAAAAAGATACGGCTTCGTATTATATACATTTCGTCCTGTGATCATCGCTGCATCGTATAAGTAAAAAAAATTACTGCCGATTTATTGGGAAAGAGTTTCCTCGTAAAAAATGCTATTTTTATGTATGGCAACTGATATAGACTAACTAAATTTTTATTATTGATAAATTAATTATAAATTTTCAATTTAAGCTTATAAAAGGAGGGTGTACTGAGAATAAGTACATTACAACTGAATCGTAGTTATAGAGCTTTCTCAATGAAGAAACAAAAAAACAAATGTTTTATTTTCAGTTCGTAATTTTCATAATATTCAACGAATCCCTATGTTTTAGGTCTTAAATAAAAGCTTAACTGCTCTCCTTTCATGATAACTACAGAAAATACATAAAATAAAAATAAAACATTTTTTTTCTAAATTTTGAGAAAAAAAACGTGGAATAGAAAAAAAAGTTTCTGACGAATATTTCTAAACTAACTCTCTCGGCTTCTGCGTTACTACAACAATCGACAATAAATAAAATTGATTTCAATACAAATTCTGTCACTTTTTTCAAGTTTTTTTTTACCAGCACACATACATACGAACATTTGTTAGGAATACAATCTAGTTTACTAATATTTAAACCAAATTATTCCTGGATCAAAATCGTGTTTTCAAGTCCATAATAGACCTTCCTCTGTGAGAAAGCAATTTTAATTTAACATTATACACCTATTATCCGAAACAAAGAAGCAGATTTTGGTAAGTAATTGAAATCGTTTAAAAAAAATTGAGCGTTGGTCTGACTTTCAGTCCCAACGGACTGATAGATTTCTTCCGAACAGACGCAAAAAATATGGACAAAAAATTTGACATTGTGAAACAGTACAGTGAAGCAAATGATAAACTCAGGACGTCCACTGGCCTACACGTGAATTATTTAAGCGACACGAGAGAATACCTCGTGCATAAACAGTGCATAGAGAGAGAGAGAGAGAGAGAGAGAGAGAGAGAGAGGAAGGAGAGAAAAGAAGGGAAAAGGTGCGAGGTGCAGCTAAATTTTTGCTGCAGTGCAGTATTAGCGCACAGCGAGATAAGCCACGCGCGCATCGCTGCGCCAGGTAAAAGGGGACCGCTACGAGTGCCGCGTGTCGATGATGCTACTCTCGTGCTCGGCACTGGCCTTTTTTGCCCTTTTTTCCGCCAATTTCTTTGTCTCTCGAGTACAAATATTACATCGTGGTTGATTTATAACGTTCGAGACGAATAATATTTTTTGCCCTCGGTGCACTGATTAATTGGTTTTTGTATGGACCTGCCGCTCATTCGAATTTCGGTGTGGTGCAAATCTTTACTAGATGTTAGCGTATTGAGTAGTGAAAATCGTAGTGTTCGCTTGGAAAAATGTTCCAAAGTTGATGAGTATTAATTTTTGCTAAAGTAATACAATCATTTTTGATATATGTCAACATTTCATATTTCGAAAAAAAAGTTTTTAAAACATTTTTTGTACTTCGTATTTTATTCGATAAGTATAGTTATACCTATATACCTATACAGTCCACGCTGGTGACTATCAAATTTTATAACATTAAATTAACGTGATTGGAGGCGTATGTATAGCTACAACAATAATGGCAACATACACTAGAAATGGATAGAGGCCCAATAAGAAAGGTACTTATGGGTTATTATGCACAAGTACCAATTATGCTCAAAATTATGTTTAAAAAAATTGTTGTCCAAATATTTATGTAAATATTTTTATTTTTATATTTACGTATTATTGCTAAGTATTTACTTATTAATTGGATCTATTTTGCTACTTGCGACTTTCAAATACTCCATCTGTTAACGAAATCCATAAGCTTATGATCAGAATATAACAACGTTGACATATTAAACCCTAAATTTTTTTGCAATTTATCGTAAATTTTGCTTCAGGTCAATTTGCACTATGACGTAACATAGAAATTTTTAGAATGGCTCAGTGAAATTTTCGAAATGCAGAGTTACCAAAATAAGTAGCATCATAGTAATATTTGGCATGTACATATCCGAAAAACTTTATAAGTCGACTCCGTGTATGCCGATTTAGCCAACAGGGATATGAAGTTTTTCGATACCACGCGAGGCGGACCCAACGCAATCATGAGATTGCCGAATTCTGATGGCGAGTAAGACCGATTATTTAATTGTTAACTAATGGAAAGTAGTCGAAGTGCACATATGATTAAAATCAAATACGAGCCATGCGTATAAGGCACTCGAGCGTGGAGTACGAAAAAGCTCTTGATGGTAATACCTGTGCATTAACGAGGTATTACGTTATCAGAACGGAGAAGAAAAATGACTTGTCACTCGCTTCAATTTCTCTTAAAATGCAATGGAATTTACACACTGTACAGCGGGTGCATTTCCATTATAATCTCTCGTAAGTGCAGCGCTACATCATTTCTTTCTCGCTGATAATACGACGACGATTATCGTTACGTCGTCTGGTGTAATAGGCAAGTGTGTACGTATTTTCACACCCTCCCACAGTCGCAGTGACCTTCAATTGAGTTTCGTTCGCGCATCCGAGTCAACTTATTATGTGCTCGCAGTGCATGAGTACTACACTTCGGCTCCTGTGACTGAATAATTTACTCGTGTATCGCAGGCGACGACGATCATGAATTTTTAACCCAAGACAATTAAACTTTCTCACATTTGTTAGGTCATATGTTTAAATTGACTGCATACGCGTTAACGATATGCCACTGCTTATTAGGCGTTAGTTGGGTAGAAAATTGGGTAGAACGATGTGAAATCAACACGATTTGGTCGAGCTGAAAAAGACACTCTCTCAGCGGACCATCGAGAGATTTGGTTGTAATCTGCGGGTGAAGATGAAACGGCGCAATCCAGAGAATGAATTTTCATCGCCATAACATTTGAGTTTCGTTAAAACGGCAGCAAGTAAGCCACACTGCAGGCGTTACTGGTGCTGCACGCGTATAATAGAATGATTGGCTCGTCGTTGTTGCAGCTGCAATCTGTTCTCATTGTCCACTTATTTGCAGCGAGGCGCGCGTTTCATCGGCCGCTGTGCGCCGATTCTACGTGCTCAAAGCTATGTGTGCTATATGTACCGGATACGTGTTAAGCATCGGCATGACCGGCCACTATATACAGACGTAATCCGTATACTCGAGAACAACTACGAGGACTCGATCAGCTCATTTTTTCCTCCGTGATTTTCGCCGAAACCGAATTTGGATCTTTTCGCGAGCGATCGTCTGTAACCTCGCGCGTCGAGAGACCCTGCGAGTGCATAAAAAACATCAGGATCTTATCTATCGGACAGGGCCAGACTCTTACAATGCAATCGATACAGACAATAAGCCTATTCAAATTCGTGCATATGTAAGAGAGTCAGTGGAGCTTTAAAACCTCGCACGTAATATAGTTCACACACACACAGACACATTTGTATATGCAGCACAGCGCAGCAGTGCCGCGCGACGAAGGGGCCATTATCTCGTCCAATCAAAAAGCTACCACATGCACTCGCACAGACACACAGACACACATACTCGCACATACACATATTAGCTGCGCCGAGAGTTCGATGACCTTACGTAACTTGTCTTTTCTCGCGTCCGTATAAATAATACCATGCGCTGCTTTACTGTATAACTATCGTGCCTATAAACGACATATATATCTGCGGCGTTCAAACGTCCATGTGTCAATTTACTCGCCTGGCTCCGCGTGCAGCGCATGGATGTATAAACATATATAAATATAAATAATATGTATTATAAGCTGTTGTTGCTGTCTCGAAGGAAATTTCGAGCAAGAAATAAAAAAAAAGATGAAAAGCCGTTTTATGATCCACAATTGCACGATGAATCAACGAAATCGCGGCCTACGTATAAAGATAATAATAGTTTCGAGCCGTTTTGCTCGAGATTTCGTAGCGAAGCAATCGCTATGTATACCTAACATGTGTGTGAGCTATGCATGTAAGAGCCGGCGAAAAGACATTTTGAAAGTCAAGTAAGTCATGCCACACAGCTCGGCTCACTCGAGTGTTTGCTATTTTTCTTTTTCTTTCTTCTCTCTCGGTCTTTTTTTTTTTACGAAATCAGCCAGCTTACCTAGCTACCTACGAAAATGTTCTCACGCCTCGAGGCTGGGCATTGTTATCCACGCGGGTGCATTTGAATCGGCATAATAAAGCATTCCTTTATACGCGCGAGCGCCGATCAAAAATGCATAATAAGCCTTATAATAAGCATTATTCTGTCACATGCACGCAGAGCTAAGTCCTTAATTCAAAGGAGCCTGAATCTTGCTTACACTCTTTTTTTCTATGGAAAAAGAATAATCTCGATACTTTTGTCCTTGGCAAGGTCGCCCGAATGGGAGACCTTTCTCCTTTCGCGACGGCACATGCAATGCAGCAGCGTGAAAGATGACTTTAAGCGATATGCCAGGATAGGCTCGCGACCCCGTTGCAGCTGCACAAAAATAGGCATCTCTAGGTCCTACCTTTAGATCCGCTAATCGACGTTCGCGCGTTTAAACATCGTTTGTAATTTCGATGACTGACAAGCGACTGTTTCTAAAATTTCATCAGATGCATTCTGGAGTATCCTCCCTTAATAGAGATGTTCAATATTTTATGGATAGTTTTTGACCATTGAAAAAGTTTTTTGAGCATGAAAAAGGGGCCCATTACCATAAAGTCGCCCCAGCGCAGGAAGGTATCTATTTCAAATCTATAGCAAGAAGGATACTTACTCTCGCGCAGAGACAAAAAGGTATCTAACTCTAACGTAGAAGCAAAAAAGTAGCTTATTCAAACGAAGAGGCAAGAGAGTTTTGACGCGCTGAATTTAGGTTGGCAACGGAGCCGTAAATGATAAAATTTTGTTTCAACATTCAACATTCAACATTTAATTCAAAGTTATGTAAAGCCGATAACTTCTACTTTCCTCTCAGAATATACAAAGTTCTCCATTAGTGGAAAATTGAGTCGAAACCGCGGTAAGATTGATTTGTTTGCTCGCATTACAAATGGATGAAAATCATTACACTGGCTCAATTGTTTTTTCTCTTTTTTGCTCTAATACGAAACAAAATTTTATCATTTACAGCTCCGTTGTCCACCTAAATTCAGCGCGTCAAAACTTCCTTGCCACTTCGTTTGAATAAGCTACTTTTTGCTTCTAAGCTCGAGTTAGATACCTTTTAGCCTCTGCGCGCGAGTAAGTATCCTTCTTGCTACAGAATTGAAATAGATACCTTCCTGCGCTGGGGCGATGAAACTAATCAATCATTAATGAAATTATAGGGAGTTGACTTAACTTATACTATTATGATTATCTTCTCCACTTTCAGATTTGCAAATTAAGGTACTCGCCATCTCGTGGTGGACGATGTAAGTTGTAATATTGTAGTATAGTAATTAAAAAGTGGTCGAAATTTTTTCAAACAGTTAACTAGTTATTTTCAGATCATAACGAAATCAGAAAAATCCCTAAAAACAAGTCAATGAATGCCGATGCATTTTAAAACATTTTAAATAGTTATTTTTTGGTCATTAGGTTATTACTAATATTAGACAAATCAACCAGAATCGTAATTCTAATAATAAGATACAAAAATCACGGTAATTACATATAACGCATTTTCAATTCTGGGTTTGGCAAATTTTATACAATACAAGACGCGAATTGGTAGCTCGCAATCGTAGGCGGGGTAAAATAAGATGTAGGATTTTTGGGAAAAGAGACACAGATAGAAAAAGCGCAGTAGCTGCACTCATTTACATCCACAGTGTACAACATGATAAGTGAATACAAATTTATTCGATCCTTACAGTTACAATAGAGATGAGTACATGTAATACTTGCATACTTGTTTTACTCATTTTTTTTTTCGATGTCGTATAAATAAAAGCTAATCGTAATTACTATAACGTATTTACAAGGTAATGTTATTTTGTCTATAAAGTTTAATTTACACTAATTAGAATAAATGTATAATATTTATTTAAAAGTATATAATTACAAAGTGATCGCATTCATGTTCGTACCGTTTTTATATGGTGAAAAACTGGCATATAATATATTCGCTCGATATCGGAGCGTGCGTTATAAAAGCCGCTCACATGCTCGAGAGAAAATAAAAACGATCGTGAGAGAGAGAAGATTATGTCAGCGGCGCGTCTATAAGGAAACGAAAGCGACTCGGCTCGCGGCGTACACATACGCGTCGTCGTCACGTGTGCGTGCAAAAGTTTTCATATAAATGTTGCAAGTTCCTCCCTAGAGCAAGACTTTTAACACCCGTGCGCTGCGTTTCAGCGAATTCGCGCTTGTCACGTATATTATCATCTACATGTATAAGCGATCGCACGCACTCATTATTATTGCGCAAAAATCGGCACACTCGGGCACGACGACGACGAACGAAAAATCGTAAATAACTTAATGTTTTTTTCACCTTTCGATGCTGCTGCTGCTGCTGCTGTGGTGGTAATTTTCGCGTGCGGCGAGGCAAAAAAGCTACGATGGCGGATCGGTTGCGCAAAAAGGAATCCGGCCGATGCACGATCGCGAGTCGCGACCGCCGACGAAGAGAGCACTAATCGATCGGGCGAAATACCTCGCTCTTAATGGGCCAAATTTGCCGTTCGCGCATCGCATCCTCCCCGGGGGCTTATTTTGCTCGGGCGATCAGCGCACCGAAATCGACGATGGGCTATATAACGAAGTCATGTGCGGCGGCATTCGTCATTCTCAGCGGACTCGCGACTCTTTGGTCAACGAGAGTTTCCGGATCCCGATGTATGCGTACATAGCTTTGATTTTTGCAGTAAGGCAGTAAGTCGTCGTCGCTGTCGTCGGTGAAAGTATCATATTTGCGGCGTTGTATATGCGCTCATGTGACACGCATAATAGCCTGCTATACACACACGCACGCTTATAGCCGTCGTTCTCCCGCAGCAGGAGCGAGTGCCCACGAAAGCTCGAGTCTCGAGAGCTCGTGTCATTGTTGTACACAGGAACGCGACGCGTATTGCACAAGTGCAGAGATCCCGGGCCGCATTACTCGATTTACGCGTCGGCTGAAACATTATAACATACACATGCATACACACAGACATATCGAAGGGAACACGCCGCGTGAATCGAGTGGACGTACGTGCGGCAATACAGACAATCGGGGACTCCTACATTATACGTATATGTCGAGACTCGACTTAAAAGCTAGATAAGAGTGGCAGCAATAGACTGCTCAGGGTGGCCAGCAGCAGTAAAGTCGTGAGCCTGGGCCGGGCATCGCTGGCCGCGCCGTTGTAGCCGAAGTAGAAACCGTTGCCGTAGACCTGCAGGCCGGCCGTCTGGATGCTGCGCTTGCAGTAGTCTCCGTCTGCAAAAATCGTTAATATCGTTATTATTTTCGAATGATCCGCAGATCTCGAAGCAATGTCGTACCAGTATATATGTAGAGCAAGAATCGGGCCAGCCGCGAGCTCGAAACGACAACTTGTAAGCGCATATTATACAAGAGAAATACAAGAGAGATATACAAGTTCTATTGTGCTGGCTATATCATGTAATTGCGTATAGATTTATGAATTTCTGCGAAAGCATATCGGCTCCTCGACTGGTGCTGTACACGATCGAGAACGAATATGCCATTCGTGTATTATGCCACGCGGTGCTGCTACATTATATGTTGTAGCGTATATATACGGAGTTATGCAATGTAACGAGCGTATGGTCAGACTCGCCACGTGCTCCGTGGCCGCAGCAGTCGCACATGCATTGTAATCGTGGGCGCCAATTCTCGATCGGTCGACTTTGGACGATAAGCCCGTGTATAGTTGCCGCTGCTGAGAGTGACACTTTTTTCGCAATTTTTAAAAAGTTTTCATCCGATCGAGAGTCGCGCGCTTCGTTGACCGTAACATGTGTGGCATCGACAGAGAGAAAGAGAACAGAGCCGAGCGGAGAGTGCACTCATTGCGGTTTGGACGCACTACACACTGTGCATTATATGCACTCTCGGCACATAGATGTATCGGAAAATTCAGGCGTCGCGCGCTTGCCAAATTAAAAGCACCGCGATGAAGGACTCTCTTTCGAACACATAATATATGTACCTATATATAATGCGAAAGCGGATGCAGCAGCCTCCCTTCGAGCTGAGTAAATCTATAAAGCGAGCTCGCTGTAAATACAGATATATAATACGAATAAAGGAAATCCTCGAGCTCGAAGAGAAAAATCCGGGCAACGATCGTATCGCGGCCCCCCTGGCTTAATTGAAGTCACGGGGGGTGGCGGCAGCGCGGCTACCTATATCAGCCGCGCGACTCAGATTATATCATACATCTGATAATGTGTGCATAATGAAAAAAGTAAACGATCCTGTCGGCGAACGAAACGATAATTAGAAAGTCACGCCGACTGATTATGTGCGATCGTATCCTTAGCTTTTCGCGTGTATATAGCGGCAACTCGACGTCCTCTGTACATACATTGAGATTATTAAGTACATTACGAACGGAGTAGGAGTTTGACGATTCATGCTGAAAACATTGCCCGATGACTTGTGTGCGTACACACGTATCGTAATTGCGCTACTTGACAATTATTCATACAGGCCTGAAAGGTGTAATATACACTCGTGAGCGAGTCACAATCACGTAAACGCGCTCTCTTGTACAGTAAGAGACAAGAAGCTGTAAATATAGTTTAACTGCGATCATTATTATCGTTGTTACAACTGGAATTACGTGAAAACTAGCCGAACAATTGTCATCTCGCGAGCTCGTTTATTTATGAATCTATCGTGCCGTCGACCGCGCTTTCCTCAACTTTCGGGGAAATCCCGAAAAAAAGTATTCATCGATAAAGTGGTGTATTCTCCGATTGACGATCATCGATCGATTAAGCCCTGCACGCACTCGGACCTTTCTCTTTTCTTTTTCTTTTTTTTTCATTTCGTTCATTGTCGTGTTGCCCCTCGCGAATTTCAGATTTGCCGTTTTTGGCGCTTAAATTTCTGCTCCCACGTCTCGAGAGCGACAGACAGACAAGTTCAATTTATCGTTAGTGTCATTCTTCTTATATTCTCTTGGGGGCCGCGGCAGGTGTTATTTACGTCAACGATGCACCGTATCGTACTTTTAATGTCGTCGTCGTCACTGCCGATGTTGTATCATGAAAATTCGCGACTCGTTTTTTCAACGATCCGTATAGGCCACGTCACATCGGGCAGAAAAGCATAGTTATGTGTACGTATATGACCGTGTTCTGTGCACTCAGAGAAAGGCGTGTATTGTGTGCGCCGGCCGTTATATACACATACGTGTATATCGTGTACACATAAAATTAAACGATTTCCGTTTTATCGTTATTTAATATAAAATGGAGCAAAAAGTCAAAGCGAGCATGAGACGGGCCCCGATCGATTAGAATATCCTATATATATCTATACAGTTTTACAACTGCTCTTACGTAAGGAGCGTGCGCCAGATCAACGAATAAGGGGGAGGCTAGAAAAAAAAAGAAGGAATTACACTTGCTGCCATAATACGCTTGTGATGATCTGTGTAAGTGATAAGCGATCTCGGCTCGCTCTTGGCTCGCGATTATGAATCGCGATGCAACTACTCGCAACGCGCGGCAACGGCTTTCTCGGAAAAACTAGTTTATCGCGCGTTTATACATTCGATAATTTCATATTGCGGAATATTGAATTTGAAAATACTTCTATTATACCGAGTCCGTATCGCGCCGCAGTTCGTCGATGACGAGGAAAAGTCAAAAGAAAATCGACGCGACTTTATGTAACTGCTCGAGATCGCGATGAACGAGAGCAGATAAGAAATTGAAAGTGTATGCAAAGGTGCCGCTGTAGTTCGCGAAATTTGTATCGCTCAGATTTTCTCGGCTGGCGGGGGAGGACAAAAAAATTCTCATAACGTTACCGTAAGTCCATCCGATGAGTTCGTTAGAGCGGAGATTTTCCACTCGCAGCCAGTCTTCGAGCGGCCTGAAGTATTCTCGAATAGCCGAGGGATCCAGACGATTTTCACCCGTAGCTTCCATCAAAACGTCCTGCCAAGGTACCGAAGCACCTTTTTCCATGAGGCGTCTGCAAAAGTGAGAAAAAGCCGACATTACAATGCTGCAAAATTATACATTCAATAAAATTGCTATTGATTCGAACTTGAATCGACTCATGATCGTCAGATATATACTAAATCCGTGGCCCCGAATCGCATATATAATATAAAACGAATGGTTTATAATCAAGTTAAGATTGCAGCAGCGAAAGAGATGTATTTTTTTCAGTGATTCACGAGCTCGTATAAATGATTATTTCAATAATTCTTAAATATAGAAACGATGCTGTTTCGTTTGTTAGCATATCGCTGGATCGGTATGAAATTCAAGCGATTTACGCAATGGGCCGGCGCAGGAGCGTCCATTCTTCTGTCTTTTGGCTAATAATGTCACAGTGCAATAGCTGCCGCGCGCATTTCAAAGTGTCCGCGGCTAAAAGAAGGAAGTATTGCTGCACGCAGCATATTTGCAGCATACAGGCCAGAGCGCTAGACAGCAGTAGCAGTAGCAGTAGCGCACGCAAGCCAAGTTTTCCGGTCTGCGTCCGTATCGGACGTAATATTTTCTTCGACTTTGTATACGTTTAGTAGACTTTGTCAGGCAAGCCGCGAATGTAACGCTTAATATAGGAAGTAAAGTGTCATAATTTCCCTGCCTCATTAATCGCCGAGTGATACTCTGGTCGAAAAAGAAGGTGGTGAATAATCAAGCCCCAACAAGTGGCAGCTATAAAAGGAACAATATTTTTCTCTACGAGTTGCCATCAGTACTAAAAGCTAATTCACTTGTACTAATTTTATCTGAAATTTTCGTTGAAAATTAATGTACTAAGACTGATTTATTTATTGATTTTTCTTCGCAAACTGCATACAAAATGCAATCACATACATTATTTGCGAAAAAGAACGAAAAAGATTTAATTCTAAAATCAAATTCAAAAAATTTGATAGAAATTGCAAAAAAAATTCATAAAAATGCAATTATTATTAAAACCAGTATCTCTCACTAGATGGCGAGTACCTTTAATTGTCAATCTGCAAGTGGTAAAATAAAAATAATTGTCAATAAAGTCAAATCCCGATTTTGAACAAACAATGAATCGAATGTGCATATTATCAAGTTTCGATGTTTTATTCAGTTCAATCAGTTTCTTTGAAAATGTACGATAATTGTGCGTTCAATTCTCGAGTAGTTTTGACACAAAAAAAGTACATGAGGTTTGATAAATTTGATTTTTCATCGAGCTGTTGGTAGCTTTACCGCACGCATATACATGTGTCAGGAGACTTTCGCAAGCTCGAGTGTCACGAATGCAGCTTTGTCTCTCGCATACACGTACATATACATCGTACGCATATCGTCGCGTGAGAACCGGATGCGTCGATCGGGGTGGAGCTACTCCGAGGACGAAACTGTCATCGGGTCCCGAGGCCCGAGTCAACGACGATCTTTGCGCACTCCCCGCGACGATAATTCATATTATATGCGTACGAATGACGAGCTGCAACAACTGCATGCGAACCGCTGCGAGACGTGATTTCCGTTTATATCGTAATTACAGCTCTGTGGATAAACAAAAACAATCAAACTGGCCATTGTGCGAGAGTCGATCGCAAATAAGTCTACTTAGCGAGCTGGTGCATGTGTGTGCGCGTTTATGTATGTGCATGTAAGAGCGGCTCGAGCGTCTTGTAATCGGCATGGCAGCGCAGCACAAGAACGACTTGTCAAAACGGCTTTGCGCGCCGCCACTACTGGTTATTCAATAATAATTATCATTGTTGTCTTTCATGTACATATAGCCAGCAACGCAGCGTGTTTATATGGAGGCGAGAGCCGCGAGTCGATACACATACATATCGAGGCTGTTTTCTGTTTTCACTTTCGCTCGGCATCGCAGCAGCAGAGTCTAGACTTCCTATGATAAAGATATTACATGTGCAGTGCATTTATGCAGCAGCAGCAGCAGCCTCCTTTTGCCGCGAGTCGCGCTCAACGCTTCGATGCATTCCTCGCGGCGTATACCTTACATACAGATATACCACATATATCTATATGGGTTTACGCGAGCCACGCGCGCTATCCTGCCTATATATGCATCGCGAGGACAATAAATAGCTATTTGAATATTATGCCCATTACGTAAAAGCCTCATATTTATATGCTATATATTCGCTGCGGAGGTACGCGTGTACGTGTGGCCCCGTATGTCCCCCCGTATGTTGCGAGCAAAAAAACTCATTTCCTCCTCTCGCGTAAAGCTGAATATTATATGCACAGATTAATTATGATAATCGTACCGAGACTTTATCGATCGACGAGGCTGCATGGGAATTCGGTCGAATTTAAGGAGGAAAAAAAAACGTCGTGCCACGCTTGTGCTTATCAAACGCGTGTCTCGGTGTATATACATATACGCGATTGTACGTGTGTGTGCAGCGTGGCGCGCATTTTACGCGTAACGGCTACTTTCACGCTTTATATTGTCCTGCACGCGCAATCCTGGCCAAGGCCCGACGCGCCGAGCTCCGTACCGCGTACACAATATAAGTATATATCGCAAGGTTAGCCTCCGTTATTATTAATTATGAAAAGCGAGGAAAAAAAAAAGGAACTCGAGTCCGTCTATGGGATGTTGCAATATAGCTATGCTGTCTGCTGTATATGCTACACGACCAATATGACTTGATAATCGTATTATTATTATGCATGCAACGCGCTACTGGCCGAGGCGGCTATTGCATTATCATGCTCGCATTATGAATCTTTGAAAATGCCCGCGCGCGCCACAAAAGTTTCGCTGTTCAGCAGCAGCAACAGTTCAGGTGCGCGGCCCTCGGTGAAAATGTTATAATGCAATTTTTCAGCGCGTCCAGCTGTCGAGATTGATAATCTGCTTATTGTGCACACAGTCACAAGTACGCGAAATATACTTGCATACGATTCGCCTTGCTGCATGAAAAATTGATTTTTTCGACGTTAGATTTTTTCGCTTCGTTCCCAGTTTAAAGAGAGAGAGAGACGAAGTATAAATCTGCACCGGTTATCTTATAAGCGTGGCGAGATCGTTGCGTAATCGTGCCAAACAAGCCCGCGTGGCCCGTTATTTTATTTTTTCGCTGCATATCATCGGTCTCGGGCGCAGATAATTTCACCGAAATATGGCCAACAAATTGGTCAATCATCCTGATCCCGATCGCATACGACCGACCGGTCAACGTGCATATGGTTTTCAATCCAACTGCGCTTGCGATATACGCTATTAAACCATTTACGAATTCCGTTTAATCATTCATCTTATTAAAAATATAAACACGTAATAACTACGTGGCTAATTAAAAATGACCGAGTGCACCTATTTGCTCTTGATACGATTCGATACAAATATTACCTTAGAATAAAGACGAAAAAGTTAAATTAAAAACGTTCTTGTTTAATGAAAACCGATTTAAAAATCAAAAAAGAATATTTTCAGTTGCAGTATTTTATGACGGAAACGTGTATTGATCGGCATATGTGTTGAAAACAATATTAACGAGCCTGTTCATGCGCATAATTAATTAGTGACCGTTAGACTTGTTGCGTGAATCATCTCGCGCGTGCGATGCATCGATAAATTTCATTATTACGGATATGTTTCACGATAGCGATCGAGAGTACAAGAAAAAAAAAGAAGAAAAAAGGTACGAAATCAAACTCTGCTGTTACGGAAGCGCGAGTACAGCGTGCATATTATATTCGAGTATATGAGTGTGGGCATGTATGTGTGTATATGTGAGAGAGTGGGAGAGATGCAGTAAGTCAGTGCACGTAACTAATTATATCGGATATTCGGATCGCGATGCCAGCGAAACATAAGAAATTAAAGCTCCCTCGGCGATATACTCTGTCACGGAGGACAATTTTCCCTTAATGACGCGATCGGTAAGCATATAAAAAAAAACGATTTTTCCAATTTTTTATCGATGAGGAGTGGTTTCTAGGTAAGCTCGATCCATATTTAGTGACAAATGATAGAATAGCGGCTAGCGACCTTGAAAAGGGTCTATTAATAACGCGAGTTTTCCTCGAGGGTTGCGTAAGCGCATAAAATATGCATCCGTTCCATGTCGTATATGTATACAGGTATTCAACACACACAATATCTGAGATAAGGAATTTTTATAACGCAAGTGATTGATTCTGGTAGATTATTCGTTCACAATATTCAATTTTTTTTCCTCCCAAGCATATATATTCTCATGGTACGCGCACGTCCTTGCGCGACGCAGTAAAATATTCTAGTCGCGCTTTACTTTCGATCTGTGCTCGCGCGCCGCGGATTTCTTCCAAGCGCGCGCAGTCATTGTTATAATAATGAAAAGCTGCAAGGTCGCGCCTATACCTGGACGAGAATTTCGATAATTGATTGTCAGCAATTATTCGCTGTTACGCGCGCGATAAGCGTAAAGCTTGAAGCACGCGAGAAAATAGCCTGTACTTCGTTTGGTTTTCGTTGAATCTGAGAACACGAGTGTGTGACTTTTATCGTACGCCACGGCTAATACAGTGGCAAGCGCGAATCGAGGGTGTGATTATTACTCGTTTGCATCGCTTGCAACAGATAAGAAACAAAAGCCGTGCGCGGGCGAGCGAATTTGCACCAGTCCGACAGATGCGATAAGAATCAGACGCGCCGACACACGACGACGTTTTGTCCGTGTATCCAGTTTTGCAGGCGAGGAAAACTTTTTAACTTATCCTCGCTTCTTTTGGCTACACATTGTTCTGAGTCCAGCATTTCACACTAATTTCAATGCATATCTGGATCTTGGAGTTTCATCAAGTCTATTGGTACAATTACAATTGCAGAAAATTTAATATACAAGTATTGAATTATGAATGAATTCAAGCTCTTTGACTTAATACTTTTGTGATCTCAGATTTCAATTTATGAACGACAGAGATTTGTCACAAAAATGGCTCGTGTGACTGAGCGCCTCTGGCTTACTTTTATGCACAAGCTTACGAATATTTGTACACCAGTAA